ACCCGTTTCAAAAAGCCTTTTTTCAATGACAAATGACGAAATCAGTGACAAATCTGCTGATAACCAATCAGATGCAAGGATTTCAGTAGCTTATAACAAAAACTGTCATTTGTCACTGATGACAAGTTTTGTGAAATGGGACCTGGGTTTGGTCTTGCCTTTAGATACATAACACACTTTCAAATTGGTTGAATACTTCCAAAGAAGAAATCTACAAATGACTACCCTTAACCATAAAAGAAAAATAAGTACTACGGTATACTATATAACTCTGAAAAATGTAGGGAAAAAAATTCTGAAAAGCAGCGTTTTTTGCATCGGTTTACCGTGTGTCAACTGAACAAGCCTGAACTAAATTACAACAATTTTTGCAGATTTTTTTTTGGGGGGGTCGACATTCTGCCTTCCATACAATAATTCCATACAATAAATCAGTAAACTTATTCAAACTATCAGTAGATTCAATCAGGTTGCCTTTGAGAAAATTGGCAAAAGTGTTTATACATCATTATCTTCCATATAACCTTTAAAAATATTCATTTCTTAAAAACCTATACAAATGTTTATCAAGGGAAAAATACTGTAACATAATGCAAAACAAACAAAAAAGAATTTATGATGAATTCATCAGTCAGGTTGGCATTGAAATAAATTCTAGAGGTAAAATCTGATTTTTTTTTTTATCTAAGAAATAGAAAAAACAATAAAACCCTTGAACGAATGCCATGATGTATACATGATCTATTACATTATTAAGAGTTCTGTGTTTCACTTTCAGTCCATTAATAAACACGTACATCAATTTACATTTTGCGTACATTTATTTCCTTTGAACAAAAATCAACGCATTTTCAAGACGGAAGACAATATAACAGTACTTAGGACATGCTAAGCATTTCACATAAACGATTTCATGCCATGTTCGTACAATTTCGTGGCTGCAAGACTTTATATTCACAAATCATGTACATTCTAATGGCTTTAGAATATTTGTTGTTGTTTGAAACACTTGCAACATTACATAAACACAGATTGAGTTGACTCTTAACCCCCCCCCCCCCCCCCCCCAACAAAACAGAAAATTATGTTACTCCTAGAGCCAAGAATCTGTCCGTTTGAAGTCAGTCTTGAGTTAGTTTGGCACTAAAGACTACAACACAAGCTATTGGTGCAATAATAATGGAACTCTCTCCCACCTCAGACCAAAAAAGACTTCCTGATTTTCGCTTTGGGCACATCCTTTCTCCTTCCCTGATTAAAATAGCCCACAGCCCTCCAAGTTACTCTTTTCTTTGCCTTTTTATAAGGATATGTATTCTTTAAGAGTAAGAGACCATGTATTTGTTGAGAAATGTGGGGGAAATAGCCCCAAAAGATGACAAAATATGGTTGACATGCACATGTACAATTTCGTGAACATAGGGTTACATAGCTTCTACAACTCCCCAACCCCAAAGTAAAAGCAAACAAGAAAAAAACAAACACTAAATATGTGTATTTGGCATTTCATGGTAAGGTTGAATAAACTGTACATTGTAACATGGTATAGTGCACTTGAATATCGATATGCATTGTTTTTTCTTCAAGAGATTTCAAATTCAAGTTCTTGATACAATCTCAAGGTGACCTTCAGATTTTGTTCACATTGTGACATCATCTCACACAAAAATAAACCCAAAATAGATGTAGTCACATTTATTCAATTTTTCTAAAGTTTTTGTAATGAGAGAAGTTAGAAATAACACAGAGAAGTCGTAACCTATCACTATTGAAGGAGAAGAAAATAATTTAGAAACTGAATTGTCTTTTGAGGATATACAAATAGAAATGTCAAAGCTTTAAAATGTGTATTTAGTTTTAAAGAAATGTACATCTGCTGACCATGCATACATTCAGGCCCTTTCGTCGGGCATGCAACAATCGTTTCAATTAATCAATCAATTTATCCATTTCCTCTCGAAAGGTACATGAAACGAGATGACAGAAAATCACATTTATCACCTTTAGATGTGTGTGAAAATTACTACAACGTAATCCTTACGAATTCTAGGCTATAGACATTATGCCAAGATGATTTTACGAAAATCTTTGCAAGCACGTTATCTACCCAATACAGCGCATGATACCACTATAGTCTACTGTTTAAACAAACAATAACAAAAGAACTTAAAGTGACAAATGGAACACACCTCAGAAAAATATGCTCTATATGGTCTCCAATAAGATGGAATGATAGCGTAAAAGTTGAGGTAATAAGTCTAAGTCAATATATTATACTATATTATACCTAGGTAAAAGTAATATATTTCATAAAGGTACTGTTGAAATAGAATTGAGGCTAGACCGATACTAATATGCTTGAAATTATAAATTAGACAATTCTTAAAACTGATAATTATATAGTGCATTAGATTTCTTTCTTTGCTTTCAAAGTACTTATAATAGAAGCATAGAAAGATAACTCTGGCCAAAATCATCTTATAAAACTTTCATTAATTTTTATGAATTGTTGAGATTCCCGTACTTTCATGCTTAAAAACTGCTGCATTTATCAGAACGGGACGTTTGGAAAATTTAGAAGAACTTCTTGCAGCATTATAGGCCGACATTGCCTGTTTGTTCAACTTTGATTTTGCAAAAGTGTCTGATTTAATAGTCTCCTTCGACTAAAGTGAACAAAATGAAGACTGCAAATAATTATTCTGTCACTGGATGCTCTTGCGAAGTGTCTATAAGAAAAAAAGTTTTCTGATTTTCTACTTATTTTTGTACAATCATACACATGTCAATGTTTGAGCTTCAAAATAAAATTTGATGATTAAAGATAGTAGCACACGTCTATTGTACCAGTATTATGCAACGAGTTGTACTAAAAAAAAAAGAATATTATCCTACTCTACCGACCTACTGTTTCTTGACAAAATGAAGAGACTGTCATCACATCTCTATTTACAAACTGATCTTATGTACAATATACACCAGTAATAAAGTCAATTTGAGATGTTGTTTACCAGTCTCTACTAGCTCGAATAAAAAATGCAAGCTATGATATGATCATAGGTAATTTCCACAAGGTGAAAAAACAAGTTTTACCACGTGGCATAAAATGTTAATTTCTTGTGTTTCATTATTCTCACAAACTATTATGTAACAACTAATAACAAATGTTGAAGTATCTATCTACAAGAGCAAAGAAAATTCAAAAATATTTATGCAATACCATTTCCTATAAAGGAGAATTAGGAGATGCTTCCAAAGGAAAATGTTCTGAAATATCTAGTGGTTTGAAAATAAATCTGCTGATCTCCATATCATAGTTTCTTGTATAATTTCTGGAAAAAAAATAGTTCGTCATGAAACAAAGATTTCTCATTTTTCCCTCTGGTATATCAGTTCATGGAATAATATTTGTATATGCATATCTTTTTTTTTGCTGCTGAATTTTAACAATTAGAAATTGAAATTCTGAATATATCTTTGCAAGTATTAATACTGTTGAACTGTAAACCTACAGCTTGCAAGTTTGGAGGAAAAAAATGAGAAAAATATATTCTTCATTTCCACCAAAAGAGGGCGCTCACGGCTCTTCATTACAGATCTATAATTAGAGGAGATATCACTATGAACATGACGGACAAAGAAAGCGGACAAAATATACAGTTCCTCATTCTACCCTCAAAAATTGCTGTGGTAGACAAAGGAACATCCCTTCACTGCTATTATGTAAAAATGTGTAGAACAGGTGAATATGTATGTGACACCTGTTCTACACATTTTTACATAATAGCAGTGAAGGGATGTTCCTTTGTCTACCACAGCAATTGTTGAGGGTAGAATGAGGAACCGTATATTTTGTCGCTTTCTTTGTTCGTCATATTCATAGTGTATGTCCCTGAAGTAACTCAGGCTTAGCATGAGCTCTCTGGATGAGAACATTCTGGAAGTTTGATGTTCATAATACTGCCTAGGAAAGTGGAATACTTTTTGAAGATGGCACCAAAACTACCTAAACTGGGAGGTGTTTCACAAAGATCCTAAGTCAAACTTAACTCTAAGTTGGACTTCAAAATTATGGAGAGCCATTTGTAACCTTAAAATAAAATATATTCAAAAGCGAAATATTTTAGACTTTTTAAAAATTCCACATCAAGAACATGAAATCTCCTTGATAATAGAAAATATGAATGATTTAAATCAACAATTTATGCCTTTAAAAATAACTTTTACAAAATATTTTTCATAGATGCTAACAGCTTTCCATGATTGTTAAGTCCAACTTCGAGATAAGTTCAACTTACGATCTTTGTGAAACATCCCACAGGACCCATACCATGTATATGTTGGAAATAGAATGCTATAAATTGGAATAAAATATATTCATCCTCTCCAAATTTCACCAAGATAAAGTATTTTGAAGTTGGCAGGAGTGAAAATCTTTGGATATGATATCTAAGCTGCTATACAACTAAACCCACACAATGTACTTCCGAGAGATAAAATGCACTCATTTTGTAAAATATATATTTGCCCTCTTTTTTAATCTCAGAAATTTTGCAAGGTCTAATGAACATTAAGAAATAACTTGCTTAAATCTGGGGGGTGTTTCACAAAGATCCTAAGTTGAACTTATCTCTAAGTTGGACTTAAAAAATATGGAAAGCCATTAGCATCTTTGAAAATATTTTGTAAAAGTTATTTTGAAAGGCATTCATTGTTTATTGAAATCATTCATATTTTCTATCATCAAGGAGATTTCATGTTCTGGATGTGGAATTAATAAAAAGTCTAAAATACTTGAATTTCTGCTTTTGAATATATTTCATTTAAAGACTCCAATGGCTGTCCATAATTTTTAAGTCCAACTTAGAGTTAAGTTCTACTTAGGATCTTTGTGAAACACCCCCCTGGTCCCTGTTTCATAAAACTAGTTATCAATTACAAATGTCACTTTTCTATAACAATCAAATGTAATGATTTCAGTAGCTTATAACAGTTATTGCAACTTGTCATTGATAACAAGTTCAACTTCTCTTTTTATGCTTTCTGATCGGCTACCACAGTGGCAGAGGTCGACGTTATTTTGAGCTGTTCATTTTTACTTACGTGTGAAAAAAATAGGGAGTTCCCCCCTTTTCAAGACAAAACAGTACACTTTAAACATCAATAGGTACACGTAGGTATGTTATAGACTATGTGACTGATGCTCAGTTGATAATACATTGAACAAATGTCCTGGACAGGCTGGAATGATATCAAATAAAATTCAATCAAAAATACCTCTAAAGTGAGTCCACATCAAAACAAAATAATGCAATTCATTTAACTCTTCTAAAAATGGAGAGAAAAAAAATATACCTCTGTACTTGTCTACTCAATGTACAATTCAGGAGAATAATTCAAAGAATGTGACATTTTTTTTGGAAATACAATACTATTTTTATACACATCTCTCATATTTTGGCATTTTATTCACAAATACCACGACATGTACCTTTTCACGTGCTTAGACATACCAGTGGCGAAAGTCAAAGGTCAAATTTCAACACGGTCTGCAGATAGCAACAGAGGCAGGATTCAAAGCTTTTTTAATGCCACAAATACAACACCAAAACTGATCGGTCAGCCTAGCATTATCAAGGGCCAGAGAGGAAACTGGAACCAGTATGACCTATGAAGCTCTGAAAACATCTATTTAAAAGAAATTCTTTCATTTTATTGTACGACCATAACCATGCTTTAACAAGCTACATAACTCAAATCACAGTTATTGGGTTTTTTATCTTTAAAAATGAGCTGCAATGTGCCTTCTGTTATACATACAGAGCGAAAAAATCTTCTTTTTGTTCCTCAAGAGACATCAAGATCTGCACTCTCATAGAGGTTATTTCTAAATTGATAATTTACCATTACATTGAGTAACATGTCTACATTTATAAATTCCTACTTCTGCAGTTTAAAGAGTGTTAATTTAAGTGATGTGTTAATTTTGGTGAATTGCATAAATTAAAAATTAGTGTACAATTAAGTGTCAATGTTTAGTATCATCCAATAAATTTTGAAGTATGATTTCACAACAGGCTTTTGCTTCTTTATTTTTAATCTGTTACAATTAAAAACTACCACAAACTTCCAGTAACACTTCCCAAATTTTCATGTGGGGAGGTGTATCTGACATACACACATTATGATAAATATCATCAAACCAAATCTTTCACATGTTTGCAAAAACTCTGTGAGTGATTACTTCAGATTTGTAAAACATTCATGCCATAAAATAATTGAATCATCAATGATTATAATACTAAATTTCTGCGATTTGCAAAAGCTTTTAGCCCCAAAATGACTGTCCTTCACAATTCGCGAAAGCATCGTGTTACACGGTATTCATTTCAAATACTAGCAGTCATTTGTCATATAACAACTGAAAACTGCAATCGAAACCTCAGTCGACACTAAGATATACTGGTAGATTCTAATATAACCTTCGACCACTTCCACTCTTGACCACTTGTGCGGTCACATTAATTGACCGCATAAGTGGTCAGAAACTTATCCTACCGGTATATTGTTATGTTGGTGTATTGTTCTCTCGTGACAAATGATATATTACAGGTGTTTTAAATGAGCTAAGTTTGACCTCAACCATCACTGAAAGTGTTAAAAAGTTAAAAAGACTAAAGATTTATGAGTTCTGGGAGATCATTTGGTAGACCCAAAGTATGAGGAATGACCCTTTATAAAAAAAACATCAAACTTTGTTCAATTGCAGGATTAATTTAAGAATGGAAATTTTTCAGCCTGCAGCATTCTTTAAGGTCATGTGATGTGCTATTCGGTATTCACTGTCTGCTGTTGTCTCCTACGGATATATCCTTGCACTCCTCTGTGAATTTCGGAAACCACTTTGGAATTTTCTACTCTGTTTTACAATTCTACTACGCCTCCACGTTTGTTCATTCTTTTAAGAATGGAAATTGTGCTGGTTGTCATACTTGTAGATCATAGGTCATAGGTCGAAGGTCATGTTATCCACTGCTGTCTCATTTGGTGGATTGCTCTGCCATCACCACATTTCAATCAAATTTCTGATTTGTCACATAATGTTAATATACTTCGCTATCTCAGTTTGATGGCTGCATTCTTTTACACTGGAAATTGTACCAGTTGTCTTACTTCAAAGGTCAAAGGTCATGTTATCCACTGCTGTCTCTCATATCCTTGTTCAGCTCTCCCATTACCACTTTGGAATTTAAATTCTGGTTACACAAGTTGAGCGCTGTTCAATTGCAGGGGTATTTTCAAAAAATTGGAAATTGTGCTGGTTGTCATAATGAAGGTCATAGGTCAAAGTCATTTTATCCACTGCTGTCTCCCATATCCTTGCACAGCTCTGTTGGTTTCTCTGCCATCTGAAAGGCACGACCCAGGTACAGAGGTCTCTTTAAAAGGCACACAGAGGTCAAGGGCCTCACAGAGATGAAAGGTCAAAGGTCAGACATCCTTTCTGACCTTCTTCTTCTTCTTGACCGGCTTGGCTTCTACCCAGGCATCTGAAGAAAAGAAAAAATTGATGCATTGCAAAATGGAACAAAGACAAGTGAGAAATGCTTCATTCGATACATGAGTTCAAGTAATGCCACTTGAGCAGAGTGAAAAGAGTGTTTAGACCATAACAAAACTAATTAAGTAGATACTAATGATTGCAGTGACACAGTATTACCTTTGTCTGTGTGTGTGTGGGGGGGGGGGGGGGAGGTTGTCCAGGGGTAATTTTCTCTGGGGGTAGTTCTCACGGGGGAGGGGGGCTCGTCAGAACAGGTGGTGGGGGGGGGGTGAATAGTTATCCAAGGTGCTTTAGTAACTGTAATGTTGCACAAGAGCTGAAGCCTGTTACTACAGTTCAAACATCTCTGCTACCTTTTTAATCCAATTATATCTATTTCCGTGATACACTTGGGTATCACATAGGTGATATACATAGTATTTAACATCTAAATTATTCAAACCCTTACCCAGTTTTGTTATTTATTTATTTTTAAGTATGTGAAAAAATTATTTGTCCCAATTTGTGTTTCTTGATGATGTAACATCGCAAATCTTTTTTAAAAGATTAAAAATACAAAAAAACATAGCAAATCTTACATCTAAATGTATTCAACAAAGGCCCTAATTGAACAAATCCACCTTTCATTCTCGAGTTACGAAAAAAACAAAAAAAACATCAAATTTACAAGGGGTATGAATAATTTAGTTATCAACTGCATGTATCTTACCTCCAGTTTCCCCGCCTGTTGCTCCTTCTTTCCTCTCCTCTGATTTTGCCTCAGCACTGGCTGGTGTGGCTGTGCTTGCTGGCTCTGGACTAGAGATGGGTTTGGGAGCCAGTCTCTCTTCTACTGTTTCTACTGCTACTGGTGCTTTTGTCTTGGGCTCTGACGGCGCTTTAGTATCAGGCTCCGATGGTGCACCTGTATGACACGCAGGTAAGGAGAGGTCAAAGGTGGAAGGTCATATCGAGGGTTCAGTGACATAAAGACGTAACTCCATATTTTGCCAAAACGAGTATTTGATATCAAAATGTTCAGAAAAATGTGGGCTTTCCAGGAAACACAAAGAATTAATTTTAACTCCACCCAACACCCCATTAAGGTCAATGGCTAGTGAAACATAGATTCAACTCTTTAAGGCCCAAGTGCTCAGTGACATATAAACCACTTTTTCTAAAAATGGCCAAAATAGAGTTAAGTCTTTGTGTCACTGACCCCTCGAAATGTGGACCTTGATAATTCAAATGCGCAATAACATTTGTACACATTGCATAGTTGTATATTTCTTCAGTTTCACCAGCGTCTTTGTTTAGGCAACTTCATGTAGAAATTAAATTCATTAAAGACAGGAGTAGTCAAATTGCAAATAATAAATGATAAAGTAAGTTTTGTATGAAATGTTACTTATTATATTCCTTCTACTGTACTAACCCAGTAACATGCAAAAAATCCTGAAAAAATTCTCGAACAAAAAAAAGATATTTATGTTTTTTTTTAAAGGCGTCACTGTGCAACACCTCCTAACAGCAAATTCTCCCAACCATTTAAAAATTGTCCTAACTTTTTTTCCATGAAAATAAGACATAAGACAAGCTTTCAAAAATCTTTCAACACTTAAATGTCTGGAATGGTTTATAGAGCCAATTCATTGCTTTGTGACGATTTACATTCACCTAAAATGTAATTGAATTGTAATAATAAAGTTGGGAGAATAAAGGAATCAATCAGATCAGGTTTTTCCCAATTTTTATCACTAATAATGATCTGTTTTCACACAAACTTTCAGATCTCATCTTAAAAATGTTACCAAGTCCCTTTAAGAACCAAGTGTTAATAAGTGAAACTATCCTACTTACCACTTGATGCTATATTGGGTTTGCTGCTTTTTATCGGTTCCACAGGAACTACTTTTGTTGCTGATTTCTTGGCAGATTTCTTAGGAGACTTCTTAGGCGTTCCTAGCGAAAATAAAAAATGACATCCTGATATGTATGTATTATAATAACAATCATTTAATGGGTATAAAGAGTGCTTCGTGTATCTATTACCAATTTACAGATATACAATTACCCTAATCCTCAAATTAAAGAGAAGGTTGAGTTCTGGAAAGAGGTGACAAATAATTTGTGAGCGTTATCATTGTATTACGCAAGTGTGGAAGAACATCAGATAAAAAATGTTTACTGAAAAGCATGGCTCTTCAAATGACTTAATTTTGTATAAATCATATATGGCATATAACATCATAAAAATTGGGGCGGATTTTTATGCCACATGTTCATGTAGTCACATATGCATCTTTCTGTGTACAGTGCGTGTAACTTTACCAAGACTAGCCCAAATTTCTTATCAGTTTGATGATTCCAGAACCTTGTGGTATACACCAATACTTATATGCTGGATGATCAACCTCTTCTGATCGATTCCACAACATTTCTTTCACAATGCGATCACACGACCAGAACTCAACTTTATCCTTAAAGTAGCTGAGCGAAGGTTTCAAAAGGCTTTTAACCTTAATAATGTTGGTATCATTGCAAAGTTAATGTTACAATCTTTCTAATGGTTCATACTTAGTTTTCAAAAATTGTTACAGAATTGACTTATCTGCTTTTAAAAGTGGTGAAATTACTACCCGATTATTCCGCCCTTGATCGGCCCGCTATTGTGACGTACGATTTGTGACGTATGAGGTTGGGCACATGAGCGAGAGTGCTCCTCAAGCTCTCACACAACTCTCGCCTGCATACATTATATGTATACAAACGCCACTCGAACGCTAAATATCTGATCAAAATGTCCGAGCTCGAAGAAAAGGTTTTACTCGATTTAGAATTCAAAGTTGATGGGCACAGCTCGACAACTAGTGGCAGTGGTACTGGTAGTGATAGTGATGATGATGGGGATGTAGGAGAGATGGAAGAAAGAGAACAATTCGGAGAAGATGGCGTCGATGCTGGTGCAGGTCAAGTGATAGCAAATCAGCGCGAGCTGGCTGAGCTGCCAGCTGCCGCTCAGCTCCCCCGGCCCTGCTCAACTGGCGATCAATCTGTCATGCACCCTGTCACTAGGGTGACTGGGCGAGGCATTTTCTAATTTTTCGGGATGTGTAGGGCTTTTGGGCAAATTTCACGGATAACAAAACAAAGACGACTTGATGTGAGATTATATTTGGCGAAAATTAATTACAAATATGCACCATTCATAAATAGAACTGCAGCTGCACGACATCATAAAAATGCAATGGGACGCTCGCAATTCACTCATCATGGTCTACATATATAATCAACAGCAATCACTATCACGTCAAGGCATGATGACCGAACAAATAAAAAACATCTCAGCAAATTAAACAGAACGGATGGGTATTTGGACAAATCGAATTGCACGATTCACCCCTCGTATTATATTACATAAATTTGCTTAATATTATACGTAATTACATGATTTCTAGAAATTGTTATTCCACTTTCTGGTCAGGATATGAAGCATGTAAAGTCTGGATAATGTATACGTATAGCTATGCAAAATACCGCATGCGAGCTGTGCGAGAGGCGACCTTGAGGCCTAGAATTGCGATCGTGCCCAACCAGTGACGTCATAATCGGCCTACTGCACGAACAAAATGTACAAGCCAGAAATTGAAGTTCTGAGAAGATTCTTGGAAAATGCTTTTTACCGCGTTTCATTTATATTTACAAGACTTTAGAGCAGAATGTGTGTGTTCAAATTGGTCTACGCTATCCGGACATGTATAATTTGCTCATTTTGAGTGATTATGCAAAATTTCTTCGCCAAGCTACTTTAAGCTTGCCTGCACACAATGTATGCACATTCCCCATTCCCTGGAGAGCCTACCAGCCCAGGAGCAACTTTGGCTAAGTAGAAAATCATAGCAAAATGCTAAATCAATTACTAATACTAGTGCAAATTTTAAAACTCTCAGCAAATCTCTCAATTATTTCCAAAAATAAATGATACCAACACGTAAAATAGTTCGTAAAGTAATAATGAATATTTCAAGAAATGATATTCTACATACCTTAACATAGAATCTAGGGCTATTTAAAATAGTGGGTTCTCGTATCATGTTCATGTCTGTCAGACGTGACACTCCTGGCGCTCCACAATTATTACCCCGGCTTTAGCATAGCTGCCATTACGGCGCTCAAGCATTTCAAGGAATCAATTCCTGCCAGGTACCCATTTACCTCACCTGGGTCAAGTGTGGCAAATGCAGATTATTATCTTGACAAAGGACATTAATGCCATGGAAGGGGGGGGGGGGGGGGACTTGAACCGCGAACCATGTGATTCACAGTCCAGTGACGTATCCACTAGACCAAGACACCTCAGCAGGTGTGGTGTCTTGGTCTTATACATCCAAAGCCTAGCTTGCACTTAAAAGGGAAGTCCATTCTGATATTAAGTTGGCATTAAGTCGCCGTAGCAATTGGACAATTAGACACACCGTAGCCATGCCGTAGAGCGGTTCCATGACGACCGCACGTAGGGCGTACGGAGGCCTTGCGGCTACCTTGCGTCTGCCTTGGAATTTGACAAACACCTACGGCCACCGCAGGGACGTCCTAAGGCGACCGTGCATCATCACTTCAAAGACCGTCCGGCAGCCACAGGTTTTGTGTCTCCACAAATTTGAAATACGCCGTGCGGCTACCCTAACATTTGTGATGGTACAGTATGTGACCGTGGGAATGCTGCGGCAGCCCTATAATTGCTATTGGCCGTAGATATTTTTGACCCCACGGCCGCTGGGCAAATGTGATCTAGACATAACCTAACCCCATCCCAACCATACCTATTTTCACTGAAACCTGCTCTTACCTTGCTTTTCCTTGACTGGGCTAGCGGGTTTGGCACTGGGTGTGGTGGCAAGGGGCTGGCTGGCAGGGACCTCTGGCAAATTGGAGGGCAGTGCTGGTGCAGGGCTTGCCGGAGCTGATGCTGTAGTCTGGGCCTATGGGAAATTTGGAAGAAGATGAATTCACATTTGTAATGATGGTAATAGTAAGTACTTGGATATGCTTTACAGATTGGCAAACCATATAAGAATTACATCAGAACTGCAGACATTCAAGAGCAACTACAGTGTAGTTGTGGCAAAGGGCTGGCTGACAAGGCTCACTGGCAAATTCTTGCTATCGTCAATACCCCAAATGCCCGGATGTTAATTTCAAGAACCCATTTCCACTCTGGGATAGGCATAGCTCGGCGACTTTAAGCGATTTTTTGAAGCTAGAATAACAAACATGAATCACAAATCAAAACGCCGTTAAAAAATATGGTTACATGGTTATCAAGCGAATTTTCATTAACGCTGATTCTCGCTCATTTCAAGCCCATCCACTGCTCATCACACTGCATTTTGACCCAGGAAGTAAAGGTCAACTTCGCCGCGTGCCTTCTGTCTGTGTTTACAGTCGATTTTCGGTCAAACCGAAAGCAGGCCATCATAATGATGCTATAGAATCATGATCGAGATCTCCATTCGTTCGAGCAATTTTTAGCGACCGTGATTCTGCAGAATCACGATACAAAATGCATCTTTTTCACAATTTTATGTTTGCATTTTTAACATGTTTATTTGTATGACCGACGAAAAAACGCTTGAACGCAACCGTGTTTTAAACTTAACGTCTTTTTTCACTGACCTGTTTTTCTCAATTTTAGGCTTCTATTAAAACCAACTTAATATCAGGGTGGACTTCCTCTTTGATGTAAATTATCCTTTGCTCTTTTAGTATCATTTCCTTTTCCTCTATATCAACATATGAGTTAACATTATTCTAAAACACTTTACATGTATATCCTGCATAATGTCAATATGGTTTTTCCAATTCCAATTTCCCTTTTATTGTGACTATAATAGCAGATACATTGACCAAACAACTTAATTTGTTAAATAACAATATTAGCCTACCAACAGGATATGAAATCAATACTTATTGAGAAGAAAAAAAAGGAAACCTAAAACCTAGGTCTATGAAACTGGACAGAGATATGTATCCATAGAAAATAATATCTTTGATTGTTCTTGAGATAACAATTTAGATAACCACAGCGTCAATTTTGAAACATATACTCTTCTTATCAGGAATAATAGATACATTCTTTAAAGGTAATACAAAGTTTTGGGAAATTATGAAAATTGGGTGGATAGTGATTCTTAACAATTTTGATATATTTGGATGCCCCTGTGGATGTATTATAAGCACTAGAAAATTGAGCCCCTAAAACACTCCTGCTTTCGAGTAAACTTGAATAAATTTCAAATAGCGCTTGCGGCCATACAATTGTAGCTGTGACCATGAAAATCTCAGAATATGCAGTTGTGATATATAATTTCCAAACAGAAATTGCCAATCGGTTGAAGAATCGGTCAAGAAACATTGTTTTATGGCTTAATTAATATCTTGACCTTGAGAGGGAGCTATACAACATAAAGAGTTTATTATTTACAATTTCATAACTTTAGACTCAATTTCAACCGCGACAACAATCACTGAATATTGTAGGATCGTATGCTTCCAATATGTTCATTTGAACCAAATTCATGACCCCATACCAAAACTCTGTAATACCTTGAAAGCCCCACTACACTACTTGTAGCTACTTGTGCCCTCTATATAACAAACAATGCCTAATCGGTGACCATTGGTCCCCCATGATCCTTTTTTTCTTATGTTAACTGAGAGCTGAGTTGATGAGATAACCACCTGTCCAGTGACCTTGCAGGGCGCTCTAATCCCTCCTGTTAACTACGGCAGATAAGCTTTAATGCGTAGATAAATGGATCAGCTCTCATGGAATAAAATACCAGAAAATCTAAAAAAATTGTGGTACTGTTGACAACTTTAAGACGCGTCTTAAAACATTTCTTTTCAAAAATACTTTCCCATGTTAAAGAGAGGAGGTATGTTGGGCATACCTCACCCTCCTTATGTTACTCTATCCATCTTTCCTTCTTACTCTTTCTTACAGCACATAGGGCGTGTTTATGCTTAACTTTTTCTGGCCAGTTTTGGCATCTATTACGCTTTTAGTTTAAAACATGGTTGCGTCCATGCTCACTTTTGTAGAATCACCGAAAAACGGCGATCACGATCGCCGATTGAAACTCGTTTAAATGGGGTCAACGCACTGACCTCTAGTGGGTCTACGTAGCATGCACAGTGCAGGTTGCGAATCCAGCTGCAAGGCCAATTAAGGCCACACAGGGAGAATTGCCTGGAGGAGCCAGAGAAGTAAGCATAAACAGTACACAGTGGAACTGCGATTACGATGAGCATTTACGATGTGCGTTTCAGATCGCTCATTCTACCTTCAAAATCAAGCATAAACGCAGCCATAGAGACATATTGTGATATGCGCTATATAAGTATGGTATATTATTAATATAAGTATGGTATATTATTAATTATTATTTCGTGTCATACCTTGCCCTTTTTCTTTTTGCTCTTCTTTGACTTTGTGACTGTGAACTCCTCCTCTACCTCCTCGGCCTTGCCCTCAGGCTCCATCGGCGCATCCCCACTTTCTGTCGGTTCCACTGCACTCTCACTCGGTACCTCCTGTGCACTGTCAGTGGCCACGCTCGGTTCCTCAGGCTTCTCGGACGGTATCGTGGATGCAAAGTCGGCGAGGGCAGCTGCAGCTGCTGCTGCTTTCTTTTTCTTTCTTGAGCTTTTGCTACTGGTGGTGGAAGGTGACTCCACTGCCGCAGGAGGGGCGGCAGCTAGAGTCTCGGGAGCTTTCTTCGCTTCTACCTTTTCCTCAGATTTCGTCTGCTCTTCAATCTCGGGAGTTTTCTTCTCTTCGACCTTTTCCACAGATTTCGTCTCTTCTTCTTCAGTCTCAGGAGCTTTCTTCGCCTCGACTTTTTCTACGGATTTCGTCTCTTCTTCAGTCTGGGTGGCAGCGTTCTGCTGACGAAATATTACAAACATATCATCACATCATACAAAAGTCAAGTATAATGTGAAAATCTCAATATCACATTCGGAGACAGTGGATTAAGAATAATAAACTTCAAAATCTTAATCTGGCTCTAAGAAGACACAAATATTTAGTTAGCTTTGCAATCGGTGAACTGCTAGTAAAGATCTCTGTGAGGGTTTCGTCTACCAGGAGGGGGGGGGGGGGGGGGGCTTCATAACCCCCCATTGCTTCTACCCTCTGGCCCTACGTCACAAACCCTTCTCCTTCAAATAAATATTTTCATCTCCATCAAATAAACAAAACTACCAGAACCACATGAAGACATTTCCAACGGTCTATCTAATCACATCTTCATTCCCATTCCTTTCACTCTCGATCTCTTGCTGTTTCTGTTTGGCAACACCCACCTCTGCAGTCATATTAGACTCTCCAACAGCCGCTTGCTCGGTGGCTTTGGGGCTGCTCTGTGCACTGTCCCATGAGGCCGTCATCTTGTAAGGCCTGGGGGAGAGCCTAGCTGGGCCTTGACTGGTGACCTCTTTGTGGCCTGCATTCTGCTTGTTCTGCTTGCGCTCCTTCTTGGAAATGGGGGTGATCCACCCTTCACCTGTAGCCAAGTATATTATCATTGGAATGTTAACATCATGTGCAAAAGTAATTGTCACCAGGAGTACGAAATTGCTGCTTAACATACATACGTCATGTATGCAACTGTTCTGCGTAACAATCATAGAAAAACTGAACATAAATTACTTAAGGTTCAAAGCAAAATATTATATTGGACTACATTACATGTATGTAAAAAATATTTGAGGCATTTATATGTGATTTACTTCTTCTGAGAAGAAAAAAAAATGACATGTGTGTTCATGTTAATCTGTTTTGGGGTTGTTTTTTTTTGCAATATCAAAATACTTAGTAACTGTGAACTGTCATCATTGTCATAGTATTTCTTGAAAATATTTGAGGCATTTATGTCAACTACAACTAATTGAAATAGATCTTTAATATACACTCACCCAATTCAAAACCCAAATGCCCCAATCTACACGTAAGGTGCATGTACAGTATGTGTACTTTTATAGCATAAAACACTAGACATCAGTGATATGTACTTTCATTGAATAAAATGAACATTTTATATATGAGGCACTCATGGAGGTAACTGTAACTGAATTCTTGAATTCTGATATGTATGAAATTTACTTTATCAAATGAAGACCTCATGGGTAGAGCTCAAATTCAATCATTCTCAATTTCTCCTCCTCATTCATCAGTAATTTTCAACTCTTTGAACAAAGTCCTAAACATCAAAGCAACTAACTATGTACATCTTATTAGCTTCAGATTAAATACAAACAGAAAACTGTTGGAGAATATTGATGCCCTGTGGAGAATCTGATGACTCAGATTTTCCAGGAAACTTTCACGTGAAATACCGCCTTGGAATCTCTCCACCCACATACCAACCATGATAACATAAACATACTTGTTGTAACTCAAGTGATTTGTCCAAAAGAGACCAGTAATGGGGATTCTAAGTTAATATGTACATTGTAGAGCCTGTATGTGTTGGCAGTGCACCTTGTTAAAAATGTGAAATTGAGGGGATGGACTTAGATTAGGGGCACCACTGTGTCTCGGAGGGGGGAGGGGGGCTGGTAAAGTCAAGCCCTGCAATGACTATACAAGACAATTGTATTTTTTTTCTCTATATAGACCTATTCTTCACATATCCCAAACACCATCTTGAAACATTATTGATTTTTTTTCGTCTATCATTTACTCTGTTACATGTAACTATGACTGTGAAAAAAATTAATTCAATATGGATCAACATCAATAAATACAACAAAAAGAAATACTGTGCAACACATCTACTTATCTATTACAAGTGTAAATTCAACTCGATTTGTGTTAATTATAAATTGTGTGGTGATAAAGCAACTTAGAATTGATCAATCAAAACCACCTGACTGATAGCTTTATTTTTCAAGATTAGACTGCGTAGACTTGTTTCACTTGTTAAAATTGGAATGGAAACTGGAAAGCAGCAATGCAATACTTCATGAATTGATTGTAAATATTGATCAACAAAGACAAATCTCACTTCCTGCACGGGATTCAGAAAGGTCTGCTTTGAAGCACAAGCTGGCTTAGTACATTGTCTGTTTTTTCCTTCTTCCTTTTTTTCAACACTGGGTAATACTATACACACAGCCCTAGACATAACTTTCCTCAATTTCAAACTCAAGATTAAAAGAAACAACAAGAACTGAAATACTGGGAGGCCTCAGATTTTTGCTGTTAGCACTAATAAATTTTCAAGATTTAGCCTGGTACCAAAAATAGAATATCAAATATAAAAATTGAAAATAAGAATAAAACAAAAACAAACACCTATAGCCAGGGCTTCGTTTCTGAAGGGCATCTGGATTTAATTCTAGAGTTTGTATACATAAGAGTTGAGACCGATATAACATTTTGAGGTTCTTGACTGAGATTTTAGACGCCCTTGTGTCCAAGAGTCCTGTGACATGTTAATGTTGAGCCCAGCTTTAGCTCTATATCATAATAGGCAAAACAGGGTTACAGACTTACAGCATTGTTGACTAGGTGAATTATTTCTATACTATATTATTATATAATTATTTTTACCATTAATGTCTTCTTATCATTATTCATCATTATCATTAACAAAATACAGCATTTAAGAGCTACAATTTAATCTTAGAAGCAAATGACTGAACAACAGCATGGGATGATTTTAATCACATCTGGATATGAGATGATGAGAAGTACATTCCATCATACTAGTTTGTAATTTGTGATCATTTCATGATAAATTTACTTTAGAATCAACACTGCTGCTACCCGACATTGTAAAGAACCATGAGTACCATTTTCCACCCCACATGCTATTACGAAGACACCCAACCCTTTTTTTAAAATCCACATCACATAATGTTGGCCCCTTGACGGATACCCAATTTTTTATATTTTTTTAGGGGAAACCAAATTTTAAATGCATAAGATAAAGCCTGATTCTTCTTCCTCTACTCCACTAAAAGTCCTGTTCCTCTCAATCTGTCCTGTATGTTCCAAATTCTTTATACCTCCATGATTGTTCTTTGAAAGTAAAATACTTTTGCTGACGTGCATCTCAATCTACCCAATACCCAATTATGACATAAATGGCTCTATCGCCACAAATCGTAGTCCAGATGATCCTACACTTTACATGTATATGCTCCTGGGCCAATTACAGTCCAAGGGAAGTCCACCTTGATATTAAGTTGGTTTTAATAGAAGCAGAAAAATGAGTGAAGCAGCAAAATGAGAGGAACAGGTCAGTGATGGTTATTATTTGTGACAAGTTCACAAGCACAAATCAGTGCCTTCGACTGTAACTCACAGTAAAATAAAGGTCCTTCCCCGCGTGGGTTTTTGATAAGGGACCTGGCCTGCTCCCTGCGAAGTCGGCCCCCAAAATAGGGGGGCATCTTATACACAGGTGCGTCTTATCCACAGAGATTTACAGTAATCTGATTTTGCTCAAACTTCCACTAAACTGCTTTCTCTCATTTTTGTGCAACTAAATATTAGGGTGTATTTCTTCTTTAAAGCCTATTTGCACTAGTTTGGCAAGGAGGGATTTAGACCTCCCCGCATGGTCACTGGCAGGTGGTTATCTCATAAAATCAGCTCTCAATCAACATAAAAAAAAGGGGACCATGGGGGATCAATGGGTACCACTTAGGCATTGTTGGCTGTATAGAGGGCGCATCTGGCGCATCTGGCGCAAGTAGCTACAAGTAGTGCAATCCCGCTTTAAGGTTACATGTAGGTTTGGGTATGGGTTAGTCAACTCAAGGGTAAAGTGTTTAGTCAAGGATTGAAGTTACAATTTCAGTGGTTTTTCTGAATACTTGCCTCCTTCTTGCTCCTCCTTCTGCTGCTGTTTGCCAGCACCCTCGTTGGTCTTCTTCTGCTTTGCGGCACTGTTATTTGTCGTGATCTTGGGTACTGCTGGCTTAGCCTTCTTGGGTGAGGCATTGCTACTGCTACTGCTTGGAGATGTCTTGACTGGTGCTACTTTCTCCCGGTTCTCTTTCTGTGTTGGTACTGACCCATTGGTACTTGCTTTCTCTGGCTTCTGTGAAGATAAAACAAGTTCAGTCTGCATGGTTAGGCTTACATTTCCCACAAGACATGCATATATTGCCTGTTTGGAGCCAGGAGGGCATTAACCCAAATATTTTACTACAGATTTAACGCCCTTCTGGCTCTGGCTCTGGCTCTGGCTCATACTGTACAATTGCATGAACAGAAGTCCAGAACTCAACTTTGTCTTTGTCTACAAGTTTTAATGTATATTTTGTCTGTGATCTCAATAACAAAGATGATATGCAGTCACAACATTCAAACTACATACACTGTACATAAAAGCATCAGATTCTTCAGACAACTTACATATATCTTAAAGACTCTAGGTAATTCTCTGGTTTCTGCCTAACATAGAAAAATAGCCTGGAAAGAGAATAGTTATGCACTCGCGATTACTACTCGTGATACCTCACCTTCATGGCCACATACTTACTAAGGGTTAGGGTTGGTTGAATTTTAGGCCGTTCGAGGTATCGCAATCGTGAGTGCGAATCTATTCTCTTTCCTTTTTTTTTCTACTTCGGCCTTTGGGCGGAATCAGGAGAATTACCAGACTCCCATAATAAGTGGAAAGAATGTTATCCTACGATTCCCTACTATAAATTAGGTAACTGGGATCGAATGCAGCATAGCTCAAACACTCTCAGAGTCAGAGACAGAGTTACGGCCAAATTTTTTGTAAAAAATTTCTCTCACAACGAAGATTCCCGAAATTCATAACATGAAACAGATTGCGATTTTGACCATGTACATCTGCGTCAATCATTTGATATTCACTATCAGATATTGATAACACTTAAAAGTCTTTATTTGATGGAAAGATGGCTGAAAATGCCAGACATGAACAGATTTGATATCAATGAATTGAACTTTGAGTTTGAAGAACGTTATCAAGACTAACTAAAAACGAGAGCACCTGAAGAGTTCCTTTTTAACAGTAACACACCTGAGCAATGCACACTAGATTATACATAGAATAGCATTTCACATCGTCCAATTCCAATAGCTTTAAAGTTTAGAGAGATGAATAAACATACCGAGGTCACTCTTTTTCTGCCGCGTCTTGATTTCTTGTCATTGGATTCATCATCAAAATCGAAACTCGGTGGCTGCGGACTCGTCATGCGAAATCCAAACATGAAGACAAGACAAACGAGAACAATCACGGCTAAAACCGGGATTGTAATGTGCGGTGGAACGACGCTTTGGACATCCATGTTGGGTTATCAACCGTCACCTAAAACTCGTGAAATTCGTAGTCATTTAGGAGTTCGTTTTCGTTTTCAAGTTCACCAGCTGTTCACAAGTTTCATTCGTGTCACTGCATGATTTTTAGCGTGCACAACATAAATGGCCGATTTTGTACACGTACGTACGTAGTGACGCACAAACTAGATTTGTTCCAGTCGTTTGTAATATCTATAAACTCAGCAATTATTTTCTTTTTCAATTGAATTTAACTCTTATCTATTTTGTACAGGCATAAACATTAAAATAGTTCTTAGTTTTATTCAATATCCACTTATGATTGTATCCTTCCCTTCAAATGTATTTTAATTTTAATCACAATAAACAAAAGACTTGAACGAAGCTATCAATTACATCCTCCGCAGCCACGTAAGCGTAACATTTGCGATGTTATTGATACATCCACGCTGAGTTTCGAGAAATTGCGAAATAATAATTCGCAATAATAGAAAATCTTGGTTTAAGGGGCTTTCGATGGAGTGGTGCATGTAGGCTCAAAAGCTAAGGGGAGGGACACCGCCCCCCCCCCCCCCCCACACCCCTGCATAGACACGCGTCCCTCCAATCCCGGCGGATTCACCCTTGACCATTGTGGAAGCCTTTGAAATTAGATGAGGGCGATTAATTCCCGAGATCTTAGCTAGAAGATTAACATGGGGGGAGGGGGGGGGGGTATACTCACACATTAAGACATACGAGGTGTGCCGCTTTATCAAATGGGTCATTTTTCACACAAAAATCCCTTAACAAGGGTCCCATTTTTAACCCCAAAAAAATCCCTAGACATGGGTCAATTCAGCATCAAAATTGTAAAAAATGGGCTTATTTCGAGAATAATCCCCCAAAATGACCCTTAAAACAAGCGCGTAGCTAGGATTTTATTTTAGGGGGGCGGTAGTGAGCACGCAAAGCGTGCGAATCACTTAAAGAGGGGGGGGTGGAGTGCAGGGAGGGGGAGTTTCCCCCCTCTTGCGCGAAGCGCAGAAGCTTTGAAAAAAGACGATTCGTTGTACCTTTCTCGACCCTTAATCCTTATCTGAATTCATTTTCCTCCCCTCCCGCGCAAAGCGCGGAAATTTGAAGTTTCATTAATTATTAGAGAAAGAAGACGACTCGAAGTACCGTTCTCGACTCTTAATCCTTGTCTGAATTCAGCCCCCCCCCCCCCCCCCCCCTCTCCTTGTCGATGCTGAGCTTTAGAGAGAAAAAAAAGAATTTCATATCTTGATCATAGTGAATCAGGGCGTTAAACAGGGACATGGGGTCGGCAAACAGGCGGTTAATTGCTCCCTTTTCATTGGAAGTAGAGAATACATTTCGAATGCCTCCAATCAAAGCGCCCTTCCCCCGGTCCGCCTAGTGAAAAAAAATGACAATCGAACTGAGCTAATAAGGCTCACAGTCACAGAGAACTATATTCATGCATTTCTGCTTTCCCCAAAGCTTTTGGGGAGAAACAAAATTCAAAACTTAAAGAACTATTGGTCGAACTTTTAAAACCAACTATATATAGAGCGACAATAAATATATCTGTCATAACCAAAAAGGTATTCAGTTCTATCTTATCACGCTTGTGATTTATGAGCTCTCCATGATGCATGAGAAGATAGTTATAACCTAGGAATAAAATGACTTTGTTTGAATAAATCAACTGAAATCACCAAACTGGGAGTGAGTGACGTAGCTATAGAGCATGGAAGCACGTGCCACTCGCTCCCCCCCCCCAAAAAAAAAAAAATCGAGGGTGAAAATTAAAGAAAAGAGAGACTAGGGAACCCAGAGAAAAAGGGACGAGAAAGAAAATGTCTGGACCATCTCACGTACTTGCTCTCGGGGCGCTAGCCTCCCCTAAAAAAAGGAGTTGATTCCCCTCCCAATTTTTCTTAATTATTCTAGCACGTGTATAAAATAAATGCAAAACCCTCAGTTCCCCCATCCCCTATCAAAGTCAGGGGCGGATCCAGCCGGCGGCAGGGGAGGGGGCCAAAGAGGGGGCCCAATTCGTGAGAAAATATTTGGTGGCGAAACAGCCAGTCGGTGAATAAGCGGGGTAGTGAGCACTAATTTTTATGTTGCCCTCGAAATTTTAAAAATCGCACCCTACCCCCCCCCCCCCCCCCCGTCCTTGAGCACCAGGGGAGGGGTACTGGATCCGCCACTGCCCTAAGTCGCATCCTACAAATTAGTTCCATAGAACCTCGCCTTGGAAAAAAAAAAAATAAATAAATAAATAAAAACGTTACTTATAAAGCGCTTACCACCGAAGTCTCTAAGCGCTATACACACAAAATAGACTGATATACAATTACATCTTATACACAACTTAAAGGGAAAGTCCACCCCCAAAATAAGTTTGTTTCGATAGAGGCAGAATAATAAGAAAATCAGGTGAGTGAAAGTTTGAGCAAATTCTGAATGAAAATAAGAAAGTTATGAATTAATGAAGTTGCGATCAATCAAATACAAATTGGCAACGCTGTGACTTATTATACGAGCTCTCCTTCATTTGCTCAGTGCATAATATTCCATAAAATCATGTTTTCTTCGTTATTGATGATGGAATATATATTTGTTCCTTGCAGGGGGAGTATAGAAACATATTTGCAATTATCATATTTAGGGTGCATGTATGGTTGAAATTTTTCTTGAGGGAAAATGAAAATTTTAGATTTTTTTAGTACTGAGCAAATGGAAGTTGAGCTCGCATGATACGTCATAGAGTTGCCAATTTGTGTTTGATTGATCACAACTTCAAAAATCCTAACTTCCTTATTTTTAATCGGAATTTGCTCAAACTTTCACTGACTTGCTTCTCTCATTTTTCTACTCCTATTAAAACTAACTTAATTTCAGGGTGGACTTTCCCTTTAAAATGCAAATAGACATACAAATTACGATACATATGGAATACACGTCAAAGTGAACAGAGTTAATTAATCATCAAACGCAATTTTGCGCTCGATCCTTCGTTTCTTTGACCTTAATTTGTTCTTCCATCTTCCAAAATACAAGTGCCGTTAATAAATTCGGGAAGTTTTCTTGGTTTGTAGCTCAAATATATTTTTTCATAAATTATTACACAAAATGAGGGACAAGCTACAGAACAACCAGGGATATTAAACTCACATATCCCTGGAACAACCAATTCAACAGACAATCCTCAGACATCTCCATAATAGTTAAGAGCGCCCTCTCTCAAACTTAAAACGCGCACCGTCGTAAATTTGTCCCAAAATCATGTTCAAAATGTTTCTTCGTTCGTGAATCTATTGTAGTTTCAAGTTACTCTTTCGAAAGAATTGTTATACTTTTGCTCATCCTTATAAAAAAAATATAAAGAACTGATAGGACTATACTACAACTCCGTCCTACTATGTCTTCATTGATCGCAACAATCCCCCCTTTTTTTTTTTCTTCTTTTTTTTTTTTCTTCTTTTTTTATATTTTTTACTTGTACCTGATATCAGTGGCGGAACCAGGGGGGGGCGGCCCCCTCCCCTGAAGAAAAAAAAATGTAAAAACACGTGAATTTAACCCCTTTTTTGTTATAAAAGGAGACAGACCCCTTCCCTGACGCTCAAGGGGGAGGGGAGGGGGGGGGGATGAGTGCTCTGAGAATTTCAAATTTTCGGGCGGAAAAATAAAATAGCGCTCACTACCAAAAAAAATCTCAAAAATAAAGTGCTTCCCTGTGACAAACAAATGCCTCTTTCGAGTTCCAAGTAAACATGTTATGACCCTTTTGCAAAGTGCCCCTCCTGATATCTATTGCGCATTTTTACAATGTGTGACCGGAACAAATTTTCTATTCTTGTAAATTTGGATGAATAAAAAGAATTGTATTGAATTGAATTGATGTAAAATTCCCCCTTCTTTATGTAGGGGTCTCAGATTACAAAACGCAACCCAAGTTTAAGGTTTTGCCGTATTCCAATTGCATGAATGATTTACACTTTCACATATAGTACCTTAATGCCTTAATTTACTTATAATAAGCAGCTTTCCATGTTTCGGCTGTTTCCTTTTTCTCTAATTTCTTTTAAACTTTAAAAGAAGCTTTCTTCAGTTTTATGTATTTCCCACCCGGACTTTGGATGAAAAAAAGAAATGATTTCAATTATGTTTGCGGGATTTAGCATCTGAAAACTTAAGCGTGATTATGGGTCAAATGGGTGAGATATTAATCTGAAGATAGAAACCCATGTTTGAGGCCAAGATCTGAAAAGTGGGGGCACTAATTTTATCGGGATTTTGCACTCACAAAATCAATGTTTAGGGATTTTTTGCAAAAAAACACACAAACCCCATCAGAGCGGCACATCCCCGTATACCGTATTGGGTACATCGGGGGGGGGGGGGGGCATAGGCTCTACTCAGTTCAGTAGACAACAGGTTGACATGCATCTTACTTTTTAATTAAAGGTAACCCTTCAATCTTTTTTTTTTTTGGGGGGGGGGGGTTGTGCTTTGATCTTTCACTACAACGCCCCCCCCCCCGAAGTTCAAAGTATGAGGATGTGGAATTAGGTAATTATCACTATTTGGTGTAACCGGCAAATATGCATATTACTTTTTCTACGACGTGTCATGTTTTTCTTTGAAAGTAATTAGGCCAATTTTGTAATGTAACCAAATTTAATACAGAAATCTTTGTGAAGTGTCTCGATACAAACTATTTCATTCACCTGATAAGAATAATAGTATTTCAATAGACAGAATCCGAATTGCATACATCATTAGTGTTTCCAGGTAGGACAAACATTATGGATTGCCCTACCTAGCAACACTTGATATATGCAGTTTGCATTCTGACTATTGAAATACTTTTATTCGTATCAGGTGAATAAATTAAGATGTATTGAGGCACTTCACAAAAACTTATGCAATAAATTTGTTTACATTACGAAAATGGCATATTTAAATTGTTATTCTTTATTCATGATACGACCCGAATGGCCTTCAAAGAGGGCACGAGGGAATGTTTTAATTGCTAACATGATTAAAGTAGGAGGAAGGAGTCTTCGATCATTCAATTATACATAAAACATGCCAAAGGTTCATATTTCTATCTGTCTATCTGCTTATGAAACCAGTTCCTCTGGAATTTCCTAAGAACCGCAGATTCCAGGCCAATCAATAAAAATGTGGACTCCTTGAGCAAAGAATACAAGCCAATAAAAGTCCCCAAACTTTTGTGTGTGTATTGAGAATGCACACAGCGCATCGTACTGGGATTAGATTAGCGAAGTGAATAGTGGAGCGACCGTACCGTTCCGGGGAATTGGCCGCGCCCGAATTACCAAACTTCAGTTTACACGAGAGAACGGAGGAGGAGAGACATGAAAATGGCGTTGGGGCTAATCGTAAAGCTCCTTTTCGCGGCTATTTGCTGCGTATCTGCGACAAGCCATGAAAACGAGACATTAGTATTGAATCCTCCTTATTTTAACATTGCCCGTGGACGTGAAATCGAGGCGACTGCGACCTGCGGTGAGGGATTTGCTACCCCTGGAGAGCAGGGGGAACTTTACTGCAAACTTACTGGAAACACGGCTGACATCTACCGACCCGGCGAACATGTTATCATCCAAGGGCAGTATTGTGATAATTGTGACCCCGGCGATCCCGCCAAGGCACATTCCATCGAATACGCAATCGACGGTACAGAGAAATGGTGGCAGAGTCCTCCGCTATCCCGCGGGATGAGCTTCAATGAAGTCAATGTCACTGTCAATTTGGGCCAGGTAAGATGGAGGCAGATGAAATGATGATGAAGAAGAAATCGCAAGGAATGTCAGAAGAAAAGTCAGAATTAGGGGACAGATGATGATGATGATTTTGTTGATGATGATGTTGGTGATGATAATGGTGATGATGATGATGATGTCGGTGATGATGATGTTGATATGATGATGTGGTTGATGATGATGTTTAGTGATGATGATGTTGGTGTTAATGATGTTGGTGATGCATGAAGATGGTGGTAGTGTAGACAGCAATAACCATCTGATTTGGGTCATTTCTTTAATAAAACTGACATTTGTTGTCATTCCCCAATAATCGGAGGTCTAGTGGAACCAGACGTAATCTCAGTGGAACAACCGACGATTAGAGAGACTGAAGTTTTCGGTCTAGTGGTAGTGGTGATACTGATGATGATGTTGGTGACGATGATTTGGGGGATGATGAATATTAATTGCACAGGTGACTGGTGTCGATGTAGACTGACTAGAGTTGATGAAAGAAAGAAAAAAATTGGGAAGAACGATTATCATAAAGAATTTAAATTGTTGATGATCGTATTGATGCTGGAATCATTTTATAATGGATTCCTTGCTGATAGAATCAGAATGACAGAATTGCTGATGATGATTGCGATACAATTGATGAGGATGATATTTGATGATTTAAAGTGATTATAATGGTGATGTTAACTACAAAGAGCACGAAGATGTCAAAGTTCACAAAGGGTATTAATTAGCAATTGCACTGATGTCAAAATCTCAAACTTAAAGTCAGGTAGCAAGTGGCAGGGCTCTTGCAGAAGTTAAAATAAAAGAACATGGCAATGGTAGATGTCATGATCAGTGATGGCATTATCAGGATGATTGATGACATACTACCATGGTGATGGAGATGGTGATGATCATCAACAATTTACACTTGGAAAAAAAAAACCTTTGCAAATTGCAAAAAATAAATTCTTGTGTAACTTGTGTCAGTTGTAATTCATTATTTGGCAATATAAAACTTTCATGAATCCAAACAAATCCAAACCTCTCGCAAAGGTTTCATGCATGTCAGAAGTTTCAAGTTTTGATGATAGACAGGAAGTGGACTAGCCTTCAATCTGAACAATGACATACACGTACAGTTGGCAAAGATGAAGAAAAACATTGTGACAACATGGAATTTGGGGCAGAAAAAACAACAAATAATAATAAAACGACACTTTACTGTAATACTAAGGATTCATATTCAGAAGCGTTAATCATTATGAATATGATGTGCATACAAATCAAAAAATTTAAAGTCAAAGAGCTTAAAGCCAATTTTAGAATTACTGTAGATTCTCTATAGCCTAGGATTTTGACTTTACAAAAAGTATTAAGTGAAGATCAAAATTCCCCCCCCCCCCACCATTAAATTTGTAGATGCCAGAGATTTCCAGCAATTCAATGAAATTTGTGTATGATAAATTTAAAAATAGTTGGGAAATTAATACTTAACCTTACACTACATACTGTACGCAAGGAAAAGTTGCCTGTAATGTGCTATTTGCACAGGTTGATTTCAATATACCATAGCTTGCATGAATTTGTGAATCACAAATTGTGATGCTTCAATTTGATTTAATTTCTGTTGCTTGTAGGACTCTCCAATTGCATAACCTGTACACCTCTTGACTTTCTTGCACACTGCTATTTATTTGTTGGCCCAAACTGAAAGACCTACATTTCCTTTTTGCTGAAACCTGTAAAAAAACTCAAGTAGCCTGTCCAGTCCAGAGCTTTTGTTCCCATTATGTGAAACGTTGTATAACTATAAGGATCCAGGCTTCACTGAGCAGCCTTTATGCACTGAGAACCCCTTTGACAAAGGGATGATTTTATGTGTAGAGACTCAGTGTCCATTGGATTGGGTAAGAGGAATGCACAAATTTGCACAAAAGGACCTAGATTGAATTTTAAAGGGTGAGATTAGCCAAAGTGGAGAGCCCAAATGCACACAATGCCACACAAAGCTATCTGCAAATTCCCTCCCATCTCCACACTGGGCCTATGGGACTAAAACTAAAAAAATGCAAATACAGAATAAAGAACCGAAAATTGCTTCCGGTCTTAGTATTAGTGTTTTTTTTATTTGAATTAATTTTTCTTCTAAAATGTAAGCTGTATTACAATCAAAAGTCAGATCATTCTTGGTTGTAAATTTATGACATTATGTTACTTTGGGGAAGAAAAAAAAAGAAGAAAATTATGTGAAATATTCTTGTGTGATATTCTTGTGTGATATTCAAGTCTTGTGCCTTGTAAAGTATTGACTCTAAAGGGAGAAATTATGAAGAAGAAATAAACAGACCAAAGAAAACTAAACAAAACTTTCCACCTGCTTGTGGAAATGGATTTTTCAATCCAAGTTATTTAACTACATACTTAGTACCAGTCTAGTTTTAGATCTAGGTATAGACCGCCATTATGCACAGATATCAGGAGCTCACTCTGACAGTCCTGATCTACCGGTATAGGCCTGTCTTCATCAGCTCGAGTTTGCCAAATAACCCACTATCTTCGGACTCGGGATATTAACCCGAAGCTCGAAATTGCGTCTTCACCAGACCGATACGCTCATCACAAACTAGCTTGGACGGGCGCAAATTAGCCTGGCACTATTTCCTAAATAGCGGGATAATTTGGAAACAAGACCAAAATTTCTCAGACCGATACGCTCATCACAAACTAGCTTGGACGGGCGCAAATTAGCCTGGCACTATTTCCTAAATAGCGGGATAATTTAGAAACAAGACCAAAATTTCTCGACCTAATTGCAACTGGTGCTGATGAAGATGCAAATTAACTGGTTAAATTGCGATAGGGATATTTAAAATAGCGGGTTATTTGGCAAACTCGAGCTGATGGAGACGGGCCTTATGTCACCCACATTAGTTTCGCATTGACCTCGGTTTGATAGCAGCCACAGGAAGGAAGGTGACTAGACCAAACAATTGAAACCAAACCATATTGTCCTGTTGATATAATAGACTTGTTTTTATTCTATTTTGATAGAGTGGTGTGAAAATATATGCCACCTCCAGTATTTTTGTATTTGTGTACAGTGTATCTGCCTGGAATGGGTGGGCTGTTGATAAAGAGAGTTTGGTGTTATAGCACTTTGAGACAAACTAGTAATGATATTAAACATTAACTTATACATTCTATATTATTTTGTTAACATTTTTACATCAATTTTCATTTGTTTCCTCTGCTTTTTATCAATTCAAAGTCTTGATAATTTTTGGTAATGAAAATTGCATGATGAGAGAATTGGCTTAAACTGATTTTGAACTGTTTATCATGCAGTTGATGGGTTTTTGTTTCAGAAAACATTTTGATATAGGCCAAGGGCAAGACCTTTATTTCGACCTTACTTGAAACCATGTTCAGTGAAAAGCACAACTCATATTTGCCTGTACATGCGACTAGATTTTATGCATATGATTGTAATTAAAGAATGTATTAAGTATTAACTTGGTTTTCTGATCATCTGTTGCTTATTACGAAGAGCTCCAAGATATATTTTCTCCCAATGAAAGATATTTCATACTCGTAGTAGTCTTGACAATTTAGCAGGAAAGCCAGAAACCATGCAGAAAGTTGGAGCTCAAGTTTATTTTGAAAATGTCAGAATTTAAACTTGAGATCAGGGGGGCGTTTCACAAAACTTGTCATCAGTGACAAATGACAATTTGTGTTATAAGCTACTGAAATCCTTGCTTCTGATTGGTTATCAGCAGATTTGTCACTGATATTTGTCATTTGTCATTGAAAAAAGGCTTTGTGAAATGGGTCCCTGCTTTGAAGTAATCATGTTGATGTTGATGGGTAACAAGATGCATTTGTTGTTCTGGATCATATACTTGAAAAATCAACCATTCAGTGATCTAAATTGGGTCTATTCAGCCTGAAGTTCTGAACCATAAAAAGCCTGATCGCACATCTTGTATAAGTTGTGTGCCTTCTGACTGATACATGTTACAACACATGCAAGCTAAATCCTTGTGGATTAAATTGCCATTCTCAGCCTCCTATGATTCAGGGGGACAAGGTGGCTTTGTCACCGTACAAAAGGGCTGAGGTTTACATGACCCACAGGCGCTGACCTTTTAACAAAAGTGCAGGTAATGAGTTGGTCTGACTAACCCCCTTGTAAGGGTGCTGCCAATTTACCATTCTATAATCAACATATGTCGACCAGACTTCCTGTGTTCCCAGAACAATTTTGACAAAAATCCATAATGACTAGATTTGGTCAGGCCTAACTTAGTTTGATAAAATGGGAAATGCCATTAGGGGTCCTAGGGTACATGTTCATTTGTTCAAGCACACCAACACTTACATGTATAGTAATGAAACATTATTCATTCTCCCAACCCGGTGTTTTGCAGTATATTTGTACTATTTAATGCATATTGTAAGTTGTAGTAAATAATATTAACCAGAAACTTTCGTCTGCTTGAAATTTACATAGATTTTGCAAGTGGTCAAGATTGTGAAAGTTACCTGCCGAAGTTTTTTTGACCAAGATTGAATCACGACATGAAAATTGCATTATTTAAGATACTATGAGTAAAAATGCAAAAAATTCAAGTCTCACACAAGCTTTAGGTTAAATTACATTTTGGATGTTACACACTCACTGATTCTCACAAGATCTATTTTTCATTCTCCACCGATGACAGTCATTAGGAAATAATTCAGTTCATTCTGTTCTCATTTTTTATCATGAAAAAGACCACCCACAAAACTTTCAACAACTCGCTCTCATCCCCGCTGAGGAAGCAGTTCTACTTTAGTTTTGAATTTTATCGACCAGGGCCCTCTTGCTTAAAGAGTTGCATTTAAATGCAACTCTGAAAATCAAACGCAAGTCCTCAAAATCAGGATTGCAATTCGATTGAATAAAGTAAATCAAAATAACTTCATGATAGATATATTACCAAATGCAACTCTTTTGCATTGGGAGGTTACGTTTAATTGCAAGTTGCATAAGATATTTGGGTTTGATCTCAGTTGCGATCAATCACAACTTGACTTTTATGCAAGATGGCCCAGACCAGTTTTTAATTTGTCAACTCTTTACAGTACAATACAGATCACACTGTCACACACACACACACTTGTAACAAGGTGCTACATTTAACATTTTGTAAATTATTTATTACAAAAATCGATGTACATATACATGTATGTAAGCATGCAAATTTTCCATATTGCTCAGCATCACTTTGTCCTGAATGTTGAGAAGTCTGAACAAAGTCGCGCGATCATGTTCAGAGTGGTCACTTTTTTTTTCTCCATCTATAGCAGTTCTCAGGCATACTCATATTTTTATTGGAATGTTTTTTAACAAAGAATGTCAAACATGTTCATAGTTCATAAGTGCATCATGTCACAGATTAGTTGCCATCTTCATCGTGCACTTCAGTCTCCTCCTGTTCCACTTCCTGTCCATTTTCTTGTCCATCGCTATCACCATCACCATCACTGTCAGCGACTGTCTCCTCCTCAACAACCTTCTGACTCTTCGGTCTACCACAGGGAACATTTCCTCCTTTTCTGTCCTTGTCTTGACCGCTGCCGGACCCTTCCTTTTGCTGCACCACCTGTTGCTCCAGCAGCCTAACTTCCAGCTTAAGTTTCTTCTGCGCCAGGAGAAGATTCTCGCACTCGATGGACAACTTCTTCCGCTCCATCGCCAGGTTCTGCCTTTGCAGCTCCAGCAAATCATCAGCAGTCGTCTTAGATGAGGAGGAGGATGTGTCTTGGGCGTTGTGGTGTTTTCTTTTCTTTGGAGTTGGCTCTGAGACTGAGGTGCTGGAGGTGTTTCTTGTGTAATTCGGCTTCTTCGGGGCTGTTGCAATGGCAATTGGGTGGCTTCCGGGAAGAAAGAGCTTCTTGATGATCTTCTCAGGGTTGTTAACACTACCAGGCAGATCTGCAGAAACAAGATTTGAGGAAGTCAGAAACTAGAATCAAAGAGGGCAAATACTAAAATTTAAAATCTAAAGCATTTTTTTTCAAGGCGCCAAAAGCTGGTCAAATTCTTAATAATTACATGTATTTTCATTGTCAGGCCTTCGTGGCTTTAGGGGTGACTTTTTCCCAAACTAAAAATCTAGACAAAAAAGGAAGGATGTGTATAAGTTACAAAGTTCTCAATACTACTGCAATGTTGCATGTGGCTAGACATTGTCACCACAGAGAATTTCCTGTCTGTATTTTTACTGTAGGTTAGTTGTGATAAAAGGTATATCTCTACTTTCTTTCTCTATTCACCTCACTTTTGAGTTATATTTTCAAACAATTGTTTTCAATTGAAATCAAGTGTCTGAAATTGATAAAATTTTAAGAAATGAGAGTCTCTCCAGGCATGTTTACTTTGGGATTTCTTTCAATGTGTCCCCACCCCTGTAAAAGGTTTTTAAAAAAATGAAATGGAAGCTCTACCAATCATGTGAAAGAATATGTTTTGACTATGATGATACAAATTTTGCCGGGAAACCGCCTACTAGTTGATATATTTGGTACATTATCATATCGATCTGGCCTAGACATTTGGGGATACATGTATTTCTGTTTTTTTTTGCGAATTTGGGTTGAAGTATTGCCATCTAGACCTCTGAAGGCAATATTTAACCAATATTAAATAGATATTTTGTACCCAAAACCCTTGAACCGCAATTTTACCACTACTGGTCTACATTTTTAAGGTAACCCATTGAGGTCATCAAATGCACTTACGTTCCTCATCGCCATCTTCCACATATTCCACATCATTGTCGTCATCCTCTGGATCTTCATCATCAAACTCCACCTCGTACTCCACGAAGTCTCCATTATCGGCCGCCCAGTCTTCTTCCCCCCTCATCGCTTTCATCATCATCTTGTGTGCAGGAGACATGGAAAGCTTCAGCGTCCTGTCCGAGAGGAGCTCCTCGATGTTGGCTCCTTCAGACTTTAGCTGCTCCCGCTGCATGATCATTTTTGCTTCGCTTCGTAGCTTGATGAGCTTCCTACGGATGTCTAGCGCCGTCCGATCGGTGTGCGGGAACTGCTCGCAGTACTGGTCGAAGATGTCCTGCCAGACTTCGGTCTTCTCGAAACGGGAGCCATTTGTCCAGTTGTTCTCAAAGTATGCTGCGTGCAGTTTGAATTTTTCAACAAGAAAGCGACTTTCAGCCAAACTGTAGTTGGCCTTTCTGTTCAGTTTTCCCATGGTGTCGGAAGGTCCTGGCAAAATGTACATGCCCTACATGTGAATGAAATATAAAAAAGAGTGGAGAAGCAATTTAGCTCTGGAAAGGTCCAAGATACAAAAATTCTACAATAATGCTCTACAAAACAAGTGGAAAAAATATGAATTCTCAAATTCTGCAGCAAGAAATCTCACCTTTCATTTAACAACAATAGTGACATTTCTGGAAAAAATGTAAAATTAGTATATAATTTTTTTTTTTAAACATGATTTTGTCCAGTCAAACAATAATTTATCCCTCCCCCCCCAAAAAAAAATGTTCATCCCTCTCCTGATATAAAGAATATATATGAGAAAGTGATTTTCCTTTTTAAATTCTTTACAAAGATCATTTTGGGTATTTAAAGAAATCAACTCATTTGAATGAATATCTATACCGTTATTATTTAATAAAGTAGGAAAAAGAAATGTTTTAACAATTCTGAATTGTAAAACTTGTCCCAACAAAAAAATCCTGCCACCCCCTCCCCCCTGCCTAAGCCACTTCCACCCCCTACCACCACCACCACCCCTCTACCAGTGCGACCCCCCTTTCAGAGCCACCCCCCTTTCAAAGCCCCCTACCCCCATCAACCCCCATCAACCCCAAGATCGAGCATAGCATACACACAAAGCGTTCCACCCATTCTCCTATTTCAAGCACACACAAACAACTTTATAATGCTCTGCCCACATAATGTACATACACACACTGCACTGGTTTCCCTGGCTTTACACTGCAGGAGCTGTGCATTTCATCTTAGTACTGCAGTCCTAACATTAGTACAGAGTGAGATATTTTTTCACACTGAATATCAAAAATTACAAACGATTTCCCTGTCTTCATTTCTTCTTAAGTAAATATGTACACTATAATCTTCTATGATTTTTGACTGAAGAGCTAGTGCAATTGCTGTAAATTGTTATTAACCTTTCAGACCTCAAACTTACCAGTTTTGTCCACCAATTTGTGCTTGAAACTGTACTCGTACTAGGATCTTGTGCATGCTATGCATGCATGCAATCTTGTATGCGTGTGTTGTGATACTGCATGCATTTGTGTATAATGTACATTAAGTGCTTGCATACACACAATGGACACACAATCTCAATCACTGTATGGCATGTATGCAAGTGAATGGCAGTGTACATGTGCTGTACTGTGTTATTGTGAAAAAAGTTTTGAAAAGCACCCAGGCATGCTTGTATAGTCTTACTCAAGGTGTATGGATTTAATTTCACTAAATGAGCAAAAATTATATTGTTTCTTATCAAATATGTTGTGCCCATGCAAAAATTTTCAGAATACTTACATGTAACTTGTTTAGGCAATTTATTAACCATAGTATCACTATTCATACTTAAAAAATATTTCATTCTGGTATAGTTTATTCTGCATGATGTTTTTATTTTTGATTTACATGTAGGACATTAAAAAATACAGCAAACCTGCTTCAGTGGCTATCTTTAAAACAAAAGACAATATGTCTGCCAGTGCAGGCACAGAAATGAAATTTATCATTCAAAACTATATTTTTTTCAGTTCAAGAAAGGATATATTTTAATATTAGCCAATCTGAGAAACTGAGTTCAAACAAAATATCCCATGTTCTTGTGCAGGATTTGCTGTCCTACATGTAGTCATGATTTTTATATATTTTTTAAAATATATTTTTTAAGTCTTCAACCAACTATGTCCTCCTTCCTTATATATGCATCTTACAAAGATATTGCATGACGCCCGAAAATACACCTGTTGAAATGAAAGGCAAGGACTGTCTCTGTTATAGCATTGAGGGTGTGTTATTTTCACAGCTGATTGGGTGCATGACACAGAAACAGTCCAGGCAGTGTACTACCTTACATGATGCGACTTGCCTTGATTTAATTCAAGTAAAGTTAACATGATTCGACCAATTAGAAAATTTAGAATTGATCCTTCTCATCCTGATGATCCTGGTATATTGTTTTGGAGTTGCCTGAAAACCAAAGAATGATGGGTCATTTTCAACACAACTTTTCTTCCTAAAGTTTATCCACACACTACAGAAACTCCAAAATAAGTTGAAATTTGACTTCATTTATGATTTTTATTACATGATTGTGTGGAATTCATAAGATTCTTTTTGGTTCCATTAAAACTAAAATAACAAAATACTAGAAGTGGGAAAAAGGAATCAGAGACGGACCATGCCAATAATTATCATGAACAGACATTGACGATAGGCAAGAAAATTGTAGGCCTATACCATCTGGGTACTGGTAGCAATAATAGAAGAAATTCCTCAAATGCTGAAATGGAAAGAAGAGAGAAATGGAGTGAGGAAAGCTGGGTGGAAAATTATTCATATCAAGTATATATTATATACCCCTCGAAGGCTATCAGGTACCTTTGGATACTCAGTTTGTATCACAGTATCACTATCAGTAACTACATGTAGATGAAGACATAGCTGATACAGTCACTACAGATCAAAAGTAACAATACTTCAACTGTTGACACCTACATTTATGATGTGCCTATCCTTAGATGACCTTTTAGAAACCCTGAGGTCAGGTGCTCACATTCCAGACTAAGTTCAGTCAGTCTAGTCTATAACTTCAGTCCCAAACTTATTCTGTGGAAACTCCTTATAAAAAGCTCTGGTCCCCCGTCTTAATAGTTCTGACTGATTTAAATCAACGCAACACTTTATAATACAGGGCCCTGATCGATGATCTAACATGATATTATTAGATACCTGCGTCCAAAATATTGATTAAAGAATACTGAGTACAACAGAAAAGGCAAATCATGTAATATTTTATCAATATTTATCTTCAAACACTTTGTTTTGGAGGAAATCTTTGCAGAAGCGTTCTTAAATGACATCCTCTTTCACATTATGATACAATATAAGTGAAATTTTGACAAATTTGGGGTTTCTTAAGAAGAGCTTTCAACATGCTTAGAATAGAAAGAACTTTTTGATAAGTTAATAAACGATTTTTGCACGGCATACACGTACATGTTTAGGCTACATGCTTTTTACTGGTCGAAGATCAACTGCACTATATACATGTACATGTAGCTGTAGAGAACAAATTGTAGGTCTACTTGCAGGAGCACAATGTACATGTTTGTAGGTAGGGACCTAGGGCTAGGATGAGTTGTATGCATGAGTGGAGGCCTGTCACATCATCCCTGGTACAGACCATGTACAGACCAACCCTTGTCTCCTCCGACAACCGACCAACCAACCCACAGAACCAGTCATTCCACATTCCACTCTGGTGAGATAATGACTTCTCTACATCTGTGTTGGGCTGGAAGCTGGTAAAGGTCATAGGGTGACTCTCGATGGCAACCATGGGAAAGTTTTGTTCATGTGTACAGATACACTGTAGGCTCTGTTTCTGGGAGTGAAGATTTTAAAGGAGCTGTTTAACTTTTGAAAAAAAAGGTAAAAAATACAAATATGTGTAACCCATGTAATAAAAGAAAAGTCCAATCAGTTAATGAGAAGGAAGATAACCATACATGAGTTGTGACTATTACATTGAATTTAGTTCAAACTCCTCTCCAACTCCAGGTCTACTTGATACCAGAGACAATACTGATAGTGATAGACTTATTTTCAGATATAGCGAGTTGTATGAATATAATTATTCCTGCTACCAGTATTTTAATTGCTAAGAAGTTTATAATTTTCTTATAACTTGATTCCTTTTGTCATATTTTAAGACAAGCCCTTATTCCCCTCCCCCCTCAAACTTGTGCCCAATTGGATACAATTTAACTACTTTCATGAGCATTTTACAATATTAAATTCTTGTAGTACTATAGTTTAAGCTAGGATACTTATCAACTTACAAAAACAAAGGATTTATTTCGTCTTTATTATAAGCGATCCTACTTTCGTACCACAACTTGTAGAACACAGATAGCATAATTCATATTGTTAAATCAAATTCTTTTGAAATTTGACCATCTGCACTGCATTGAAAGATATTATCATATGGCATCTGGATTTAAGTTTTATATTTTGCTGGGAACTTTGGGAGAATGGATATTTGAAACCCTTTAGAAACTAGGAAGGTTATGACTTCTGTGGGGGTCGCATTCGTTGAAGAAGAAGAAAATTGTGAATTGTTATAATTTCCCTTTTTCTTAAAGTTCTGGAGTACAGACTCGCAAGTAAAAAGCTATTAGAAATGAAGAAATTGAAAAAATCAGAACTTTTTCACGAAATCTCACCATTTCATTAAAAAAGAGATGATGATATGATAATGATTGTGATGGTGATGGTGATAAGAACATAATTGATGATGGTAAAGGTGAAGATGATGACGATGATGTTGATGATTGTGATGATGATGGTGATAAGAACATATTTGATGATGTTAAAGGTGATGATGATGATAAAGATGAGGATGTGGTAATATTTTGCACAAACGTTGACTTGATGAATATGTAATTGTAGTCAAATTTCAATCTGAATATGCTTTATTAGGTCAATTTTTATCCACTTACATTGAATATACATTGTATTTGGTATAACGGAAATGTAAGAAAGATGAAAGACAGAAAGAGTGCAAGGTGATCAAAACTTATTTTATGTTAGATCCGCCCGTAGAATATAAAACACGCTTGCTTACATTAGATTTTATCACCTGACGAAGTGTTGCAGCGGCACAGGAAACGCCATGATCTTTTAGATCCCTTGTTGACCATACATTGCGAGACAAACAAATATCATTAGTGATATTATTCTCGAAAACTTATTTTTTTCTAAAACATCTGTCTTTTCTTTGTTTTGTTGTCAACAGCTCTACCAAGTTGCCTACGTCCTGATCAAGTTCGCCAACTCACCCCGACCGGGAATGTTCGTCCTAGAGCGATCCCGCGACTACGGAGAGACCTACGAACCTTGGCAATACTTCGCCGAGACCCCCAGCGACTGTCAGTTGGAATTCGGGATGCAGTCTCTGGAAGAGATCCGCAATGACGACGATGTGATCTGTACTGCTGGCTACTCTGCTATTGTTCCACTTGAAGACGGAGAGGTAGGATACACATCTTTTTCTTTGTTTTTCCTTTCTTCAAAATTAGATGAAGCTTATAAAGGTTAGATGATTTTGCCAAGAATTCTTCAGGTGTACAGCTCTTGAATGAACTAAAAAGTTTTCCAGAGGAGACAGAGCTTTCTTTACTGATGTGCATGTTAATAATAATAAATCATGATGATTATGATGTGAAATTATCAGGTGTTTATTTTCCCGTATTCACACCCAAGTTCCATTTTTGTAATGTCTTTGAAAAGAGCAACAGTTGCCACTCGCATGTCAGAAATGATGTGAGTAGGAGAATCGGTAGCCTAGCTAGCTAAAAGCTGGGCTAATATTTGAGTACTTTAACCACCATGAAATTGTGGTAGGTGTATCTTTGGTCACATCAACCAAAAGCAACTCGTTTCTCTACTCTTAAAGAGTGGAGGAAATTATATCTGATTGCATTCTCTCCACTCTAAAAGTGAATCATAAACTTGATGACATCTTACATGTTGATACTTTCAAATAATATTTGATGGCATCTTACATGTTGATATATACCTTCAAATAATATTTGATGTCATCTTACATGTTGATATACCTTCAAATAATATTTGATGACATCTTTCATGTTGCTATACCTTCAAATAATATTTGATAGCATTCTCTCTTGACATTCACATTAGATCGTTGTGTCTCTGGTTAACAACCGTCCAGGAGCACCTTGTTTCTCTAATCTTGAAGAATGGATGAAATGATATCTGATTGCATTCTCTCCACTCATGGAGTGGATGTAAACTTGATGGCATCTTACATGTTGATATACCTTCAATTAATATTTGATGGCATTCTCTCCTTACATTCACATTAGATCGTTGTTTCTCTGGTGAACAACCGTCCAGGAGCACCTCATTCATCTACTCTCCAGGAGTGGATCAAGGATGTAAACTTGATGGCATCTTACACTTTGATAAATCTTCAAATATTATTTGATGACATTCTCTCTTTACATTCACATTAGATCGTTGTTTCTCTGGTGAACAACCGTCCAGGAGCACCTCATTCATCTACTCTCCAGGAGTGGATCAAGAATGTAAACTTGATAGCATCTTACATGTTGATATACCTTTAAATAATATTTGATGGCATTCTCTCTTTACATTCACATTAGATTGTTGTGTCTCTGGTGAACAACCGCCCAGGAGCACCTCATTCATCTACGCTCCAGGAGTGGATCAAGGCTACCCATATCCGCATCAGGCTGCTCAGAACCAACACCCTTCTGGGTCATCTCATGGCCGTAGCTCGCCAAGATTCTACCATCACTCGAAGGGTAAGTAGTCAGTTGATGTTTTTTTAAAGAAAAACTTGTGTTAAAGTGGCACTGAGGAGAGGTTTTTTGTACCTCTATGCAGCTGATCCTTCTGGTGCAATCATCTGGTTCGAACAGCTTGCAATCATTAAATTGTTAAGGTGTTAAATGTGTTGAAACAAAGGGAAACTTGTCCGTTAAACTGCAGACGTTTTCATCTGTTGTGAAGCAAATAAGTTATGGAACTCTGTTTTCATCAAGATGAAAAATGAGTAAAGAGGGCCTTGTTTTAAAAACCTCTCTTGAAACCTCTCTTGATCTGTGATACATGGCTACAAACTAGGTTAAATTGTAAGATCGTGAGAGAACTCTGAAAAAAAGAGGGGGGGGGGGGAATGTAATGAAATCTGAAGAAATCTCTCTTTTCTCTACAAAAATATTCAAAGAGCTCCCATAGACTTATGAGTACATTTTACTCTGGTTCCAGTCATCTTGAGGTAAATCTTACATATTGTCAACATCTATGTCTATTCGGATATCCTAATTTATATACAAACCTATAAATGGAACTACATAATACAAGCTTTGCGTTTTTGTAGATCCCCCACTTTATTTAGCTTTTTCAATGCATTTACCATACTTATGATTGTATCTTTTGTCATAACTATTACCATGTACATTATGTTTTCTATATTGTATGTTTAGTTATAACTATTACCATTTACATTATGTTCAATTATGTTATCTTCGATAAAGTGGAAATAAATAAACTTGAAACTTGAAACATCTGTCCCAAATTTGCAGTACTACTACAGTATCAAGGACATCACCATAGGAGGGCGCTGTGCATGTAACGGTCATGCCGCCTACTGCGACCTGCCTTCCAGCAATGACGGAAGGAACAAGCAGGTGTGTCGCTGTGAGCACAACACGTGTGGGGTCGAGTGCGAGAGCTGTTGCCCTGGTTACGTCCAGAAGGCCTGGAGGACATCTTCCTACAGCAGCCCTTTCGAGTGTGAACGTAAGTCAAGGACTTAACCCATTGCTTACTGGAATCTGGTGGTCCCTGTGTTAAGTCTATGAGAATTAGATAATTCAGAAGTCACCGGGTTAACTAGAACCATGTCAGGGCACAAAGTTTGTGTCCCCGTTTAGATGTTGCATACAAGTTGATTTTAAAACAGTTGCTGCTAATAATTGAAACTAATGTTTCTTTGAAGGGCTGTGCTATGATCAGCGCGACTTGAGCCCAGCTACCCAGATAAGGCGCTCTGGCAATCAAGGACTTTCTTCCACGGTAGCCATTTAGAGCGCTTGGCCAATGTAGATTAACGTCTTGGCAACGGCCGCTAGTGTTGAGGCAGGGATTCGAAGCCCATACCTTGTAATCCATAGTCTGGAGAAATACATCTATACCATGACACTTCTACAAATGAACTATTGCCTATTGACATAAAAGGGCATCCAATGGCAAGTCAGTGACACTCTGAACTTAACAATAATACTATGGCTTCTCTAGGCAAGACAATAGGGTACTGAACCTGACATTTAATTCATTAATTCAGTCTTTGCAGTCTTGTTATGCATCATTATAAACCTCTCTTTGGAAATCTAGCCATCTGCTTGGTCGAAATTGCATTCATGATTATAGCCATTCCCCTCATACCCGCCTACCAGTCAATAGTCTTTTAAAAAGTGCCCTCATACCTGACTACCGGTTAATAGTTGTTTTAAAGATGCCTGTTACCCCGGGTAACAGGCGACATAAATCAATTGTGCTCAGATCCCCATTGGTTTACTTGTTACTTCGGGGTCATGGCGAGATGTGCGCAGGTTCCCTTGAGCCTATAAAACAGCCAGGCCTCCTGAAGCAGTCGATTTCTGTATATTATTGATATTTATAGCTTGTTCATCTCTTCTCTTTTCCGTGTTAAAGGTAAAGACCAGTATTGGAAACGCCCCAATTTCAAAAAATTAAATGGAAGCTCTCATTACCAATCATGTGAAAGAATATGTTTTGACTAATACATGATGATAAAAAATTTGCCGGGAAACCGCCTACTAATTCATATATTTGGTAAATTTGTTTCTCTCATGGTCTGTGAGAGATATAGGGTAGTCCCATATACATCTTTCTGTGTATAGTGCTTGTAACTTTACGAAGAATGGGCCAAATTTCTTATCATTTTGATGATTCCAGAACCTTGCAGATGCTAGATGCTAGATGATCAACCTTTTCTGATCGATTCCACAACGTTTCTTTCACAACGCAATCGCATGACCATAACTGGTCTTTACCTTTAATATAATTTTTCCCATCCACCCCATCTGCCATCTGATAGGATGCAACTGCCACAGCCACTCCAACGAGTGCGTCTACGACGAGGAGGTCGCCCTCTCCAGGGGATCCATGGACATCAATGGTAACATGGAAGGAGGCGGAGTCTGCCAGAACTGCCAGCACAACACCGTAGGTGTCAACTGCCATCTTTGTAAGCCCGGCTTCTACAGGCCAGAGGGAAGGAAGCAGTCCGACTATGACGTCTGTCAACGTGAGTTATATTTATTTAGTGCGATTCGATGAGGTATATGTAACAATATTCAACATTCCAGCTAAAACTTACTCTTTCTCAGGCCTGATTATTACCCGATTTAAATCGGTTTCCTGATTATTTTTTTTCTTTCAGATTTTCCCCAGATTTCGCTCTATTTCCCCCCAATTTTCTTACTCAAAAGGTGGAAAAAAAATTGTTAGATGCCATTTTTTCACCTAACCCTTTTTTTTTTAGTTCTGACCATCACCCCTGTCTTTCTGAATCTACAAGTTAGAAATGTAGAAGAGTAAATGCAACAGCAGATCAAAATAGATCAATGAACAATGTGAAACATTTCTCCCAAATCATGATAGGATGATACTAGTTTTATAGTTGGTTATAGTTTTTATCAAATACATTTGTTCTTGCTTATTTTGATTTATTGGAAGAAGTATCCATAATAATCATGGTTTATAATTACTCATATGGTACAAATAGATTCATATCGTAAATAAAAACTAGATGTTGGGAAACAAAGATGCCAAATTAAGTTCTTATAACTGTAAAAACATCTAGCTTGTTGTTGCTCAAATCGCTTTTCATCCACATGCTTCATTTTCAGTAGTCCAAATTCAGGGTGCATGAAATATTAAAAAAAAAACTCATCTTTTTAGGTCATGAAATGTTTCCTTGTTGACCTTGTAACATTTCTCAAAAGGTAAACCCATCAACTGTTCTGATAAAATCATTCACAAAACTGTTGAGAAATATTTGTCATCTTTCAAGCACTTGACACTAATGTCCTTTGGCAAGACATTGATCTACATTTGCCACACTCAACCCAGGTGATGCAAATGGGTACCTGGCAGGAATTAATTCTTTGAAATGCTAGAGCGCTGTAATGGCAGCACAGCTAAAGCCGGGGTAATAATCTCCAAGTTTGGAAGCGCTTAGTGATTGTATAATAAGTGCTATATAAAAACTGAGTATTATTATTATTATTATATTATTGATAATCTTTGACATTTTGTATTTTCTTGTTTCAGCCTGTATGTGCGATCCCATCCTGTCTACCGGTAACTGTGCACCTCTAACCGGTCAGTGCGAGTGCAAACCGGAATACGCCGGTCCTGACTGCACCGAGTGTAATGAGGGCTACTATGGCTACCCCTACTGCAGACGTAAGTAGTTTTCAAACACTTTTACAATCCTTTTAAGAGTATATTTTAGGGAATATTTAATCAGACTACGTGCTTGATTTCCTTATATCTTCTGTTCAATGGTGACACCTTGCAACTATTGGCTGTACTGTTAGTCAATTGCTTTTCACAGACCATAAGTTCCTGACAGCTGTAATTCAATGCTTATTGTACATATATATGGAACTGAAAGTACTATGTTTTGATATGGTAGCCTAGTAAATACCACCACCTGTATAACTTTCTATCGGTCAGTAAGATATACCATATTCTCACAGTCTGCTATGATAGTCAAGTTACTACACATAGGAATGTTAGTGCATAAAGGTCAATTTGGACATCTGTTGGCTTGGGACCTGACCTTAGACTATCTCAAGATTTGCTAATATGGTCCAGTATGTTCATATAGGGTGTAATACTTGGTCCTTCTTTAGAGAAATTCATCGTTTTTGACAAAGTATTTTGATTTTTTGGAACTATATGAAAGTTAGTTGTTTTATTCATTCATTTATTTGTAATATTAATCCATCAGTCAGTCAATGAATGAATCTGTTAATCAGGCACTCAATTTGTTAGTTCATTTTCTCAATCGATCAATCAATCAGTAAGTCACTCATTTAGTCAATTAATTGAGTTAATCACTCAATTAATCAAAAATTATTAAATTAATCAATCAACCAAACAATCCATTAAATAATCAGTCAATAGATCAATCAATCTATCAGTCAATTAGTCAGTCACTTATTGAGACATTTGATTGAGTTAATCACTCATTTTAAATCAGTCAATTAATCAATCACTCAAAATGTATTAAATCAATCAATCAATCAACCAAACAATCCATTAAATAATCAGTCGGTCTGTCAATCAATCAATCAATCAATCAGCTAATTAGTCCGTCAAACAAATGAGTTATTCACTCAATTAATCAGTCAATAATTCAATAAATCAAAAATGTATTCAATCAACCAAACAATTAAATAATCAGTCGGTCTGTCAATCAATCATAAAAATGAATCCACATTTCTTCCCTTTCCTCTAGCTTGTGACTGCAATCTGAACGGAACAGAGAACAAAGTATGCCAGGTCAACGGAGGTCAGTGCCCTTGCAAGCCCAACTACACCGGACGCAACTGCAACCTGTGTGCCCTCAGCTACTATGGCTTCCCAGAATGCCAAAGTAAGTCACATGATCTTACAATTCAACATGGGTGTGATATGTTGAAATTTTTGAATGGTCAGAGTGTTTGCAACCATGGTTACCCATAACCCTATATTTATATCTTTTTCATTTATCAATGATATTTGATTTTATTTGCCCTCTGAATTTATTGAATTATAATGAATTGAGAATTCATGGAGACCAGAAAAATGAAAATAGAAAACATTTCTGTAGAAGAATGATATTGAATTCTAATGTGTGCTTTTTTAAAAATTTCCTTTTGAATGTGGTACTCACTTTGTATTTTAGAAAGTTGGAATATAAACACGTTTACGTTTTCTTCATCATTATTTTAATTCCAACACATTGATTACTTGTTGTATGTGTTTGCTTTTTTACTGGTGTTCCTTACTTGAAAGTTCCAACATATGTGGGCATAATAAATTCATGTTATAATGTTATTGTTGATATTGCTGAGATTACCATTCATCATTATTACTGTTGCCATTATTTCTGTTAAACTCTAAGGATGTGACTGCAACACCATTGGATCGTTTGACATCGTGTGTGATTCCGAGAACGGTCAGTGCTCGTGCCGAGAGGTCTACGATGGACGTTCCTGCGATAGTTGCCGCGATGGACACTACAACTTCCCAACTTGCAGTGGTAGGTTTCTCAAAGTAGGCCTAATAACTAACAGGTCTTTTATAATGTGCATACTGTCAGTCAAATTCACAGATACTGTCTTTTGGAAGTAAAACTCAACTTAATTTTTCTCCCAAACCTCAAACTGAAGGATTATCTTACATCTCATCAGCCATACCCTAGAAAACTTGTATGTATGGGAGGATGCTTCACCAGTTGCAATTTTCTGCGTGTGAGATACATACACACATTAAATAGAAATCAGTTAAATAGAAATCATATTAAATAGAAATCCACTCAGTCTGGTGTGAGATGACTCTGCATATAGGAGCTAAAGATATGTCTTAAATAATAATAATTATTATATGTGCTTATATAGCGCCTAACACTTACTTTATCAGAAGTCTCTATAAAGCGCTCTACAATAATGCACCATAATTACCCTTGCTCAAGCAGAGCAGCTGTCACAGGCTCTATGTTTCAAGGAATAAATTCCTACCAAGTCGCCATTTACCTCACCTGGGTGGAGTGCAGCACAATGTGGATGAATTTCTTGCTGAAGGAAATTAATGTCCTGGAGTGGGATTCGAACTCGCGACCTTATGATGGAAAGACGAGAGTCAGAACCACTACACCATGACGCTTCCACTTGAAGTTTGCATTCATTGTTTTGTTCTGTTGTATGTTCCTTCCAGATTGTAGTTGCAGTCAGGTCGGTACTGAGGAAGAGGTCTGTAACAAGACCAATGGAGAGTGCCTCTGCGGAGAGAACTTTGGTGGCCAGCGCTGCGAAAGGTGCTCCATAGGCTTCTACAACTACCCAGATTGTCTGCGTAAGTTGTTCCTCCTATTTGACCAGAGGTTTTCAATGTAGATACAGTCAAACCTGCTTTAGTGACCACCCCTCTACAAAGACCACATTTTTTGGTTTGCCTTGAAAATAGTTTCTCATCAAAACATGTACTAAAGGAACCTGTCTACAAAGACCACCTGTCTTCAAAGACCACTTTTTGTGTTTCCCTTGGGTGGTCGCTATAGACAGGTTTCAGGGTACAATGAAACCTGTATATAAAGACCCACCTTTCAAGGGAGATTAGAAATGCTGTCTTTTTAGACAGATGCTCTTTATGCATAGGTTTTTTAATACAAATTTCAATGAGAGTGCTATGGGGTAAACAAAAGAAAAGAAAAGATGATTATCATGTTAATCATGGAGATTTTAGTGTTTAATAAAACAAAATAAAACACACAAACAGAATTCTTGTTTAGCACTGTTTTTGAGAGGCCTGTGGACTTGTTATAACCAAGTTGAAACAATTACATCTCCCATTTGAAAGTTGGTAACATGTTTCTGTTTTGTCGTAGATTATAAATGTAGTTTATATATGCAAATTTTAATGCTAGTAAACTTAGCTATGTAGAGTTTTCAGTACATGATATATTGTCATGCCAGAACCAAGCACAAGTCCAGCTCAAACACAACAGAGAGAAAAGGAAGAACAGAACTTAGTAACTCCACAGTGTCTACCGGGTATTTTTTATGCAATTTTAATAACCTTTCACCCTTGACATATGACCTTTGTAGCATGCGGATGTGACGACACCGGGTCCTTCAACGGTCAGTGTGACGACAGTGGACAATGTCCTTGTGAGAGCAACTTTGCTGGACTCAAGTGTGACCAGTGTGCGGCCGGATTCTACAAGTACCCAGCCTGTGAACGTAAGTATTCCAAAGGTCAAGAAGCATTCAGGACGGGAGGTGAAGAGGTCTTTAAAAAGTTCCCAATACTCATTTTGAAAATTCCAATCCAATCTGATCCAATCTGGGAATGTGTAATCTGACTAAAGATTACCAACCAAAACTTATAATAAACACACAAATTATAAATCTGTTCTTTATTCAATAAATCATGCATATATAATAATAAAAATAAAAATGAGATCAGACATATCAGGTCAAACATAAGATCAAACAAACAAGGAATAAGATGGTGTGCACCTCCTTTGGCTGACTCATAACTGCAGAATATCATACATCAATAGGCACTGATTAAAGTGAAAATCACTATACAATTGAAAGCAAAATTATGTGCTGACTTTTGCAAGTTCCCTGTAAATTAGATTATATTGATAGTGAAGCGTGAAAAGTTTAAGATTTATTTGCTCTGGTATATGCTGCTGCAAAGTTTGCTCTGGGCTTTATTTTGTCAAAGATGTAGGTTAGGGTTGCGATTGGGTTTTAGGTTAGGTTTGGGGTTAGGGTTTGTTCCTAGGTTGAAATTGAGAACTGCCCATGAGACCATTACCGTCAATATGTCAAGCAACAATTTTTTATGGCGCAAAAGATTATATTTCATGATTGGTTGAACAGCACCTTTTTCATGTAAATTTACCCCTTTGCCCACCCTCTTTCCAATCCCAGCATGCAACTGCGATCGCTACGGCTCCTTCAATGTCCTGTGTGACCAGGTCAGCGGTCAGTGCTCGTGCCGTCCCAACTTCCAGGGTAGGATGTGCCAGCAGTGCGGTGAAAGTTTCTACAACTATCCCAACTGCGAGGAATGCAACTGCGACCCTGCGGGTGTCATTGACGTTCCAGGACAGCCTCTGGGAGGATGCGGCTCTTCAACTGGGGTAGGTCGTCATGGCAATGATGATGATGTTGATAGAATGGATGCTGGAAAACAAAACATTATCACCACTTGATGCTTTCACGAATTGATAAAGAAGACATCAATTGAAAATTACAAGTATGGCCAATAATTTATCACTAGAAACCAGGCAGCTTGCAGATTACAATCGTAATATTTTCCCCTCCCGGGCACAGGAGACGGCATCTACTTAATAATGATGACACATAAAGATAATACGTTGGTATCTGTCGGACATATTAATCTTTAAGTAGTTTTTCCTATGTATTTATTTATGTATGTGTATTTGTGGTCTGTTTAATGTTTTTACACGGACTTGCTAAAAAGCAGTCTTTTTAGGCTGATGTGAGTTTTACCGTGAATAAATAAATTCAATTCAATTCAATTCCTAACCTAATTGTTAGATATATGTCCATGATATTTATTCCAGGGTGCTTGCTTGTGCAAGGACAACGTGATGGGGCGTACCTGCGACACCTGCAAACCGCTGTATTGGAACCTTGGCATCAGCAACCCATACGGTTGCGAGGAATGCAACTGCAACTTGGCTGGAACCGTTGGCGGGATGGCCATTTGTGACATTGTAAGTATTACATACAGGTAAAAGTTTGCCTCTAACAATATCCAAATATCTTGATGAAGGCATTTAATTTGTCCCTGTTTGTTATTAGTTTGTAACTTTAAAGCACATGACGTTTTGGATAATACTGCTCAAAAAGAAATGTATTCCTGAATTAGCTCATATTCCTTGAATACTTGTTTTTAACTTGATGTCAGTATCTGTGTATATGTCATAACTTTTCCTGAATATTTTGTTTTTTGTTTGAAGCACAGTCAATATTAATAGTATTGATTTTGTTCATGTAACACTTTTTAAATTACAAATCTGTACATGTGGAGCCTTGAGCTCTGTATTTGGCATTTTACAACAAGCAAATAACTAAAATGACACAATTTACTAAAATTACATCAATACCTAATAGTGATTAATATAATTGTTTGTGAATCTGTTGGTTCCACAATGTTTTTGTCATTGTTGTTTGTTAGATTGATATCATAAATTCATGTATTTTGTTCCTTAGTATTTTCTCTCCTTACAGCACTGTGCTTTGCACTCCAGAGTCCCCATTATGTTTAGCAAGAGCAATTTCTTGCTAGCATTTTCTGTCCAAAGAGGAAATTGGTCCGTAGAGTATTCGTCAAGTTCATGTCATCTAAACCCCTCACAAAAAGTTGGAAACTGTTTTTTATTTGTATTCAAGGTGATACAGTATTTGTTACAATTTTTTCAGCCATGGAATGAGCAGTACATCAGAATAAGGGGCAGGGTCAAAAGTGAAAAGTTTCACTGGTATTGTTAATATGCAGTGCACTACACAACAGCCCTACACTCTTCAAAGAAAGAAGAATGCACAGCTGAACAAGAGCAGTGCATTTGTGCAACTTTCACTTTTGGCCTTGCCCCTTACTTTTATGTAATGCACATTCCATGACTGAAAAATAATAACACATGGGGTATCATTTTAAAGAGGAATAAAAACACTTTCTGATTATACTAAAAATAGCGATGATTGTGCCGTAACAAGAGAGATATAATCAAGCAAACCTGAGTTTCCACACTTTTTTTGAGGGGTTTATTATGTTTTTGTTTTCATGTCTTTAATTGTGTCGTTGTTCTTTGCTAACAATTTTGTCTCCAGGCCCATGCGCCGTGGCACAAGGTAATACAATTAATGTTGACCCCTGACCTGTAGATATATAATTGACCTTTTGACCTTTGACCCTGTCAAACCTTGTTACTATATCTTCTTGCACTGTTCTATGATATCCCCTTCTGTATGTATATCTCTATTTGTGTATATTGTCTTTTCAGTACTACCTATATCTCCCCATTTTGATTAACTGCACTCTCCATTCCTTTGCGATGATTAAGGGTTCATTGCCCACAAGAACTACCCTCCCCCCCAAAAAAAACAACAACAAAAAAACAATTAAAACAATTGTAAGCCTGTTGCATATTACAAACATACATTTTTGTCAACCTACAATCCAAACTGGATAGGCTCATATTCATACACTGCCAGGCTTTATTTCCAAATTCTGACATTTCTTGTTTCCATAAGTTGATGATACAAGCTTTGCAAGTTCAGAAACTGAGTGTCAGAACTTTAGGCTGTCATCTTTGGAAATATTCATTAGTTGAGAGCAAGGAGAGCATTAACTCAAATATATTTTGAAAAGTGTTAATGCTCTTTCCTCCTTCAAGTTCTTAATTCTGCCATTTCGTAAGATATGTAACATGAAAGTTATGACATTGTTTTATGGTATATTTTTCTTCTGGATGAAGATTTAGATAGTGGTTTATGACCTACTCTGCCAAGGAATGTGAGGGTGCAGTTTTTCATAACAATCCCATCATTTTTTTTGGAGTCCCTTTTTGGTGTTTTTGTAAGCCAGAAATATTTGTGGCAAGAACACTGCAGTTGCTTTCTGCACATGCTCAGTTTCATGACAAATATTTATTACCATTGGGTTAATTTCATCCTCAGTTGCTTTCAGAGTTATTTTTGTTTTGCTTAGATTTGCTATTTGCATAATTCTGTTATGCAGTGAGTTCCAATTTTGAACGTGTGCAATTCTGTGCAGTTCCGTCAGTTAAGAACTTTAAACGGCCTACATTATAAAACTTTATATAATGAATATGCCTTTGCAGTCAGGGCTTGCACTTCTACCATTCTATTTAAATCTGGATCTTAAATTTGATTGTCTAGCTCTTATTTTGATACAGTAAACAATATACTTTCAAGCATTACAAAATGAATGAATGGTCATATCACACCAAAAGTCTCTTAAAACAAACCGTTAAACTATTAAAATATACTTAGCTGGTCATTTTTTATTCACTTGTGTATTCATGAATCTTATCTAAGGGCAGGAGATATGAATATATTTTGTAGCTGGAGCTATAATAAGGCCCCCCCCCCCCCACCCTAGTACAAATTGAAAATCCAAACTGCATATAAACAGTGAACCTGAATTCCTTTTTTGTATTCCTATACTAGTTTTGAGTTGGTAGTCCTCTGTTTAACTCTAGTTTGACCTTTAAAAAAATCAGTATAAACACATACACATACTTTTGACCCTCTTCTTAAAATAATATAGACTTAAAAAGTGACTTCGCTTTAGGGTATTTGCCGTGTTTAATATATAAGATTGCATGCCTAGATATTGAATTTATTAGTTTGAATTATAGAAATGAATAACACTTTCAATATGTCAACTTTTAATCATACACCTACTGTGTGATGTGAAATTAAATTTCATCATTTTCCCTCATATTCATAATAATCTACCTCCTAGATTTCCAACTATATGATTGACACTATACTTTACTTATATAGACCCTGAATTATCTTTTTCTCATGAATATCAATTATTAATTTTTAAATTTATGAGTGCCCTTTCCCCTATAACTTTTCTTAATCTTTTTTTGAACTATTTATTATCAATATTACAATTATTTTAACCTACACACATGTACATGTATGTCAGTTTTAATGCACATACATGTGTGTGATATTATTCATTTGGAATGAACATTATTCTACAGATTAAGTATATATTTCATTTGATTTGATAAATATATGTTTTAACAATAATGAACCATAAGAAAATATATATTTCAAATTTTTTGAATTGGATATGTAATGATGTACTTGTTTTACCATCATTCACTAAAGTAGGTTGCATTTTTATCACATCGTTTAACACTTTAATTATTGGGATATATTATGATTGTACACACATTGTCCCACGCCGAGATGTGATGACTACGAGTAGAAGAAGTAAGGTGAGAAGGAAAGAGAAAAACAAAATTATAAGGGGGGGGGGAGTCCAAATGAGCAAGAGCCGGATGGCAAGGGAGAACAGAGTGATGAAAAATGGAGGGAGAAGGAAGGAAAAGAGAAAATGGAAGAAAACAGGATAAGAAATAATAAGGTTGGTTTATTTTACCAGATGACATTATACATGACTGGAAGGAAACAAAACCATGAATGTTTTTTTGAGCCCTTCAGGTATTTCTTGCTTAAAATTTCTTAAAATTGTATGTCTTGTAGGTCTATATAAGGAATAGTCTCTTTTTTTTTTAAGCCACACTTTTAGGTAATGTCCACATTTTTTTAAATAGATAATTTTAAAATAATTGATATCCATTAGCTTACGAAAAATGTGATGTCCATTGTCAGAATAATTGTTTTTGCCAGCTCCATGTTTTTATCCCTTTCCCCACTACCCGTACCTGTAGCCTGTACCCCTTGTGTTTTCCCTCGTGAATCTGTAGTTCTTTTAAATATTCTAGTATAGATTGAACAGTAGATTTACATGTGTTTAGAAAAGAAAATAAGACTGGTCCAGTGTTATCGCCTTGAGGGACACCTCTATGCGTATGTTATAGGTTCCTTTTAATTGATGAAATGCCCAGTTTACTGTGTTTCAAAAGAGAAAGCACTGGAGGTTTGTTTCCCAACTCACACCCCTCCACCAATTCTTGCTGCCCCACCATTTCCCTGTTACCCACCCTTTTACCTCCTTATGTTGCTTACCATTGGTGGAAAGGGGAAAATGTGTGAAATGCACAAACAGCAGCTTTACTTTGTTGCTTTTTGCACAATGCAGTTTTGCAAAAATATGAACTCCATGCTTTAGATATTTGCTGGAAGTTGTACATGTGTGATTCCTCAATGAGATGAAAGAGAATGTGGAGCTTTAAATAAAGAACAAGAAATTGAAGAAAAAAACAGGGAAGACATTGACTAATGTATCTCTGTGTTTCATTATATTTTTTCTTCCATTTCACATGGTAAAAAGGAAGTTTTATATGTATACATGGGATAAAGTTTTCTGTATTTGTTAAATAAATTTCTGTATTGTTTCTCATGGGGATCATGTTTGCTGGTGATGGAAAAATCATCCCTATATATTGTATACTTATAAATCTTCACTCTAAAAAGGCTATCAAAAATATCAGTGAATAATGGCATCGACAGCTGTATTATTGCACACCTTCTTTCACACATGTTCAGTTGTATGTAAAGCTTGTGTTGCACCCAATTTATTTCATAAAATTGGCAGATTGATCACTATTCTTAAAAAGCATCTTGTTTTCATGGTGTTATGGATCATGTATTATATCACATATTCTATATCGATTCTACACTTTGGTGCTGGAATTATTCAGATTTATTTAACATGTATTCATTCATCACATGAAATATTTCAAAGAAAATTATTTATTAAATTTAAAGGTATAGCGTTGTAAAAAGGTATTAAAACATGGGGAAAGGTCAAAGAATATTAAAACTTATAACCATCCATGGTGTCGAATATAAGTATAGAGTATCAGAGTTGACTTAAAAGCACTGCAATATAATTTGGATACATAATTTCCTCATTTTCTTCTGGGATGTGGATTGTTATTATGTTATGCACATTTTCTAATTAAATTCTGACCTTGTACTTGGTTTATTCAACTAATACTTCCAAAAATTAGGACTACCAGTTCAGGTTTTAATTGTGTTATATTTTGTGTTATTTACAAAGAATTATGTAAAACCCTCAAAATAAAGAAGATACTATCACATTTCATCAAGATATTTATATCTTACTACTACCAGGCTATTTACTATTTAATATTTATAGCATGGATTAAAATTAAGATCCTTATCATGCTATTATAAAACAAGAGAAATGTAATAAATCTTTAAGATTATAATGTGTTTAATACAGTGCGAATGCAAACATGTGATTGCACGAACTATATATCAAAGATGACCGAAGCTTTTAAGCAAGAAATATATATACCGTATATATATTTATATATATATATATATATATAAGCCACTTTTGATATCTATTTTACCCGATACATGTATAACGATGGACTACATATAGCATGTTTATCAAAGATACATATATTAGGATGAAGTATTTATCCTATTTACCCACAGGTTATCCACGTATTTACTTTAAGTAGTTTTTAATGATAGTTATCAAATGATTTACATACATGTAGTACATGTACAAGCATGAATTCCTCCACATTATTGAAACATATACGTATGTTGTAGTCTCAAAAACCATGTTAAAGGGTGCCCATTCATGTACCTTCTAGATGGCGAATTGTCAATTTGCAATACAAAGTGGCATATGATTGCAGAATAATACTTAATGTGCTCTGTAATAACCATTTTGTAGTGTACAACTTTCTAGGTGCCACTTTGTATTCTTTTGTAATACAAATAGTTAGAATATTCAATATAAAATTGATCAGCATTTTCTGATTTTGGTCATGCAAAACTATGTGCCTTTAATCCGAAGGTTCATTACATTGTGTGCATCATACAGAAATCCTTAATATATGGGTGTTGTTTCATCCCAAACCTCCATTGCATTTGGGGAAACTTGATCTTGTTTTTGCTAAGTATCATTCAGAGTGAGTTCGGGGTTAATTTGTTAAGAATTATTTGAGAAGTTTGAGAATAATCTTGTTCTGTATCATTCCAAATGTGTCCTAATGCTATTGGGTCTGATTTATTTCTGAAATAAACAGAGGACTGGTCAGTGCTTCTGCAAAGGTCAGGTGACTGGACGTACTTGCGCAGAATGCCGAGATGGAACCTACCAGCTGGAGGCCAGCAACCCCATCGGTTGCCAAGGTAACTTTTCACTATAATTGTAGAAGATTTAGAAGATTGCTGTATGAGGCAATATTTTATTAAAGATGTTTATAAGTACATATATTTTTGCAAGTCGTTTTCATGATAATTTATGAAGGCTACTTACATTACATTTGACGTATGCATTGCCTTCTAAGTTGTGCGTATTGTTGAATTTTGGAGCCTCCAATATTTCGCAATATTCATGAAAATAAACAAAAAATAAATACGGCAGTACATGTTCTCTACTTTAATAAATAACTACTGGTAATACATTTTTGAAAGGGGATATGGCACAATCCCAACCAATTATACACTTAAATGGGTAAATAATATGGTTATTTGGTTACAAAGTAGGAGGCCCGATGGCTCACCGTATGGGAGATCTGGGGTTTGAAACCAGTTGAGGACTTAAAGCCGTTGGTGGTCCCCTCATTGCCTAATGGGAAGCATACACATGCTTTCTTAGCAGTCGGGTAAAACCAACCCAATCACAATCTATGTACTCCTGGGCCCCGTCTTACAAAGAGTTGATATCAATCACAACTATGTACATAAGACATAGGAGACTACATCATTCACAACTCTTCGTAAGATGGGGCCCAGGTGTGCCAGTTGGGTATAAAAATGGGGGGGGGGCACGACAGGAGGCACTTTGTGCCTTCTACGGACGCAACTGCTTAGAAAAGCAGGGTTATTGACAAGATAATAAAGTTGTCTTCATTTTGTATATGCTTTTCAGACTGCAACTGTGACGTAGGAGGATCTGTGCATGCTGCCTGTGACACGCGAACGGGACAGTGTGTCTGCCGACCTAGGGTCACTGGAGTCACTTGTGACATGTAAGAAAGTCATTCCGATAAATCATGATGATGGTGGTGGTGGTGGTACTAAAAGTTATGATGAAAATGTTGACAGTGATGATGATAACGGGATGATGATGATGATTGTGATGGCGATGATGAGAATTGATAACTAATCCTGTGATGTAGGCAATTGTGTGCATGCTGCCTGTGACACGCGTACAGGACAGTGTGTCTGCAGACCTAGGGTCACGGGAGTCACTTGTGACATGTAAGAAAGTCATTCCGATTAGTCATGATGATGGTGGTGGTGGTGGTACTAAAAGTTATGATGAAGATGTTGAAGATGATGATGATGATTACGATGGTGATGATGATGATTACGATGGTGATGATGATGATGACTGTACCTGTGATGTACCTGCAAACGGGGGAGTGTGTCTGCAGACCTAAGGTTCCTGGAGTCACTTGTGACATGTAAGATAATCATACCATAATGATGTTGATGGTGGTGGTGATTGTAATGGTGATGATTCTGATTATTTTTTTATGAAGATGATAATGATGGTGATCGCAGATGGTGGAAAAAGTGTTTAAACGATCTTTGTGTAAGAGTTTGTGAAACTTCTTTTTATTCCATCATCAGGCCTGAAGCCAATCACTTTGTACCAGACCTTCACCAGATGAAGTTTGAGGCTGAGGATGGATACACCCCCAACGGTCGTCGTGTCCGCTTTGGTTACGACTCTTTCGAGTTCCCAGGATTCTCCTATCTTGGATACGCCATCATGTCAGCTATTCAGGTATCAAACTAATTTCATTTGATTAACTCTTATCCTGCGGTAATGAATACAACCCAGTGCCACAGGGCTAAACCCCATTGTGCCAAGCCACAAATCCCCCCTGTGCCAAGTTTATTTTGAGATAATCTGTTAATCTGATGGTGCGATCAATTGCGTGTGCGAAGCACTCAGCACAGTACAATGAGCATGAACAAAAACTGCTATTACGAATGCGAGCATGCATGCATAAAGCAGCTAAGCTGTGGCTCGCTCTCGTGAATTAAGCAGCCAATCGATAGCGTGCTTGCGTGTACAAAGCACTATAACAGTAGCGTGCATGCGGCCTAATGGCAGGATATGAGTTAATTGAGATTTCATTCACAGTTGTTGTTCAAGCACCAGTTTCACCAGCCTGGCATGGGCAAAACCTTGTGCCTGGAATATTTTCACGATACATTATTAAACTCCCATATGTTGCTGGGTTTTCAAGGGCATCTTTATGAATGCAATTTTGCTTTAGTGACTTTTGATTCATTGAAATTTTAACCATCCTTCGTAATAGCCCATTGTGATAGACTGAAATTTACATAAACAGGTTTTGACAGTGATTTACTTCACTGGCCATTGGCGTAAACATGTACAGGGTGTGCCCATTTATTCAGTATTACTTTTATTTTGCTACTTACAAAAGTATTTTAGGACCGTACCAAAATTGAACATGTACATTACATAGGCATTTGATATTTTCATCCTGATTTTGCATCAATCATACTTTATAGCCCACCATCCGCATTCCCATCACGGTTGAGTCACCCAGCATTTACCGAATCATCATGCGCTACTACTATCCTAACGCAGGAGGACCAACCCGTGGTAGGATGACCGTTACACCTGCTGACCCTTCACAAGGTAAGATTATATGACTTGTGTGTTCTTCAGGGATCCCTATTGGGTCCTATCATGTTTCTTTCAATGTATCATAGCAACTACTCCAACCCGTGGTAGGATGACCGTTACACATGCTGACCCCTTCACAAGGTAAGACTACATGACTTGTGTGTTCTTCAGGGATCCCTATTAGGTCCTATCATGTTTCTTTCAATGTATCATAACAACTACCCTCAGGATAATCTTACATCTGACCGTTACACCTGCTGACCCTTCACAAGGTAAGACTACACGACTTGTGTGTTCCTCAGGGATCCCTATTAGGTCTTATCGTGTTTATTTCAATGTATCATAACAACTACCCCCAGGATAATCTTTCATCTGACAAACTACTACCCTTGTGTTTGCATGCTATGGGAGTTGTTCTAAAATATAAAAACCCATGCTTCCTCCACATCCCTCGTGGTCTATATTCAAAGCTTATTATCATGTATATATATATATATATTTCTTTTTTGTGGGGGAGGGGTGTGATACTGTGTGACGTATATAGCTATTTTCAAACATGTGCAATAGTGATCATTCTTTTTTAATATCTCCTTGATTTATTGAATTGATCATTACCTGCTGAATATTCATTATTCATGAATTGATGAATATTAATTAATTGATGAATATTCATGTCTCTATTGCAGTGCAAGCTTCTGAACAGAGCAGTGGTATCATCTTCATCAGTACGACCATTCCTCAGTTTGTGACTGTAGAGGGCAGCGGAGTCATCAAACCTTTTGTGCTGAATCCCGGTTCGTGGGTTGTGACCATCGAAGCGCCAGAGGGCATCCTCATTGTGAGTCTTTCTTTTTTGTTTTGTACATGAAACTATGGATTCTGTTATTTTGAGCGTTAAGTGACACAAAGACGTAAATCCTTATTTTGCCAAAATGAGTATTTGATATCTAAATGTTCAGAAAAAATGTGGGCTTTCCAGGAAACACAAAGACTTAACTCCACCCAACACCCCATTGAAGTCAATGGCTAGTTAAACATAAATGGCCAAAATGGAGTTACTACTTTGTGTCACTGACCCCTCAAAATCCTTCCCTCTTCGTTTCGTACAACCTGCATGAAAAATATGGATTGCGGTAATCATAAATTTGCGGTCTTTTCAGAAACTAATTTTTCTTTTCCTAGACAAAACTCCAATTGATAAGGGAATACTTTTTATTTGGGGGCCATTTTTTAGCTTGTGGCGTGAATCTGCATAGTACGGTAAAACCTACCAATGAATACCACTGTTGTAACATACTGATCATAGCAAGGTAATATTGCTGGTCGTCCTGTTTCATAAAGAGTCACGAATGATCCAGATTGATTCGGTTCCTCCGATCAATCACACACTCACAAAATCTTTAATGCAGAGTTGAAATTGCTAAATCAAGTTGCGATTCATTTGAATCAATAGCACAGTAAAACCTGTTTTAGTGACCACCTGTCTACAAAGATCACATTTTTGGTTTCCCTTGAATATGGTTTCTCATTAAAACATGTACTAAAGGAACCTGTCTACAAAGACCACCTGTGTACAAAGACCACTTTTTGTGTTTCCCTTGGGCGGTCGCTATAAACAGGTTTGACTGTAGTTCTTTCTAAAACTGGCCCATGATATAACAAGAGTTTCTTAAAGCAAGGTTAATATGTCCTTTGTGTCGAGGAGTTTGTTATTATGAAGTCCCACAGGATTCTGAAATGCCTTTCTTTCTTGCTTCCATCTTTGACAGGATTACATTGTTCTTCTACCATCTGACTTCTACGAAGCAACGATTCTTCAGGAGCATACGACCGAGCCTTGCATCGTCGGTACTCCTCAGCAAAGGTAAGAAAACTTTTCCCCATTCCATGATCATTTCTTTCTAAAAAACATAGATTGGTACATATTCTCATGAGTCATCTAACTTTGGTCCAGGTTTAAAGCCTGTCTACACTAGTTTAGCCAGGAGGGATTAGACCTCCCTGCATGGTCACTGACAGGTGGTTATCTCATCAAATCAGCTCTCAATTAATATAAGAAAAAGGGGATCATGGGGGAACAACGGGTACCACTTAGGCATTGTTTGCTATATAGAGGGCGCAAGCAGCTACAAGTAGTGCAGTCCTGCTTTAAACCTTTCCTTACAAATGGCCTAGGCGATACAAACTAGCTGAGTCCCTCCAATCACCTGGGGACGGGGTTAGGGTTGAGGTCTTGACCACTACGTTCCATGGATGAACAGGGGTGGGGGTGGGGGTGGGGGGGAACATGGACCCCCTTGGCTATGCATATGTGTGCTGATATCTGCCCAGATATCTCTTTTCTATTAAAAACAAAAATTAAAGTAGCTTAGCATTGCAGCAACATGAAACCAAATTTTTCTGTGGAGGACACATTGTAAGAATGTTTCCAGTTAACTAAATACATCAGTGGAAAAGCAATATTACATACCTGAATAGTTGAAGAAAGGGAAAAATGAAGTTGGAGAGTCCAGCCGTAAATGGAGATATTAAGCTGTGAAGCTTATTTATTCGATCTGTAAAGACAGATAAAATAACAATGACAGATTTAGTATATCATTCATGTTACACAAGAATGCAATATATAATCCAAATTATCTGAACAAACCAAGTAACTGTATCTATAAAGATTCATTTAAACACATTTGCTTTTGTTCTATAAACTGTCAATCTTGACCTCATCCTTTAACTAACAAAAATCCAGAGTAACCAATGGTTACAAAACCTTATGCATTTTCTAATATGCATTACTTTCAAATACTCATACTTTCAGAGTTTCTAAAACCATAAGTTACATTATTAACTCTTAAAGATGATTAAACACCGTCTTCAATTCAGACTCTAAATACCATGCCAGAGGTGCAAAGCTTAACCTTTCACCAAGTCAATAAATGGTGTCTTGCAACTTTTAAGCAAGCTAAATCAAACTCCACAGACCAACTTTTCTCACCCAAACAAACTGCATAAAATCCAAGATTCTAGCATGCACAAATATAAACATCCTTTATCTTTAGGACTTCTACATATATATACACTGTTTACTCTATAAATGACATAAAACAATATTTGCCTAATATTGTAATTCTGTTTTGACAATTATCATTTAACTGGAAAAACACAAGACGAAAAGTACGTGTCATGGGCGCGGCCATTTTAGGTGCAGCCATCTTGGAATTAATGCCACACGTGCATTATGCAAATGAGTTAATTACAGTTCTTTAGAGTCCGTTTTACAGTTCAACTTGAATCCATCTTATTTTCCGTTTTAAGAGTTCACATTCCCGTTTATATTAATCTAAACACTCACTTCTGTGGCGGGACAAAACTTCGTCGGGAATACTTCTATGACAACTGACGGGTTAACTCGGAAACTAGTCAAACTTGACTACATTTCTGACTGCGTTCTGTGCTGACTGAAGAACATGGCGACAGTGCCGAACCTAACCTATGGTAGCTTATAAGAGCAAAAAAAGAGAAAATCTAAACCAAGCAAAAATCATCGCTCGGCGAAACAATACCGTAAATCTCCGTGTATAAGGCGCACTTTTTTGCCGCCGAAAAAAATTTGAAAGTCAGTGGTGCGTCTTATACACAGGTACAGAATTTTTTTTTTTTTTTAGTTTTTTAGTTTTTTTTTAGTTTCGATTTATGGTGCTATGCCTGGCAATGTTTCCTAGCTCAGTAATCAGTGTGTTGACTCGCCACTCGGAAACTACAACACTCAAATTTGTCTGTCATCTTGGTTTGAAAGTAATCTTTCTAATAGATCTCAATATGTAGTTCATAATAATAATTCCTCAATTTTTTTTTCTATAACAAATGGTGTACCACAAGGTTATATCCAAGGTACTCCATTGTCAGAAATTTAGAAGATGCTATTCATATCATGCATGACTATTGATGTTTGGCATAGAACACAGTGCTTCTGCTAGGTGATGTGAGGAGGCTGGTGTGGGACACTTGGTATCATGAAGCCTTAGACTGTTGTTACTATTATTTGTGACAAGTTCACAACTTCAACTGCACCTCGATGTAAAATGAAGGTCCTTCCCCATGTGGGTTTTCGGCAACAAAACAACAACAACAAAACAAAAAACAATTTTTTTTTTTTTTTTTTTTTTTTTTTTTTTTCCCCTCCTCCCTAAAATAGGGGTGCGCCTTATACACGGAGATTTACGGTAGCAACGAGAGCAACTTAATCTAAAATCCTGTCCCCACAAGAATGAGCACACTTGTAAGACCTTCTATTTTATCACCTTGACAAGAAAAATTTTGTTTCTTCAAACAGATGTAACTTCTACGTCTTTCCCGAGGTGGACCAGTTCTTCGTCGCTCCGGGTGTTGACGGATATTCGGTGGACAGCAACGGAGGGCGCTACCCAGTCCAGAGGTTCGGAGATGATCTCATCATGCAGGAGCTTGGCGTGGATAGCATGGCTCTCGTTGATGATAACCAGGTACATTTATAGTGTTGATAGAATTTTTCTTTAAATGGTATGGAATGGCATGGTTACTACTGGGGAGGGTCTTCTGTGAAGGACCAGTCCCATTTGACCAATACCATTGATTAAATATGTATTAATCACCCCCAAATTGTTCTCCTTCAGTTAATGTTGAAAATGAATTGTCTGTCCCTTTTGCAATTGCAAGGATCAGAGAATAATTGGTGCAGAAGTCATAGAATACGTAATCAAGTTTGTTTCGAAACCTAGTCTTAATAGGGTGTCTAATCGCGCACCACTCGAGTTTGTGTGCTAAAATCCTTCCCATTGAGATTGCACTCATAAATATGCAGTCTAGATCTACGTGCATTAACAAAATTATTTCTAAATCGAGATGCAAACCTTTATTGCTTGTGATCCTGAACTTGAAGGTGGTGCTCAAAAAATGAGGTGTCATATGAAAGAGCAGATTTATCTCCATATTTCCAAAGGGGCGTCATCTCGTCATTACATGTAGATCTAGGCCTACAATCGAGATCGACGGTCGTCTGCACTGTGTGCAAATGTAGCAACCAAATTAGTTGCACAAAAACTGTGGTAGCCGCGCTGCGCATTCCACAAAGAACTTAAACACGTAAACCAATGCGCATTCCCCAAAGAAATGTTTAACACGTGAACCAATGAGTATTTCAGCAAGACTGAAGTATTTTCCCAGTAACTGGAATTTTGCTGGGATTTTACTGATTTACTCTAGAACTATTACATGGGTTTGGCATTTTTCGTTTATTTATGGGAATGGCTAAAGCTACGACTGCAATTTCGACCAATCAGATAGCTGGATTTCTTAAGTGAGGTATATAATTGTTTATACGATCTCGAGGAGGTTAAAATCGAGCTATTGCCCTCGGCAAGACTCGGGCAATAGCTCGATTGTAACCTCCCCTTGAGCGTATAAAAACAACTATGTCTCTCAAAGCAGTCATTATTACTATATTATTGTTGTTATTGGTCAAATGGAGCAAGTTTTTAGATATTCATACATCACATTTTTTTAATGCGTGTTGATGAGAATATGGCCCTGTTATTTCCCTTTTTAACTCATCCATGCTTGGTTTCTTCTCCAAATTTGTCTCTAAGGTGTTTGATATTTAACTTGTTCTTAATGATTATTGATTGGTTGCACTTGTATATTTATGCTAAATTTACGCTGAATAGTGTACAAGTATACTAGGAAATATGAAGTGATAGCTGATAATGAATTGCCCATCATCCTTAATGCTGATATATTTTTTTTCTCATTACTTTTTCATTACTGTATAGAACATCTACGGTATCGATCTACCCATTTTCCAAGCTGGGCGCTACGTGCTGATCTTCGAGTACTACGGTGGTGGTCCAGGCCAGCAATCTGCTCTTATCGATGTCTACGGTTCCCAAGATACACAACAAGGAGAGCTCATCTTCAATGATTGCGCCTTCCTGTAAGTGTGTGTTGATCATTGTTACGAAACAAATAAATGGAGGGTATCAAATTGGCAGCAAATTTTTATGTTTGAGTAATTGTTCAGGTTTTTAGTACATTAAACATTGTGGCAAACTCCATAGTCTGTTAATCTGTTAAATTGTTAATTTTTTTTGCATCACTTTCCAACTCCAACAATTACTATGAAACCCGTCTATGAAGACAACCCAAGGGAGAAAACAAAAGTGGTCTTTATGTATGGGTTCCTTTAGTACATGTTTCAATGAGAAACCATTTTCAAGGGAAATAAAAAATGTGGTCTTTGTAGACAGGTGGTCTTTCTATACAAGTGGTCACTAAAGCAGGTTTGACTGTATCTGTCCTTGATTTTTTGCAGATGTCGGGCGATCGTTCTTGACGATGATAGCCGCGTCCAGGTGTTTGACATCCAGGATGTGATGCCCTACGCTCAGCTCACCAAGATCGGAGGACCCTACATGCTCTCAATCGTAAGTAGCATCTTTCTTTGGTTCTGCAACACATGCTCTAGGAACTATAATGATAACGATATGTCTAGTGCTGTATCAAGACACCTACCCCCTGGACATCCAACCCCCCCGGATAACCACCCTCTAAAACAACTACCTCCCTAGGGCAAACACCCTCTAGGACGAGTATCCCCCCCCCCTGGGACAACTACCCCCCAGACAACTACCCCCTAGGACAACCACCCTCGAGGACAACTACCCCCTCCCCCCCCCGACAATTACATCGTCCCTATTTTCACGAAGTGACGGTAGTGAGGAAAATCGTCACGCAAAGTGAATGCAATTTTTTTTCACTACCGTCACTTCGTGAAAACAGCGACGACATGTACCTTCTAGGCGTAGGGTAGGTGTCCTAGAACCTGCGTACGATGTTATGATATAAGGTCTCTATGGATCTACAAAGGACTCCGTAAAATCATTACCCTGTCTTTTGGTGCATTCAAGGAATTCAAATTTTGAAATTGATGAGTTTGCTCGACATAGGGCATGTTTATGTTTGTAATGTCCATATTTTCTTGACCATGCTCTGATTTTCTTTTATTTTCATTAAATATTCCAGAGCCGTGTAATTGCCATCCCAGTGGAGTCATTCACATATGACTTTGTTACACCAACCTTGGAGTGTGTCCGCACTGCTGATGGAGAGTAAGTGTTTATGCTACTTCTAATGATATGTGTTTTAGTAATTTTTAGTAATATCATGATTAAAGGGAAATCCAACCCAAATAGACAGCTACTCTAAAAGAAAGCAGAAAAATCAGAGAAGCACACTGATGAAAGTTTCAATTAAATTCAAAGAAAGTTATGAATTTTTGAAATTTGTAATTACTATGTGTATTAGCACTTAAAATTGGCTGAAGTAGTAATGTCGTTGTGATGTACACGTAGTACCGGACTACCGGTACTTTCCCATCTTTTCCAACATATAAAATGACTAAATTTAAAAAAAAAATCTTCAAAAATTCATGGCTCAGGAAGGTCTCTTCTCTCTTCAATGCTTCAGTGATTGATATTTTTTCTCGCGGTTTTCTAGGTGTCTGCCATCGACTTACCCCGTGCCACCAAACACCATTCTCCTGGAGGGTGAGATGAACCTAGATGCACCCCTACCACCAAACATTTACAACCCATCTCCCACCGTCACCTACCTCTCTAATGACAACCAGGTAAGGCAACAATCCCTGCACATGTTTAACCCATGAAAGATAAAGTTGAGTTCTGGTCATGGATTGTATTGTGAAAGTAACGTTGTGGAATCGATCAGAAAAAGTTGATCATGTAGCATGTAAGTATTGGTGTGCACTGCAAGGTTCTGGAATCATCAAAATGATAAGAAATTTGGCCCATTCCTGGTGACATTACAAGCACTGTACCCAGAAAGACGTAGGCCTCTATGGCACTACACAAACATGTGGCATACAAATTAAGGTATTTGAAGAGCTATGCTTTTCAGGGAACATTTTTTATCTGGTGTTCTTCCACACTTAACAATAATACGTTCACAAATTATTTGTTACCTCTTCCCAGAACTCAACCTTCTCTTTAGGTGCATTGATAATCTTCATTTTGCAATCTGCTTGTGGCATTGTTTGTACAGATATAAGTTTTATCAGAACATCATTGATCCTCAGCACAGAATCTATGCAAAAATAGCAAGAAAAATGAGGTCTAATGAACCCACGTATGATATCATCATTTCGTGTGAGAGTCATGAAATTCCCTCAATTTTAGTCAATTTCATCTTCTTTAATTTGAGTCTTCTCGGTCTCATTATCGTTTGGTTGAAGCCCATGGACGGGTACTACAGGTGTCGGAATAATGAGAAAATACATTGTGATCCATCCATCCATCCTAAAGATATTTGATATAGCGCCTTCTCCTTGCAGTTACAAAGCGCTGCGCACACGCTCCACAATGTTTGGGCCACTTAAAAACAAAAGTTAGACACTTCTCAGAGATCAGTAAAGTTATTCTATCCATCTTGGATTGTACAGTTGTATTCAAGGTGTGAAAAGCTATTCACTTGAAATTCACTGTTCCTCAAGTTAACAGGAGTAAGTAGTAAAAGGAAAACAAAACTGAGCACAGATATTTGAAGTACTATTTGTTCAGCAGAACAGTGCTTCATCAGAAACTTGATCTTTATTCAATTTTTGTGTGAAATGTCTGTGATTTACAGAACACTGCCTCGTATCACGATGACCTTGTACCAAACAGCGGAGAGGTCGTGTTTGTCATCCACTATTAGAAACTTGATCTTTATACGATTTTTTGTGGAATATTCTTGTGATTTTCAGAACACAGCCTCGTATCACGATGACCTTGTACCAAACAGCGGAGAGGTTGTGTTTGTCATCCACTACTACCAGCCCAACGGAGAGTCCTACGATACAGACTTCAGAGTCGTCGGCCAGTTTGATGGCGAAGGTAAATTTCTGATCCTTTTCAGGTGATCCAATATTCGCTCCAGTGACATTTGCTGGAAGTGTTATGCCAGTAAAGATATAGGCCTGAATTCACAAAATCGACAAACCTAGGTTTTTGTGCATCATTTGACACGGCTCAGACCAAGGTTTGTCTGAACCTTGGTCTGAAATGCATCCAAACGCATCCAAACGCATCCAAACGCGTCATATAAGGCACATAAACCTAGGTTTGTTGACAATCCTCCTTTGTGATTTCAGGCCATGAGGTTAGGGTTAGGGCTGGGTTTTTTTTTTAAAGTTAGGGTTAGGGTTAGTACACTATAGCATTTTATACAAGGGTTAAATTGGGAATTTTTGACAAGTGAATAAACCGAATGCTGGGCAATAGTAGCTAGAGCATGTCTTATAGAACCAGTTCAAAGTTGCCTAATCCTTGCGTTTATTTTATTTTTTGTAGGATGGCAAGTCTTTGCTCAGTATAAGATGCCCTGTCATTCCCATTATTAAACATGTTACTGCATGATTGTATAAATGTATGTACAGTAGGGTACTAAATCACCATTGTCTCGTTTCCGTGCAGGTACTTTCAATGCCAAATACTGCCCTCACGTGTCCGGATGCCGTGTCGTCGTCACCAAGCCTGACGGTAGCAACGTCTTTGAGCTGAGTGACCTCAGTCAAGGAATCCAGGTGACCCTGCCGGAGGGAGACAATCGCCAGCTCTGGATCGTAAGTCTGAAACATGATATAACAAATCGTAGTTGGGCTGTTCAAAGGCCGTCTGTACTAGTTTTGCTAGGAGGGATTAGACCACCCAGGTAGGTCACTGACAGGTGGCTCTCTCATTAACTCAGCTCTCAATTAACATAAGAAAGAGGATCATGGGGGACCAATGGTCACCGATTAGGCATTGTTTTCTGTATAGAGGGAGGAAGCAGCTTCAAGTAGTACAGTGGGGCTTTAAGCACTTGACTTTAAATGCAAAGATCGTGGGTTTGATCCTTGACACGGCTCTAATAAAATAGCACCACCTTTTGGGGTTGATCTTCATTCCTTCATCTCTGGATCCATGTTTGAAATCTTTCTTTCTCTTCCACCTCCCTCAGGATGACATCATGGTTATCCCTGTTGAGATGTACACCCCCGACGTGGTCAACGCTAACCCTCAGGACCGGGCAGGAGAGTTCATCCAGTACTGCAGTGCCAATGATTTCTACTTCAGGTAGGCTTCATACATCATACCAGGCTTTGTCTGCCTCCAAAAAAAAAAATAACATAAAGGAAGTAATCTTTGCATTTTATGCATCTTATATCATATATATAAGTGAGTGTGCTTAGAGGCTTTGGTGCTTTTGGGCTTTGGTCCTTCAAAAATGGTTCTACAGATGTGTGACCATGATTTGTACGTCCCTTGAGAGACAAATGCCAGTAAATGGTGAGAGCAAATGGTGGCATGAACGGCCTGCCATAGTTAAGTCCAACTTAGAGTCGATATTAGTCTTTGTGAAACATTCCCTTGGTCCCCCTTGGCAATGGATTAAAGGAAATTAATCCTGTGGTCACATAATGCAATGTCATTACAAAACCTCCTCCCTTACAGTCCTGACTCCTCTGGCTTCTGCCGCGAGGCCGTCTTCTCTCTCTCATCCGCTTTCAACTACGGAGCTTCGGAGTGTGACTGCGACAGCCAAGGCTCCCTCAGCTTCAACTGCGATGAGCTAGGCGGTCAGTGCAACTGCCGACAGAACATCGTCGGGCGTCGCTGCAACAAGTGCGCCGTCGGATACTATGATTTCCCATACTGCAGAGGTAAGAATTAATTAATTTATTTATTACGGTGTAGGGTGTCTACATTATTATAATGCACACCTCACAAAACAACTTAGTATGCGCAAATCGAAAACCATGCTTTATAAGACATGCTCATGAATATTCATGACCTAAGAGGATTTTTGAAATTCGTTATAACAAAATCATTGTGAAGAAAAAAAATGGGCTTATACAATAGATCTTACTAGAGTTTAACAAAAAGTAGGCCATGTTTAAAATACCCTTTTTTCTTGTAATGAGAATGGTGATGATGCCATCTGCAGCAGCCATTTTTTTTTGTTCAAAGTGTTGGGTCGGGGCAATTACCTTGCATTATCCACTACAACAACTGAGAATCAAATGAATACGATTAAAAATCAAGACGATATGTTACCTTTGATTCGTGGTTTATTACTTTATCTCAATCCTCTGTTTGAATTTACATATTCCAAATCCTATAATTTGCATATTCATTACAAATGTTTCTCCTTTCATCCCTAGCCTGTACATGCGAGTCCGGTGTTTGCAACGAGGTTTCAGGAGAGTGCATCTGTCCCGAGAACGTGGCTGGGACCAACTGCGATACCTGCGCCCCCCAGACCTATGGCTACCACCCCATCGTTGGATGTGTGGTATGTTCTCACTTGTTTTACATACTCTATTAATAATGATATATAGTAATAATGATAATGTTAATGATGTTTTTAATAGTAAGTTCTTGTATAGTGCTCATGTCTGTTTACGCAAATTAGTGACTTCATCAGCAATTTTCGTATACCCAATGATTCTATCAAATTTTAGAACTTGAATTAAACTAAATGATGAGTAAAATGTCAATATTTAAATTATGTTTGTCTTCATTCTTGGTAATACCTTGATTACTCTACCTCTAGTACATACTACACTGATCCTAGACAGGCCAATTCTTTTCCTTTCAAGGCACTGTAATTGTTTTGTTTGGTCTTTAGTCCGTCTGGTCTTGATCTCGTTGGTTTGAACGAGGTAATAATAATAATATTCCGGTTTTATATTGCGCTTTACAGATATACTATTACCCCGGTCATTGGATTCAATACTTTGACGTAGAACATATGGCACACCAAATGTCCAAATACTTGTACATATGGCTTAAACTTGCCTTCTTGCGCACTAATTAGTGAAAGAGTATGATCCCCGGTGTTTATAAACGTTCATTTTGTTTGTTTTCAGGATTGCGAGTGTGACATTCGAGGTGTGGACAACAATGACCTCAACTGTGACTTCTTCACCGGCGAGTGCAAGTAAGTCATGACCTTCGACCTCTGACATTTATTCAACTCCAACTGGACCAAAATCTTGTCCTTTAGGGGTAACATATTTTGCTGTTGCTGTTCAATCTTTTGTCTGTCTAGTGCTAATGTTGTGGGTGTAAAGTTATGAGTGTTCCACTTTGGGCTAGACATTGATTTATATGTGCCACTCTCCACCCAGGTGTAGTAAATGATTACCTGGTAAGATGCACTATCAAACCTGGGGGGTGTTTCACAAAGATCCTAATTTGGACTTTAAAATTATGGAGAGCCATTTGTAGCATAAAAGAAATATATTCAAAAGCAAAAATTCAAGTATTTTAGATTTTTGTTCTCATAAATTCCACATCAAAGAATATGAAATCTCCTTGATAATAGAAAATATGAATGATTTGAATCCACATTTCATGCCTTGTAAAATAACTTCTAACAAATATTTTCAAAGATGCCAACATCTTTCCATAGTTGTAAAGTCCAACTTAGAAATGACTTCAACTTAGGACCTTTGTGAAACACCCCCCAGAAGCTAAAGCAAGGAAATTCATTTAAAATGCACATAGAAATTTTTCAATGTGTTTAACACTTTATACTGTTATTTTTGTCTCTTATTATCATAGTTGCAAGCCTAACATTGGAGGCCGGCAGTGTGAACGTTGTGAACGTGGCAACTACGGCTACCCGTATTGTGAGCCCTGTAATTGCGATGTGAACGGAACAACAGAAGAAATCTGCGACCAGACCACTGCCCAGTGTCTTTGCAAGGTAACTGTTTATATTTTGGTTATGTTAAATTTTTAGTGCATTCACATATGGCCTTTAAAGGTAAAGACCAGTTTTGGAAAAGCCCCTCTCTCAAAAAATGAAATTGAAGCTCTTATTACCAATCATGTGAAAGAATATGTTTTGAATAATACATGATGATAACAATTTTGCCGGGAAACCGCCCACTAATTGATATATATGGTAAATTAGTCTAATCTATTGGGACCAAATAGATAATACGCACGTGCCGCGCACATGTGCGTAGTCCCATATACATCTTTCTGTGTACAGTGCTTGTAACTTTACGAAGACTGAGCCAAATTTCTTATAATTTTTATGATTCCAGAACCTTGCAGTACACACCAATACTTATATGCTAGATGATCAACCTTTTCTGATCGATTCCTCAACAACTTTCACAACTGGTCTTTATCTTTAATACCGTACTTGTATCTCTCATGTGATTTGCTCAAAGCACCTCTGGAATTTTTTTAATCCAAAGTTTTGTTGAATCATCGTGTTTAGTATTGTGAATGCTTCATACGTGGATATATGAATATGATAATGACCATTTGATGAGTGACAGCATTTATATGGTGCCACATTTCTGATTAAGGAACAATACTCTCATGCTTAGCATATGAAAATTATTGCATATTTTGATTGACTGTAGTTGCGTCATGGGAGGTCCCGCTTGTTTACAGGTCAAATTTATGGAAATGGGGCATCGGTATAGTTCCCTCATTAAGACATTGAATGGAGAAGGGAACTATTTGTAGTTCAGTGATTTGACCTTGAGTGTGCAAGCATCCAGGGCCTCGTCTTATAAGAGCTACGATTGATCCAAATGAAACTCATCTATCGTAAGTTCTCCAATCAATCGCAAGTTTGCAGTCTCCTATCTCTTATGTACATAGTTGCAATTGATATCAATCGCAAATAAGTTGCAATTGATATCAACTCTTTATAAGACTGGGCTCAGTTGTCACAACTCTCTCTCTCTCTCTCTCTTTCTCTCTCTCTCTTTCTCTCTCTCTCTCTCTATATATATATGCTATTGATCATTAACTCCTTATGATGTGTTCTCTCAGGACAATGTCTACGGGGATCAGTGCAACCAGTGCGAGCCGGGTACGTTCTACCTCGCTGACTCCAACCCTGAGGGCTGTATCTCTTGTTTCTGCTTCGGTGTCAGCACAGACTGCCGCTCCTACACACGCAGACGAGCAAGGGTGAGTTGGATAAATTAACATTTGTACATAACGACAATTGCGCCATCGGTAATTGCTGTGATGACAGTTACTTTGGGCTTGAGTTTGTCAGAGGAGCAGGGTTAGGGTTGCTCCTGGTTTCATACAAGCTTGGGACAAGCGTTGGGTTAGGATGTCAACTAATGCATATCAATGTATGCATGTTTCTCTTTAGAACCTCTGGCCAACTATTTCACAAACCACCTTAATTACAAGTTTGCAGACAACCTATTAAAATGCATGTGTCAAATTTAACATGCATTTCAATGAGATGTTGGTAAAGTTGCACTTTAATAAGGATGATTGTGGTGGAGATAATGATTACTGGTAATGATGCTATTGATAGTGGTGAGGAGGAGGAGATGATGACGATGATGATGATGATGATGACGACGACGACGACTACGACGATGATAATGATCCCCCCTCCCCCATTGACACCCTTGTTTTTTGTGATGATGGGCTGGCACCACGTATCTTAATGTCAATAGTTTCTTGACTCTGTTACCAATGAATAACCAACACAATTTAACAATGGCCCGTTTTTTTCTTCTGATAACCTCATACATGTAGATTGATATGGTCGATGGCTGGACGACAGTCAACTTTGACCCCAGCGCAGTCCGTTATGGTTCCAACTTTGCGAATATCTATGTCAGTGGAACAGGGGACACCCCGCAGAACGCCATCTATTGGAATGCGGCAGAGAAATTCATCGGCAATAAGGTAAGACACCTCGAAAGTTTTGAGCATGGTAGTTGGTAATCTATTGATAACAAATATTGAAGGTTAGAGGTTTAAATTTTAAATTGTTTATTTCACTATATTATCTCACTTTTATAAAGAGATATTCAAATTGAAATGTACTCTCGAAAACCAAAAGAAAATCTGGGAGTAGACTAGTCATTTGAGGCACTTCTTGATCAATTTGAAGGGCAGATTTTTAGGGCTTCAATATTACACCATATCACAAACACTGATAACACTTGGGGCCATGCATCTCAGATTTTCTGTTGTTAAACGATGCCTTAAAACGTGATTTAAAACCCGATGTCGGTATCACCGAATCAGTAGAATACAGACCACTCTATTTGTAAGGTAATTGGTAACTTGTAACTCTGAACATGTGAACTGTTTAACGTCCCTCTGCAGCTGACATCTTATGGAGGCAAGCTGGAGTACACCGTGAGAAACAACCCTCAGCCTGCAGAGTTAGGTGGTGCAGGCCCCGCCCAGCCCATGAGACGACCAGACATCCTTATTTCTGTAAGTCCTATAAATCTATCTGTTAATTTTCTACCAATAAACCAAAATTAATCATTAATTTATGTAAGATGCTAAACTACAATGTATATGAATTTGATTATCATATTTATGCATGCATAATAAAGTTCTATATTTTGTTACTGTTATAAAAAATTCATAGCTCAGCCATTAACTGGAGAGAAATGATAATATAAACCTTCCCCTTCAATTGGTTTCATTTCAATTCAAATGAGTTCAGTTCAGGTTGATTCACTTCAATACTATTCAATTCAGTTCAATTCATGTCATTTCAATTTCAAATTAGATTCCATTTAATGATTTCTGTTTCAATTGGAATTCAATTCAATTTCAATTCAATTCCATCTGTTTCAATTTAAGTTTCAATAGTGAGTTCAGTTTCAAATTCAATTCCATTTCAGTTTCAATTTGAAATTCAATTTCAATTCAATTGTAATTCCTATTCTAATCTCAATTCAATTTTATTTCCAATTCCAATCTCAATTCAATTTTAATTCCAATCTCAATTCTATTGACCTTTGACCTTGCAGGGTAACAACATCAGCATCATGTATCTTCACATTGATCAGCCAGACCCTGGCCAGGACTTGTCCGTTTCTGTCGAGCTGAAAGAGGTAACAATTTTCTCAAGGATTCTAACAACAACTTTCATTATATCGTTAAACCATAAACTTTGCAACTTGACACTTTGGCGAATTGGTAATGAGAGCATTTTACATTGCAAGAAACTTTCACGAACTGCAAAATTCATTGTTGTGTCATTTGTGAGGGGCCGAGGCGAACACATGGAGTGTAACGCCCTGGCCCTACTGGCACGAATATGAGTATTTATGAGCGCCCTTCCTACTGTGGGCATGTCTCTCAGACTACAGATAGTAGATTTTTGATCGTATATTCACTATTTTACCTGTTTATGTCTTTTTAGACCAACCTTTTGTATAACAATAGATTATTGATCACTCAATTAATGTGGTATTTCTTAATGTCTTTGTAGAAAACTCCCATTACAGCAATGGATTATTAATCTTATAATGATTACAACAAATTATTAAAGCACTAAGAAACCAACACTCTCATTAAGCACTATACAAAATGTGATTATTATTGCATGAACATTGGGTTATCCCTTCTTTGTAGAATAATTACCAGTACAGCATCAGTTCCACTGAGGTATCTAAGAGTGACTTCATAACATTTCTGGCTGACATTGAATTATAGAATGGAAATCTTGTAGTTAGTGCTTCATGAATTTGATTATTAATCATTACGCTATCTCTTGTTTTCTTATTGTCTTTGTAGAACAACTTCCAGTACAGCATCAGTGCGGCTGAGGTATCGAGGAGTGACTTCATGACGGTCCTAGCTAACATCGACTCACTGCAGATCAGAGCTCAGTACTTTGACAGGATCCTCACTGCAGAGTAAGACAATTCATGATACACCACCAAACATCACAAAACAAACAAATAAACAAACAAATGCACCCTTTGGGCCTTATTTTAGTTCCCCTTTTCTCATTTTTGACTGGTAAATTTGGTCTCTTTGATACTGTTAACATGTATGATTGCATGTATTTAAAAAAAAAGTATAATACTGTAATGATCTATTGTTTTTATATGAAGATGGAAATAAATGAACAAATGAAACAATAATAACAACAACAAACTGCTCAAAACAAAACTGGAGAGTAAGATGCTTAATGGTACACCACCATAAACCTTACAAAATAAACAAAACAAATAACAATAACAAACAAAAAAACTTCTCAAGAGAAAACTGCAAAGTAATACACTTCGAGATACATCACCAAGTACAAGTACATCACCAAGTACCAAGTACAAGAAAAAGCAACAGAAAACAATTCTCACCCACTGCATGAACATTTTTATCTTTGACAGTGATGTAAATATTATTTGCTTACACTTTGACTTATAGAAAGACCACCTGTAAAGACCTTATTTTTTGTTTCTCTTGACACAATGTTCCTCATTGAAACATGTATTACAGTAAACCTGTCTTTAAAGACTATATGCCTCCCTTACACAGTCTTGTACAAGTTTGTCTGTATTATTAAAGAACAGTGCTTTTTGGCATACAAACTTGTATCGTGGTAATGTTTGTGATGTATCATAACCATGGTTACGCATCACTTTTCAGTTTGCTTGGTGTGTCCATGGATGTGACGAGAAGGGACGGAGATGGCGCCGTAGCCCAGGAGGTCGAGAGGTGTCGCTGCCCGCCCCAGTACCAAGGACTGTCATGTGAGGTGAGACATGCCCTTCTGCCTCCGATCTTGGCGTTGTTTAAAGCCCCACTGCACTACTTATAGCTACTTGCACCCTCTATATACCAAACAATGCCTAATCGGTGACCATTGGTTCCCCAAGGTCCCCTTTTTCTTATGTTAATTGAGAGCTGATTTGATGAGATAACCACCTGTCAGTGACCATGCAGGGAGGTTTTAATCCCTCCTGGCCAAACTAGTGCAGAGGGGCTTTAAATTATTTTATTTGAATATGAAGAAGAAACAGTCAAGGAACAAAATGAAAAACAAGTTGTAAAATAAATGGCTCTGGCAACACTTGAGTTTGATTTTGATTGCACATAGTTTCACATAAGCCCTTCTGCATCTTTATGTACCAATTTAAAAAATATGTGTATGTAATATCATTGGATTGTCGTATGAAGTGAGATATGAATTTCTGCCTCTTGGCTGGGAAAAAAAGGTGTATAGAATATGAAGAGAACCATTTGAGCGATTAAGTGAAAATCAGAGTTATAAAATGGCCTTAACACTGTTTTAATTTCAATCTACTTATAAACAGGTATCATGATATAAGACCTTCTTCATTTTGATATTGCCAAAAAATATGTGTCTGAAATATACAAGAACCTACTATTATTATTTTATTATTATTGTAAGACCTTCTTACATGTAGTTATAGCATTGTCAACCATAAATGCGTAGAATATTAATGGATTGTCATGTTAGGCGAAGTAAGTGATGGCAGGCACGAAACAGATCTTATCTCCTGTAAACTGTAATACTGTTATGATAATAATAATAATATTTGGTTCTTGTACAGCGCATATCACATTATATAACGTCTCTCTGCGCTTCCAAAGAGCTTTGGAAATTATTACCCTAGCTTTAACTCTGGCAACCGTTTTCAGCGCTCAGTGCATTTCAAGGAATAATCCTACCAGGTAACCATTTATGAACTGTCTCTTACTTTGTATCTCTAGCTGTGTGCGGAGGGTCATTACCGGTTGCCCGGCAGTGGTCCTTACCTTGGACAGTGCGTGCCATGTAACTGCAATGGTCATGCTAGTCGATGCGACTCCAAGACTGGACAATGTCTGGTAAGTAATACTCTGAATTTTCATTTACATGCCGAATGAGTTAATGTAATGCCCTTTTCCTTTACATGCTATGAAAGTAGTAACCCCTTGAGTTATTTAAAGAGAATGGACATGGTCACAGAAATTTCAAGAATTTTGTGGTGATGATGATGATGATGGTTGGTGGTGGTGGTGATAATGATTGGTGGTGGTGGTGGTGATGATGATGATGATGATGATGATGAATTTGTGACATGATTGAAGTGGCCCTGAAACGGTTTCCTTAAAACTCTTTGCAATGATGTGGATTGTCATCATCGTTATCCATAGGCAGTTTAAAATGATGATGGTGATGATGACGATGATGATGATGATGACGATGATGAAATCATTAAATATTGAAGCAGCCCTAAAAATGATTTCTTGAATGCCGAAGTGATCATATTAATTATTGTCATGACATCTCCTGCCCTATCTCCAAATCCCCTCATTGAGTTAATATGCCCTTCTTCAGTAGTTCTCATCTGACCTTATATTCACAGAATGTACTGATTTCACCCATTTTCCACCCTTTAGGAATGCGACCACAACACCGTGGGCGATCAGTGTGAAAGTTGCAAGGAAGGTTACTATGGCGATGCCCCCTCCGGTGACCCTGATGCCTGCAAGATCTGCTCGTGTCCACAGCCGATAGAAAACCAAAAGTGAGTTTCAAGTTTATTTCAAGTTTATTTATTTCCACTTTATCAACGATAACATAGTTGAACATAAGGAACATGGTAATAATTATAACTAAACATACAATATAGAAAACACAATGTACATGGTAATAGTTATGTGAGTTGAGCTACTTTCGGGGCAGCAATCCAACATGGACGCAAACGATGCAGAATTTTTACACACAAAAAAGAAGAAAAAAAAGAGTATTTAAAATAGACAAAATCGGTTTACCTGTCCAAATATATGAAACAAACTTATATCGTCCTCTTGGATTTCAAAGGTAATGGGTACGGTCCAACTGTACATGCATGAAATTTATGAGTCATGTTCATGAAAGTTGAGCTACTTTCGGAGCAACAATCCGACGTGCACGTGAACGATGCAAAATTTTTACAAGAAAGAAAAAATAAAGAGTATTTAAATAGAGAAAACAGGTTTACCCCTCCAAATATATGAACCAAACTTATATCATCCACTTAAATTTCAAAGCTAATGGATACGGTCCAACTGTACATGTATGTGCATGATATTTATGCGTGGTCATGGTTCATGAAAGTTCTGTACTGCAAAGTACAACAAATTAAATTTTTGCAACTTTTGAATGTTACGTGCTGCAAATAAAGCTGTTCTTAACAATTCTTTTTAAAGTTCTTGTATGAATTTATAGAGATTTATTATAAAACAAAATACTGTCGATTACCTTTTATTGTCAAATGAAAAGTTGCTTGCTGAGAAAGTCATATGACCATACTTCTCATTTTAACACATACTAATTAAGCTGACAACTGGGGTTTTGCTAATAATGATTGCTAAGTTTATGTTAAAATGTTATTTAATGTACAGTACATTACTACTTGGATAATTTTCATTGATTTGTTTGAATTTTTCTTTCTCTTTTATCAGCTTTGCCGTGACCTGTACCTTCTCGCCTCAGGGCGACCAATTCTGTATCTGTCAACCGGGACATACCGGCCAATACTGTGACCAGTAAGATGCTTTTGTTGTATTCCATTTCATTTGGTGACTTTATGGAGCAATATCAGCTCATAATATTTGTACCCATGCCATAAATGATTTCACTTGCAATCCTTTCTGTAATTATCAGTAAGAAACATGTAGTTTATTTCATTTAGCAACTCCATTGAGCAAGCAGCTGCTCATAATTTTTCATGTCTTAAATGATTTCACTTGCGATTCCTTTCCGTAATTAATGTGGGTGGGGGGGGAGCGGTATTGTTTTGGTTTCATCCTGTGGAAGACTACTGAAGATTATTCGAAGAGAAGTAGAGAAAATTAGGAGAGAGTGGGGTATTCTTTTGTGAGTGGAGTCCAGAAAAGGAGCAGTAAATTAGGTTATGAATTCGGAGTGAGAGAGAAAGAAAGATGGAAGGCCCGACGTTTCATGAGTCAACCATTTTATTGTTTGTCAGGGGATGATTTTTTTTAAGTGTAAGTCTTAAACTTGGGTCCCCTGTAACCTTTCTCAACTCATCCCCCCTCCTCCTCCTCCTCCTCCTCCTCCTCCTCCTCCTCCTCCTGTCTCCAGGTGCGTTCAAGGTTACTATGGTAACCCTCTCCAGGGTCAGGCCTGTAGGAGATGCGACTGCAGCGGGAACACCGATCCCACCACCGGCCTGGCCGAGTGTGATCAGTCCAGCGGTAATTGCACCAACTGCGTGGTCCAAACCAAGGGGAGGAGTTGCGAGGATTGCAACGACTGGTACTACGGTGACGCCCGCGTCCAGAGCTGCCAAGGTAGGCGCAGAAGTCTTTTCAGGGGGAAAATGCACATGGGGGCTCGTGATGAAGTAGCCCCCAAAATGCCAAAAAGAGCCCCCAAAAGTCATAAAAGAGCCCCCAAAACTTTGCAAAGAGTTCAATGCAAAACAAATTAAAGAGTGTTACTTCATGAAAGCAAGCTTGAAAAGTAGCCCCCGAAATTTGTTCAATATTTTTTTCCCTGTGTCTTTTGGAATTTGTCAAAGAGAAGAAAATCTCTCTTGAATTGGGAGCAAGTACATGAAGTAATATTGAAAGAGGTTTCAACCGATGTGTATATTATTATTAAGTAAAGATTGATTATGTTGCGAGGATTGCAATGAATATAGTGATGCCTGTTTTAGCATTGCTAAGGTAACAAGGTGAAATTGTGCAGTGCGTGGCAAACCTCCCCGTCATTTAGATTTATCCTCCTGAATCATATAACATTTTACATGAAAAGTCTGCAGAATATTGAAGAATGCAAAATGATTGTTCAATGTGTCAATAATTTGATCCATGCTAGTGATTTGCTTTGGTTGTTAATTGTACTAGTTGCTATTCATGTAGTCAGTTGACTTTGGAAAAGAGAGAGTGCCTCATATACTTTGAAGGAATACTGTTGACATAGCTTTGACCTATGTCAACGAAAGGCCTGATGATGGCAGCTCTTATTTGATCTTGTTTCTTTTGGCCCTCTTCAGCTTGTTCCTGTGATCGGTGTGGTAGTGATTCGTGCGACAACTTCAACGGAGTCTGCAACTGCAGACCCAACGTTGTGGGATACGACTGTGAACGATGTCAGGTAATTCAGCCACATTTTATAAGTTATACAACTCATTAAAGCATACTAATCACGCCTCCCCCCCCCCTCCAAAAAAAAAAATTATGTACAGCTAGAATGCATAGAATCAACCTCAAAGAAGTCAATCCCGGGCCCTGTTTCATAAAATTGTTATCAATACCAAGTTACAATACCAGTAATAAGCTACCAAAATCGTGGCATTTGATTGGCTGAGAGCAAATTTGTCCTAGAAATTGAGCATTTGTTATCGATAACAAGTTTCATGAAGCAGGGCCCTGCATTCTGCCTGCCTTGCGACTGTGCGATGGATAGTTACTGTCAATAATTGTAAGGATAAATTATGCAAAAAGTAGCAGATGATTACAAATTTTACACAGGTAACGTGGTCAAGTGGTATAAATTGCCGGACTGTCGATCACAAGGTCCGCGTTTCGAGACCCGCCGGGGCACTAATGTCCTTTGGCAAGACATTGATCTGCATTTGTCACACTCAACCCAGGTGATGTAAATGGGTACCTGGCAGGAATTAATTCTTTGAAATGGTAGAGCGCCGCAATGGCAGCACAGCTAAAGCCGGGGTAATAATCTCCAAGTTTGGAAGCGCTTAGTGATTCTAATAAGCGCTATATAAAAACTGAGTCTTATTATTATTTTTATTATTATACTAGGTTGGCTACTGGAACTTTGATAGTTGTAGTGGCTGCCTGCCTTGCGACTGTTCCCTCGGTGCTGTGGATAGCCAATGTGACATGGAGACCGGACAATGTACGTGCATGCCTGGTGTGGGTGGGGACAAGTGTGATGCCTGTCTCCATGGATACTGGAACTATGGACCCAATGGTTGCTATGGTAAGTTGTTCTTGTGTCCCATTTTATTTTTTTCTTCACCATTACAGTCAAACCTGCTTTAGTGACCTCCTGTCTACAGAGACCACATTTGTTGTTTCCCTTGAAAATGGTTTCTCATTGAATCATGTACTAAAGGAACCTGTCTACAAAGGCCACTTTTTGTGTTACCCTTGGGTGGTCGCTATAGACAGGTTTGACTGTACCATATTTTCTCTCTCTCTTTCTCACTTGCTTTTTTCATTCTGTCTCTATTTCTCCAATCCCATTCTCCCTTCGCTTTCAATGCCTCCCTTCTCTTTCAATCCTTCCCCATCTATTCCTCCCTCCCTCCCTCTCTACCTGCTCCCTCTTCACTCCCTCTACCCCCTTTCTTTCCCTTAAAAACAAAATCACAATGCTTATTACCCCTGTTCCAGTGTCGCATGCAAACTTAAGGGGGAAAATGATTATCTTATGCTCTCTCCCTTTATGCTGTACAATGCTTGTTTAAAGAGAAGGTTGAGTTCTGGGGAGAGGTACCAAAATAATGTGTGAGCGTTATCATTGTTTTATGCAAGTGTGGAAGAACATCAGATAAAAAATGTTCCCTGAAAAGCATGGCTCTTGAAATCCCTAAATATTCTAAATATGTCACATCATAAAAATCAGGACGGATTTTAATGCCACATGTTTGTGTAGTTCCAAATACATCTTCTGTGTACAGTGCTTGTAACTTTACCGAGACTTTTTGATAATTTTAGAACCTTGCAGTACACACCAATACTTATATAGTAGATGATCAACCTTTTCTGATCAATTCCACAATGTTTCTTTCACAATGCAATCACATGACCAGAACTCAACTTTATCTTTAAGGGGAAAAAAGATTCTCTTATGCTCTCCCTTTATGCTGTACAATGCTAGTTTAATAATTAATCTTGACATCTCTTTGTGCCTTCTTTCTTTTCAGAGTGCAACTGTGACCCCAAGCTCCGTTGTGACCCTTACACAGGCGAATGCCTCTGCCCTCCTGGGGCTATGGGAGAGAACTGCGACCAGTGTGAAGATCGCTATATCCTCACTGAGCAGGGATGTCAACGTAAGTTCGGATTTAAATTTATTTCATTTGATTTGCTTTGAATTGATTTACAGCTTGATATTTTATTTATTTACCAATACAGGCATGATAATTATCAGATTTAAATCGGTTTCCCGATTTTTTTTTTTTTTTTTTTAAAATTAAAAAACCCCATTTATTTCCCAATTTTCTTATTTAAAAGGGGGGGGGGGAGGGATGTTGTTAGATGCCTTTTTTTTCTCCCCCCCCCCCCTGAATCCTTTTTTGGTTTTTGGTACTCACTATCACCCCTTCCAATAATGTGATATAATGTATTTCAATATTGACGATATGTTCAGCAACTGTAAAAATGTTAAAGCCACACTGTACTACGTATATCTATTTGCTCCCTCTATATAGCAAACAATGCCTAATCGGTGACCTTTGGTCCCCCATGATCCTCTTTTTCTTATGTTAATTGAGAGCTGGTTTGATGAGATAACCACCTGTCAGTGACCATGCAGGGAGGTCTATTCCCTCCTGGCCGAACTAGTGCAGGGGGGCTTTAACTTGATTTACAGCTTGATATTTATTTATTCACCAATAACGTGATACAATGTATTTCGATATTGTCAATAATGCACCTGAACTGTGAAAATATTAAAACAAATTTATGGAGACAAAAACAATAAAAATTAGGAAATTTAACAATCCCCTGTCATGTCCCGTATATTATTTTGATTTGATTTGATTTTTATCGATGTAGATCATTAGGCAGTTCATTATTATAGCTAAAAGCTTACCCATGTGCCTTGGTATCTTGAATTAATGTACATTTTTAAGTAGAATAACAATGACAAATCAGATCATAGGAATTCTAGTTTAATGTACATGTACAATTGGAATTGTAAATGCATGTAGTAATAATAATAATGTCAATATATAAAGCGCTTAATACGAAATACCATCTTGGATTACTGGTCATTCTTGCATGATGTGCACCATCTCCACTCCCTGGGAAGCATTCCTACCATATGGTACTTTGAATTAGCCTAATATGGTACATATTCATTGAAAGTGTAAATTAATGAACAATTCCAAATCAGAAAAAAAATTACAAAGTGTCATAGACAGAGATTTACAAATACAAGTCAGACTTGATGACTGTTCCAATGATTTTTGTTTCCATGACGACAGCTTGCGATGAGTGCGTCCATCTCCTGTTGGACATCGTAGAAGAGATGGCCGAAGATCTTGACGAGGCTGATCGTAACCTGACGGATATCACCGTGGGCGTGGTCGCCTTCCAGCGTCTCAACAATCTCAATCGATCCATCCATGATCTTATCGTAAGACATTTCTCTTGTAGTTCTTCTCCAAATAAATATTAAATGTACATGTAGTCAGTCATTGTTATTATTTGTTTTCCCTCAATTTAAATGTTTATTAAAGAAAAAGATTTTAATGAAAATGTAGATGATGGAGTGGGTTGTGAAAATGAGTGTTTGAAAGTGTTATAAAGTGGAATTTATGAAAAGTCTAAATACTTAAATTTTCACTTTTGAATATATGTTTTTTTAAGGCTACAAATGGCTCTCCATAATGTTGAAGTCCAACTTAGTGTTAAGTTTGACTTATGATCTTTGTGAAACACCCCCCAGGTCCCTGTTTCATAAAACTTGATATCAATAACAAGTTACAAGCTACTGTTATAAGCTACTGAAATCATGGCATCTGATTGGCTGAGAGCAAATTTTTTCATAGGAATTTAGCAGTTGTTATAGATAACAAGTTTTATGAAACGGCCCCAGATATTTTTGTTGTGATAACCGAGATAACCATTTGTATTGTTTATCATTCTACAACAGCCCGAGGTGGAGGACTTGGACAACAACAATGCCTTAGTCCGAGGATCGCTTGGTAACCTCACATACCAGATTGATGATCTGAAGTATCAAGCAGGACAGGTCGAAGAAAGGGTAACAATCTCTCTACTATATACAGTATTTCATTCCATTCTGTCCCTGTCTGTCTGTCTGTCTGTCTATGTGTGCATAGTGTTTTTCTATAAATAGTTTCTTTGTCTCTTTCCCTTTCGATCTCTTTCTCACTTGTAAAGTAATCTATCAGATTGACGATCTCAATAAACCTGTTCACGATTAGCACATGTCCCAAATGACCCCGAATATCCACAGATCTTCAAAACATGAAGACGTCTCACTTTGTACATTTTGAAATAATCACTCCTACAGCTATGGAGGTGCTGAATAAATAGCCTTCGCTTCCCCTTTTCAAAGAATACTTCCACCTATTTATCGTGGAGTGCACTGCTTGTGCATAAATGCATAATGATTACATAACTTCTCTGAACATGTATCCAGTATTTTGTCTCTGTTTATTTCACAATTTGGTCTGCAATGACCTTTATCTGCTCATGCTCAGACTGCAACTATGAACTGGCTTCTTATGAGGCTGGATAGGTCAGAGATAGATCTAATAATTAGGCGATAAATTTACATCTACATGTACTAATTAGATCTTCCCCACAAGTATTGATACATATCATGTACTCTTTGTAATATAATTCAACCCCACAGGCCATGGCAGCAGTTACCAATGGGAATGGTACAGCCAACGATGCAGACATTCTTAAGAAAAGGGCGCAACAGATTGAGGCCGACGCCAACGCAACCATCGACTTCATACATGGTAATTTACTTCCTTATGACATTAATAATAATAATATAGTGAAACCTGTCTATAAAGACCACCCAAGGGAGACAAGAAAAGAGGTCTTTATATAGGCCGGTGGTCTTTATGTACAGGTTCCTTTAGTACATGTTTCAATGAGATACCAATTTCGAGGAAAACAAAAAATGTGGTCTTTCTATACAGGTGGTCTCTAAAGCAGGTTTGACTGTATATATGAATTTGTAGCACGCACATATCCAAAACTTTCAATCAAGGCACGACAACGATGAATATGCAAAATACATAAAATCATGACTCGACAGATAATCTACAGGTACTGAAAGTCAATTATTAGTTAAACATTGATTTTGATCAATCGCAACTCTTTACAAAATGGGCCCAGGGCTAAAAAAATAGTAATCTCACTGTTCATAAAAAATTCATTACATTCCTTTTATTCTGTAGACATTGTTGAGGAGTTGCAAGCCATCGGTAATGGAACAATATCCAGCAATACAAACCTTGGTGTATTTCATTTGATGTCTTTGTCTTTAGTGACTTCATTGAGCAATATCTGCTCATAATAGCCGTGCTGAAAATGGTTTCGCGTGTGATCCTTTCTGTTATCAATCATTAAAATACATTTGGTGTATTTCATTTGGCATTCCTTTCATTCTGTAGACGTTGTGGAGGAGTTGCAAGCCATCGGTAATGGAACAATATCCAGCAACACAAACCTCGGTGAGCTGTTGGCCCGTGCCCAAATGATCCTGCAGGAACTGAAGGACCGAGATCTCAACCCCGGAAAGGGGGCCGCAGAAGAGGAGAAACGACTAGCTCAAGAACGTGAGTGTTCAGAAATATTTAAAGGCCGTCTGTACTAGTTTGGCCAGAAGGGACTAGACCACCCACCGAGGTCTTTGACAGATCTCATCAACTCAGCTCTCAATTAACATAAGAAAAAGAGGATCATGGGGGACCAATGTTCACCGATTAAGCATTGTTTGCTATATAGAGGGTGCAAATAGCTGTAAGTAGTGCAGTGGGGCATTAAAGAGAAGGTTGAGTTCTGGGGAAAGGTGACAAATAATTTGTGAGCATTATCATTGTTGTTATGAAAGTTTGGAAGAACATCAGAGAAAAATTGTTCCCTGAAAAGTATGGCTCTTCAAATGCCTTCATATTCTAAATATGTCAAGTAACAGCTTAAAAATTAGGCCCGATTTTTCATGCCACATGCTTATGTAGTCCCATATATATCTTTCTGTGTACAGGGCTTGTTGCTTTACCAAGACTTGGCCAAATTTCTTATCATTTTGATCATTCCAGAACCTTGCTGTACACACCAATACTTATATGCTAGACGATCAACTTTTTCTGAGCAATTCCACAACGTTTCTTTCACAATGCAATCGCACGACCAGAGCTGGTCTATACCTTTAAAAAGAAGGTTGCGTATTAGGGAGAGGTGAAAAATAATTTGTGAGCGTTACGATTGTTATTATGCAAGTTTGGAAGAACATCATTGTAGCCTTTAAAAAGTCACATTCTCAAGCAACATAATTCAATTTTGTTATTACTTGATCTTCTTTCTTGCTAGTGCTTGACCGAGCTCGGGCACTTCAAAACGACTCCGCGGAGGTCGGTGATCGAGCCGATGAGGTCGGCGACGATGTCGATGTCTTCCTTGACAAGCTGAACGAACTCATGGCGCTATGTGAGAACTCCGACAATACGACAGATCAAGTGAACGCCATCTTGGACAAACATCGTAATCCTGCCTTTGAGGTGAGAAAGTCAAATGTGAACCAGTCCTCGGGGGGTTTCACAAAGATCCTAAGTCGAACTTAACTTTAAGTTGGACGTAAACATTATGGAGAGTCATTTGTAGCCTTAAAATAAAATATCTTCAAAAGCAAACATTCAAGTTTATTAGACTTTTCGCATCATTAACATGAAATCTCCTGGATAATAGAAAATATGAATGATTTGAAACAACATTTTATGTCTTTCAGAATAACTTTTAGAAAATGTTTTCAAAGATGCCAACAGCTTTCCATAATTGTTAAGTCCAACTTAGGATCTTTGTGAAACACCCCCTTTCTTTCTGTATGTACCTGCACCTATAGTTTTCAATTCAATTAAAATGAATTCACCGGTGACCATGTTTTCTTTTCATTTAAACCCCACATCTCATCAGTGGAGACTGCGTATTCGGATTTTCAAATTGGGAAAATTGTGATAGAAGCGACAAAATCGTGTTGAAAAATCACTTAACATAGATTTGGGTACAAAGGACTACGCACACCTGTGACATCCAAATTCAATCCAACTAAGTTTTTATTTTAATTATGGTTGTTTAAAGGATGTCCTTGCCTAGGTGAATGCTGAGAACGAGATGGCTCAAAAAAAAGTCACTAACGCTACCAGCCTCGAGGACGATACCTATGGATAGATCGTTCAAGTAATTTTATGACCCTGTCACATTGTGAAATAGAACCTGTAATATTGATGCGTTCTTCTTCTTTAAGTGCCATGTCCTGAGACGTCGGCGACCATGGAATGCCACAACTCCCTATTCCATATTCTATGAAGCAATTCATTCTTCCCAAGATCCATGGTGTTACAACTTTTATTTTACCTCTTATTTGTTTATAGGATGTCCTTGCTGAGGTGAACGCTAAGAACGAGATGGCTCAAGAAGAGGTGACCAATGCTACCAACCTTCTGGACGATGCCTATGGATTCCTGGCTGATGCCCGCAGAGCTATTGATGTAAGTCACCCTCCACCTCTCCCCCCCCAAAAAAAAAAAAATTACCATAATAATAATAATAATAATGATAATAATAATTTAAAAAATAAAAAATAAAATAAAATAAAAATGAATATATAATAAATTATTAACAAACAAAAAAAACAAGAAAAAATGAATACACAATAATATTAATGATAATAATAATTAAAACGTAAAATATGAAATAGAATCATAGAAGGGGCATGAACTGATGTATGCAAAGCATAATGTCTCTTGTGATCAAGCTCACAGGCTCTTAGATGCACTCTGGTCCAATGCACTTGAGAAAATGAGTGTTTATTAGCAAGATTGATTTGTGGTGTGAAACTTGTCTAATAGAATGAACAAAAGTGAGCTTATGGAAAGGTCTGGTCTGAAAGAAACTGATGGAAGTAGTAAAGAGAAGTGGATTATTAAAGATGGATGGGTCATGTGGTGAGAAGGGAAGATGATGAATCTATGAAAAGAGCATGGGATCTTGAAACGGATGGCATAAGAGGGAAAGGAAGACCGAAGATTTCATGGAAAAATATGGTAAAGGAAGAAAGAAAGCAGGAAAGTTGTTAAAATTGAGGAGGATGCTTGAGACGAAAAGAAGCAGAGGGAGGGAGTGTCAGGGTCGAGAGGGATTGTGTGGGAAACTACATGAAGTGTGACTCTTTAATCTGTGCAAAACATGAATTGAATTGAGTTTTTTCATCCATCTGTCATTATACCACAAATTTCTTGTCCATTGGTTAAGGAATAACAAAGGTCATGTCACAACAGAATGTTACATAATGAAGAAGTTTACAATGACAAATATACATTATGTGATCAGAATACAGAAGCAAATACAAAAAAGGTTTCAAGGAACATGACCGTGTATCTTTAGACATTCTCGTGACCACCTCTTTCCTCCCTGTCGCTAGGCAACTGGAGTGAATGGTTCCAAACTTGAGGCTGCCATCGACCAACTAGAGCCCTTCATCGAGCGCTACGAGGAGGAGGGACGTAACCTACCAGAGCTGGTCGATAACGCCACAGACTACGCCAACGATCTCTGGAACACTGCTGAAGAGCTTGATAGGTCAGAAAATTTCTCCATTTCGAAATAATTTAATTTATTAAGTTTATGTTAACTGTAAAGATACAAAGGGAGGGTATTTTACCGACATCGCTACCACTACTGTTATTTATTTCAAATTATGCCATCTTTCTGTGAAGTCAAGATGTTTTCAAAGTAAAGCAAGGCCAAAAAAAACCCCATCTTAATACTACTACAAGGGAGGCACAATGGAGGTCCCAGGTTCGAAACCAAGTAAATGTGTTAGTGCCCTTTGGTAACGCATTAATCCTCATTACCAAGTTCCTCAGAGAGGACTTAAAGCCATCGGTACTCTGGTTGCTTACTTACAAGCATACACGCCCTTTCTTAGCAGTCGAGTAAAACAAACAAACAAATCATAATTTTTACATGTATTAAATTTAATATTTTCAATTTCTGAATTTTTAATTTTTTTTAAGTGATCCCCAGGCATTGGCTGGTGCTAAAATCATACTGTTAATGCTTAATCATTTTGTCAACCCTGTGATGTTTCCTATGTATTGTTATCATCTTGCCTGGAAATGAAATAAATAAATGTATAAATTTCTACGCTCTAATTTCCCCTCAGGATGTTTGACAGTACTCGTAACCTGTCTGAGAATGCGCTGAAGGCTGTCCGAGCTTACCAGGACATCGGTAATGCCATCGACGAGGCCGAGAGAGCGGCTAGGGCAGCCCTGAATGCATCCGGACTGGCACTTGATGCTGTAAGTTTACACCCCCCCTCCTCCTCTGTAGCTGTTGATCCTTTATTTTTAAATCTATTCAGGACAGTTTCCACCTATTGCAGTGTGGCTGAATACTGTACATTGTGTAAAATAAGATTTATATGTATATCAAATGAGCAGAAGGAGCAAAATTTCTGCATGCAATTTGCCCTATTTGTGTTGCATTTTCCAATTGTCTTGATGCCATAAAATTAAATGATGTATAAGTAAATTCTGTAAATTGGCAACAAATTTTGGTTTGAAAATGTGGCATTAAAAACAAGTAAACACATTTAAAAAATAAAATATCAGTGTTGTCAGTATACACACTTTGCACACTTGTGGGCCTTCCAGCCAGTGCTATTTATAGGCATGCACACACCAAATCCGTATTATTTTTAGAAGCTTCCTATCCGATTATGCATCTGTATATACTCCTGAGAAGAGAGGAGCAGTGAAATGAAATGATGTGGCACTATGCGCATTTGATCTTGACCTCTATGCACATTTAATCTTTGACCTCTAGGCGAACGACTTTGGCACCCAACCTCAAGATTCCAAACGTCGCAGTAAGAAGCTTCTACGGAAGGCAGTCGAAGCCGGAGAAGATATGGAAGGTAAAATGTCTTTATTTCTCGTTCTTAGAGCCCTACTGCACTACAGCTATGCGCCCTCTATATAGCAAACAATGCCTAATCGGTGCCTGTTGGTCCCCCATGATCCCCTTTTTCTTCTGTTAATTCAGAGCTGATTTGATGAGATAACCATGTGTCGTGACCTTGCAGGGAGGTCTAATCCCCCCTGGCCAAACTAGTGCAGACGGGCAAATCTATCTTTACCATGCATGCCCACGTGACGCCACCAATTTGCAAATATGGTTACCTACATGTTTAGCCCTGCCATATGCATTATTTCCATAATATTCCCATCATTCTCCTGTACACCCAAGGTCCATATAATGTGATTTTCTTTTCCATAGCCTTGGTTAATTAATGTCCATGTTTCTGCGCAATACAAAAAATATTTACATGTCTGCATACATAAATTGATTTTTTTTTTTTTTTTTTTTTTTTTTTGTCAATCTGTTACTACCGCTACTCTTATGGTGAAAGCCAATCAGCTACACGTAAATGCTTCTCTGTGCTATGATACTTTACTATATGAAACATATTTGTATTTCATAAAACACAGCTTTGTATTTCAGACTAGTTTTGGTGTGTACAGTATTTAGTCCTGCATACTTAAAAGTACCTATTGTATGTCATGCCCATGGAATTTTCTTCTCTTAAAGCTTGTTTTCTACTGCGCTTTTGTTGTTGTGTTTTTTAAATATTTGTTGTTATAGTTTTGTTAAAAAGAACATAGCCTAAGCATTTGTTGATTTCATATGCATTATTTAGAATTGTTTTTTAAATATTTTTTTAATACTCCTGTGTGTTTATAATGGTATGCTTCTCTTGAATTTTGTGCCCCCTCCCCACCCTGCCCCTTGCAGGCTCCCTCCCTAAAGCCTCCCTCCTTAACCAGAGTTTGAGTAAGTAATATCCCCAAGCATCAAATTCATTCTTATTTTCCATCCTGTTTGTTTCTTGTGTAAATATCATGCACCTTAAAGATATACAGTCAAACCTGTCTTGATGCATCCTCTCTATAAATGCTACCTGTCTTTAATGGTCACCTATACTGATCCATCTAAGAAGAATTGTTTGATGTAGGACCTGTATAGAAAGGCCACCTGGTCTATGATGATCAGGTATCCTATTTTCCTTGAGTGGCCTTTATAGACAGGTTTGACTGTATCTAACATCATGTATAACTTATATATAAAAAGTGATGGCATGTTGTTTTTGTTATGTTTATTTGGAATGGTTCAGTTTCTAATACTATTTAACCAAATGAATGTATCTTATCAAATATTTCCTACGTTAATTCAATTTTGTTTCAGACACAATCAACTGTCAACATTTACAGTATTGACACTTGTAAATGATGCTTGTTTTAGGTATATATCTGATCCAAGGGGAATAGTTGCAATTTATAAATCATGATAAATTAATAAATTATATTTCTCTATGCACTTTACATTGTATTATGTAAAAGCTTAAATAATTATCTACTGTTGAATTATCCTCAAACAAAATTCTGACAAAATCTTTAAAATTAAAGTAGTACAACAATAACTAAATAGAACAACAGTATTATTCATTCTTAAATAATGATACAACAATTATGGAGCATAATTGTATTCATATGTTACAAGTTATAGACATATACAATTTCATTTAAAATTATAAATAACAAAGCATGAAAATAATTAATTCTTAAAAAGCAGAGACCTCCAGGCAGTCCTGAGTGAAATGCCCGGCGACCCAGATGTTGACCGTGGTCTGGACTTTGAGAAGCCCTGCCCTAAACCGACCCCTTAGCCTAAACTCATCTCATGACCGTGCACAAAAAACATTTACATTAATGACTTCTTAATATCATAATACCCATGGAATGTCACCTTACATATAGAAATTATATTTGCACATAATTTATAAGCTTGTCGTTTGGACTAATGTAAATGTTATGTTTGCATGCTCTTGTTTTCAATTTTGTGTATATGCAATGTGCATGTAATACCATATTTACCTAATACATGTACATATTGTCTATCAATCAAGTAATCATATCTTGTTTTATATTAAAGGGATTGGGTATCTTTGCCTCAGATTCTAAAGAAAATCCTGGATTAAGCTCATGCTGCAATCATAAATATAAACCTTTAGGTCAATCAGGAATCCCATGACTTTTACAAGCTGATCGCCTGTCTGATTATCAAGCTATTTATGATTGGAAATCAAAATTTCAAAAACTGTTTTCCTAACGGTTTTTATAACACTACAGTCTATTAGGGAAAATGAGTATGGTAAAACCGATCACTCAAAGATTTTTAATTTTTTGAGGCACTTCATGATCATTTTGAAGCGCAATTTTTTTTAGAGCTTCAGTATTACACCATATCACAGACACTGACAAACACGTAGGGCCATGCATCTCAGATTTAACATTGTTAAACGATACCGCCAAACTGACTCGACACCGACTCCAAACCAAACAATTCTTGGCGATTCAAGGTGATGTAATTTTCATACAGTCTTGTTTGTTGTTCTGTAGTCCGTCTCATAGGTGTGACTTGGATATTGGAAAGCAATTCGGATCAATTTTATAGGAAATTGTTTTGCGAGTGATGACTTATTTCTTTTTTGATCAATCCTTGCTCTCGACCAGGTCTCCGGGATCAGCTGAATGATGTAGAGCAGGAGGTGGAGATGGTGAAAGATAACTTGGATGCGGTGGAAGATGGTCTGGCAGAGATAGAGAGAGGCATTGCAGCCATCCCCTCTCGTAAGTATTGAAGATGATGATGGTGGTGGTGGTGGTGGTGGTGGTGGTGATGACTGTGGTGATGATGGTTAGGGTGATAGTGAATGATGAAGTAGAGGAGGTGGAGATGGTGAAAGATAACTTGGATGCGGTAGAAGATGGTCTGGCAGAGATAGAGAGAGGCATTGCAGCCATCCCCTTTTGTAAGTATGGATGATAATGATGGTGGTGGTGGTGGTGGTGGTGATGATGATGATGATGATGATGGTAGGAAAAAACGGTTATTGTGATGGTTTTGAAGATGATGGTGTTGTTGATGATTGTTGTGATGATTATAGTGATAATTATAGTGGTTACAATAATGATTTTGATAATGTCTGTAATCATAATAATGCTTGTTAACCAGTAGCAATGTATTGATAGGATAATGTTGACAAAAGAATGAAGATTACGATGATCTAACATCTACATTAATTCTTTTCTTGGGGTTTTGTTTTCTTGTTTACAGCATCTAGTGAATGCACCATCATTACTAATTGTGATGCAACCGATCCCACCTGTAGACTTGGTTATTCTGGAGACAACTGTAACATTGGTAAGAACATCATACCCCTTCTAATCGTATTGCCAACTGGAAAAGGGTGGTACAGTGTATTTGTACATGTACCTGGATTTAACATGTATGGAATAAGAGAAGTCAGTAGCCAAAAGGTTAAAGGTGAAATCCACCCTGATATTAAGGTGGTTTTAATAGAAGTAAAAAAATTAGAGAAATGGATCTGTGAAAGTTTGAGGAAAAACCAATCATTAGAAATAAGAAAGTTACGAAATTTTGAATTGCGATCAATCATGACACAAATTGGCAACTTTGTGACGTATCTTGCGAGATCCCCTCCTATTAGTGTTGCCAGTTTGTGTTTGACTGATGACAAATTAAAAAATTCATAACTTTCCTTTTCGTAATCGGATTTTGCTCAAACTCTTACTGACATGTTTCTCTCATTTTTCTGCTTTTGATAAAATCAACTTAATACCAGGGTGGACTTCCCCTTTAATGTTTTACTTGCACTTCATTCAAGTTATTGCTATCTCCCGTCATGTATAAAAAATAGGAGTAAAAGCAATATTGGTTTCAGTGTTTATTCGTTCAATCAAAACAAGTTATTTATAGTAATAATTTTCTTATCCTTGGTTTCACTGATCTGAATCTCTCATTTTTATGTTTTTTTATTTTAATAAGCCAACTTGATTTTAGAGTGGACTTGCTCATTCATAGGGACACATCTTTCCCCTTCATCATGCACCTTAGAATAATTTAAACTGGTGCTGACACTATTTTAGTTTGTCATATTATTCTTCTTCTTCTTCCATTGGAGTACATCCTCCCTCTTGCAGACTATTGTCGTACTTTGTGCAGACATACAAAACATGAAAAAACTCAAACCTAATGTGTACAAACCTAATATGCACAAAGCTAATGTGCTCTAAGCTATATGTGCTAATGTTTATCATCACCATAAACTCTTTTCCATGTCCGTCAGCTAACCTTGGAAACTTGGCAGAGGGCGCCGCAAACACCGCCATGGCCGCCGAAAGCATCGGAAACGACGCCAAGGACCGGGCCGATGACATGATCGACCGCGCTGGAGACGTGAAGGCGAAGCTCAACGGTCTCGGTGCTACGATCCAGGCAGCTAACGATAAGATGGCCTCATCACAGAACTCCAGTAAGTTGGTAACCTCTTTGTTTTATCATTCAATTGCCCGAATTCTCAAAGGAGGTTTAAACCCTCATTCACATAACCCAGTAAGTCTACGTCATCTGCCGGCTATTCAATGTTCAAAGCTTATTTTCAAATTTTCATAAAACCAGTATGTGAAATGATACAGAAAACTTTCATCGGTTTGGGGATAATCATATAATGTAATTTTTAAAGCTTCTACCAGCCTTCAATTTTGTGGGCAAGCTTTCGTCTACTCCTGTGGACTTTCTCAAGCTAAGTGAAGTGGACGAAAGCTTGCCCACAAAATTCAAGATTGGTAGAACCTTTAAAGATTACATTATAGTACGTGACATACATGAAATTAATGTTTGAAACAACATACTTTCACAATCATTACGAGTTTTTTTATTGAATGGATTGGAAACTTCAAATCGAGACAGTATTGGATATATAATTTCTCTTTTGATATTTAATCTTCGTTTGTGGTAACACATTGAGGGGGCTGTCCATACAAAGCTTTTGGGGTTTATTTCAGTGAAAGTTACCAGAACTTAAAACTTTTTTGGGGGGGTCTTTGCATCACTGCGAACATCAACATTATTACATTTCTGCATTCTTTTGCCATCAGCAAAGTTGACACATCAAAATTAGTAGTTGGGTCTTCATACCGAAAACAGAGCCTCTGTCCTTGATGGCATTTATAAGTTTTTAGGCTTTGTAGGGAACAATAAGATTGTAGCACATATTTCTACTTGATATCTTTCCAACTTTCCTTGAACTAGGGAACCCATCTGCGGAGATCCTCGTTGGTAAGGCCCGTTGTAAAAAGAAGCGTAGTTCATAGCGTAGCAATTTTCACCCATGTTTTTCACCCATTTAAACTGTTATGAGCTGCATCACAAATATGTTGAGGCACCAGTAGTCTTCCCTACTGCAAAGAAGCTTTAGAAGTCATCTGATGAGAGCCGAAAGAGTATTAGTTTTGTTAGGGGAGCCTTCCAAAGTTGCGACTGTGCCCGGACGCGTCGGGGCGCGATGAATAGAACAGTCGCGTCCCAAGAGACGCATTGAGGCGCAAAGGGGCGCGAAGGGGCGCAATAGTCACCCTCACCTGATTCTTGCATATGAAAAAAAACTGTCTATTGTTAGTATAAACCCGCTCTATTCTTCTTGCGCCCTTTTGCGCCCCACCAGGCGATGGAAGATTATCTCTCCCGTCATTGTTCTCGCTCGTGATGCGCGGTACAGCTTAAACTTGATATACAGAAAGTATTTGTCGGCCAAAGCCTGTCTTCCCCTCCTCCGGTTTTCGTTCTGATAAACTTTCCATTGTTTGTAAAAAAAAATGATGTATTCTTCTCGCGTCGCGATCTATTCTTCTCGCGCCGTTTTGCGTCGTAACGGGCGGGGTATTACCTTTCCAATTATTGTGGCGAAGCTTTGCGATGTACATTACTACAGCACAGCATGAACTTGTCTGGTGGGATCGTCTTTGTTTTGGGGGCAATCAACACACTCGTTCATCTTGATCAGAATAAATTATGATTTATTTTTGTTGGGTTTAATACGCCTCCTTTTAATTTTTGTGACGACTGTATGAAATGTGAAATAAAGATGACTATGTACGATTAATGGTTGGTTAATTGCGAGCTTAATTGTCCCCAACAACAAAAAATTAAAGAGGAATGATGTGAATGACTACATGTATGCGGTTATAGTCGGCAAATTGATTACTGTTTGGGTCGCTTGTGTATGTTTGTAATTTGAATGATTATCAACATATTTGTATAATTCCCACATCGCGATATGATTCTAGCGTCGTATAATGGACAAAGGAATTATCTTTCTCTCCCGTCATTGATATTCACGCTACGCGTTGCACATCGCCACTGCCTGAGCTTGGAAGAATTTATATTTTGTCAGTCAAATCCTTTTTTGTTCTCCTCCCATGACTTGGTTCTAATAAATTGAAGGTTTGCTTATTAGGGATAAGAAGGATAACATCAAACAAACGATTTACTCAAGATGACGCTCTTTTCATTTCACCTCGCTGTTTGATAAAGCAGAGTTTTACGGAGCGAATACAAAAGAAAAGTTCGCTCTAAGGCCAAATAAAAAAATGTTTTATTAGTGTCCTGTTTTTTTCGAAAACTAGGAAGGAGGAGGCCCTCTCTTTTCTTTTTTTTTTCTTTCAAAATGGCCGCTCAAAATGGCCGCTCGGTACATTTCCCCTGACAGTCGGGCTATTTTTCAAGATGGCCTCCGACATTTTTTAACCTTTAAACAAAATCAGTAATAGATCCATTTTAGTATTGTTTTTCATGTTTTTTTTCCAAAAATTATTTTAAAAAAATAAATAAATAAAAAAAAAAAAAAAAAAAAATTCCCCCAAAATAAAAAAAATAGGAGGCTGCCCCCAAAAAGGAAGCGGGCGGGGAAGCTAAACATGTATATTTTGTTAAGTGGCCTCAGGGGAAAAAAAAAACATAAAATGCCGTGGCAGGATTTCACGCCCGAGATTTGCCTTCGAAAATTGCCCGTCCAAAAGGCGTTTTAAATCATAATAATTCCATAGCTCTTTTTAAAAGTGGAATAAATAGAAAAAAGAGTCCGGGAACTATATCGAGATTATAAAACATGTGTGTCATGAAGATGTAAACAAAAAAGCGTAGCCTGATGGTGATTAAGTTGAGCAGCAATTGGAAATGCAATACAAAACATTAATCAGTTCATGATGATAATTTATCATTCGACTTCTACTTTGCGCTACATGTACTAAATGATCGCAAAACGGGCAGGGACACAAATACAAACATTGATTTCTGCTCTAACACTATTCGAAACATTTATTCGTAGATTTGTATAATTAAGTGGCGAAAGTGATATTTTGAAATATTAATGCACAGATACAAAAACATACCAAACATGTTTCGATTCTTATTCTAAAAAAAAAAAAACCGGCAAATTCTAAAAGATCTTTTTAAAAGGAGGGAGGCGCTATAGCCCAGTGGTAGAGCAGAGCAGCTCGTAACCGGGAGCTCCCTGGTTAGAAACCAAGTCGATATGCTATGGTAAGGCATAACTCAACATTACATTTCGTTCGGAGAGGATCTTAAACCCGCCGGTCCCCTGTTTGCCTAATTTAGAGCATACACATGCTTCATATAGCAGTCAGGAAAAAAAAGCGAACGGTACAGAAAGCTACCTTTTGTGGATAGGCCTAAATTGAAGGTTTGGCTTAACTAGGGAGAAGAAGGATAACATCAAACAATAGATCTACTCATGATGACGCTCTTTTCATTTCACCTCGCTGTAAGATAAAGTAGAGTTCTATGGAGCGAATACAAAAGAAAAGTTTGCTCTAAAGGTAAAAACATAGAATGCCGTGGCAGGATTTCATGCGGCCGAGCAAGGCTATTGTTTGATCGCTATAATTGTCCGACTTGCTATAGATTCTTGTTTAGCTACACATTAAGGTTGCGTATTATGTGTGTGTGTGAGGGAGGGGGCGGCGAAGTGAACGGCCGGACCAAAATGGCAGAGGCCCATCAAGAGGGCTCCACTCGCTAGTTATAAGGACCGCTATTCATTGGACAACTATTCATGAAGACCACTATTCGTAATTTGAGAACATGGTCATTATGTATAAGGGTCATGAATTCGTAATACGACATCCCCCCTCCCCAAAACTAAATAAATAAATAGAAAACATGAATAGATTAATAAATTAAACTAATGATACAATAACAAATAATGCCCGGTAATTGGGAATAGCCGCCTATGAGCGGAACAATGGGCGCAACAACTATTAGCTGCTCAAAGAGCTGTCTTTTGTCATTGCGTTGCAAAAACAAAGTGCTTTTAAAAGTTACATGTACTATAATATCCGTATGCTATATAACACCCAATGTGAACATGACGTGTTCAGGCCTTATAACTATATACAGTGCACGTTAAAACAAAAGACTTTACTAGCGCTAGCTAACAATTATGAAACGTCAAAACGTCACGAACATTGACGATAACAAATTGTTACGACAAATGCCACCACCAATACAGTTTCTTCGCGAAGAAATATTCGATCGGATTTCATGTTTGGAACAGATAGGCGATTTCGAATTGTCCCATCTACCGAAACGTTTTGATGATGCTGGCTCCCGACAATACGATTATCATTTTTGTAATATCTTTAATTTGCAGATGTTTGTTTGTTTTGTATGACATATTTATAAACGCCCTATAATCTTATTTCAAGCAGAATCTTTCAATCTCTTTGATTATAAGTATCATTCTTAAATCACGGGTATTTAAATACAATAGCTGATTTTGCGAAGATTTAGAGAACCTACGTTTCTATTCTTTAAATCGATCTTGCATGAGAAAGAACAGAGTGATGATATAGATATATGACCTATTTTGATCGGATGACAGAACAAAATGAATGTAATATGAAACAAATAATGTGTCAAAACATACAGAAGGAATACAATTATACATATCGTTTTTGTTTTGTTCGTGAAGAAATTAATATAATACAAGTATTGAACACATTAATGAACAGAAATGAGCAATCATAACAACGTCAACGCCTACACAACTTCGATGGTTGGGAGGAAAATAACAATCAGAACAACAATCTAAATCAATGTCTTGTACGTAAAATAATAATAAAACATATCAGTAGCCAAAGTGAAAATTTTAGAGTCAAATCTTTCAAGACGAGAGCGGACACACACGCGGGGATTACATGAATAACTAATGCGTAGGAACGGGCGCGAAAGCTTTTCAAATTCACAAATTCACAATTCACAAAAAGCGCTTCGCCTTTAAGCGCAGCCCCCCCCCCCCCATCCCCAATGAGTGTTATGTAGGGTACGCATATGCATTTTCCCTCCTTTTGAAAACAGTTCCTTAAGTCCAGTGTGTAAAGTCAATACGGGCCGGATTTGTGTGTACTAGACGAGCCGGACTTTGGTGCGTGAAAAGTACCCCTTTACCAGACAGTAACAATGAGTCTCCAAACAATAGCCAGATTTGATATTCATATTGTGAGCATGTGCTTAGTTATATCGGGATTCCCTGGTTATATTGAAGACGTGGGCTAATATCTGTTTGCCCAGTATTTCTCGCTGATTGTTTGGCCAACATTAAATTGCTATTGTCCAGCTGACTTTTCTAAAGGCTTTTCTACCCTCGGCGCTAAAGGGATTGCGGAAAATTTCAACACTATTTGTGTTTCTTGATGAACCAGTAGAAGAAGAATAAGGGCTACCCCCCCCCCCCCCCCGAGAAAAAAAAATGTCCCAAAACAACGCAATCATTATTAATTCCGTTTACTACTTGATACCAACACGTGCATGATGGATCTCCCGGATGGATCCTTATTTAGACAGTGAGACAGTTCTGTTACGAGAAGCAATTCAACGAATTGCCATGGCTTGTATTTGTTCTAGAACGCACTACACTCTTTCGATAACACGTGGCCCCTATTCAGCACAATATATACGTATTTTAGTTCTTCTTAACAATGACCTAGATCTCAAACTGGCCGCGGATGTAACCCCCCCCCCCCCTTTCGTCACAAAGAAATATTCGATAAAATTCTTTGACACAGAATGATAAACTAATTTCTTCTTGAGATATGTTCGGGGTGAAATTTCAAACATCATTTCCTGGTAACTCTCTTCTTTTTTAATGCATGCTCTATTCTTACGATTTAGGCATAATTTACTATGTTGATTTGCAATTGATAATCTCCCTGGGAGTTTTGCGATATCCCCGATGATACGGGTACAGTGTATTTAATTTTTTTCGTAACATTAGTGTTTTGCAAAGAAAGAACATTCTGAAAATGAGCGTCTTCCTTCTAACGAAACATATTGATGATGTTCCCGACAAAACGGATATCATTTGCATTAACAAAATTTTAATACAGATAAAATGCTTTTTAAATCCAATTCAAACTACGACATTCTTGATTAAGTATCATTTTCAACATCACGGATTTAAAAATACGTTCTCTAATTTTAAGAAGATTCAAAGGATCTGTGTATTGAAATAACAGACTGATGATATAATTATATGATTTATAATGATCATACGACAGAACTGTTTACAAGATGCAACAAAAATTGTTTAAAAAAAAACAAGAAAATCGAAACATGCGATAACATCGCTATATAAGGAAATATAAAATTACAATTAAAGTGTCAAAACATGCACGAGAAAAACAATGTCAGAGAGAGTGGGGTATTAAAGTATAAAATAAATTTGTTTTTTTCGTGAACAAATCAATTTGTATTAAAATTGATACAGTATATTGAACACAAACATGAACAGAACAGGAGGAGATGAAAAAATGAACAATCATGCCAACGTTAACGCCTACAGAACTCCGATGTTAAGAGGAAAATAAACAAACATTGTAACCAATGTCATGTACGTAAAATAATATTAAAACAAATCAGTAGCCAAAGTAATGCTTTTCAGAGTCAAATCTCGCAAGACGAGAGCGACACACAAGCGGGCACTACATGAATAACTAATGCGCCGGACCGGGCGCGAAAGGGCGCGAAAGCTATTCAAAGTTTAAGCTTCCATTCACAAATGTCAAGTGCTTCACCGGGGCGCGCCCCGGCGGGGTAATTTCGTAACAATGAGACTCCAAACAATAGCCAGATTTTAATGAGCTGGCAACCAACTGAAGTCCTCTCCTATCCGACGCAAAAAGGCGCTAATGGGCGCATAAAGGCGCCTCCTTTGTTCTCATATCCTGCTCTGCGCCCCGACGCGTCGCGGCACAGTCGCAACTTTGGAAGGCTCCCCTTATAGGAAGTGTTTCGTCCTTGACTCGTCTAGTTTGTGAGATGACTCATCTCACAAACTAGACGAGTCCCATGATTAGGAATGGTTAATAGATGTACATGTATCACACCCAACATGCACATGTTTAACGTCACTAAGATTCTATTTTCCCTTCCCCCCTCTCTCTGACCTTCTCCCTTCTCTCTCTCTCCCTCAAACTCAAAGGCCCAAATTCACAAAGGGAGTTTGTTGACAAACCTAGGTTTATGTGCATCATTTGACACGTTTCAACGTGTTTCGAACCAAGGTCAGCACATAAACCTAGTTTTGTCGACAAACCTCCTCTGTGAATTTGGGCCACAAAGTCTCTCTCTCTCTCTCTTCCTCCTCCTCCTCCTCCTCTCTCCCCTTTCTTTTGCTCTCTGTGTAACTCTAAAACATCTCTTTTCCTATTTCTCTCAACCTCTCTCTTGCCTATTTCAACTTGCATTCATCTACTTGTAAACATAGTATATGCACAGACAGACAGAGACAAGTTAAGTAATACTTAGTCAATATGAAAATCAACCCATTTTCAAGTAGGCTAGCTACGCTGTACACAAATGAAAACGTATTACATATACATGTATGTACATGAAAGTTCATTATAAAGTATTTTATTTCTGTAGTCAGAATGTCAGTTGCATACATTAGCTGTTGCAATGCCAGACAAGACTCTGGCAATCCTCATGGATGTATACAGTTACCAGATTACATGTATATGGAGCATGCATAGAATTGTACAACTATATATTTAAATTAGAACTGGGGGTGTTTCTTAAAGCTGTGCGTAAAGTTACGAATGACTTTCCAAATGATTTGAATATGAAGAGCCAAATGGGATGCCGAAAGTTTTTCCTGACATTTCAACAAAGTGTGACTGTATTTCCTATAATCTCAATTAAATTGTAGCCAAAACTACACTTTGCATTAACAAAATTTGTTAATAATGATAAGGTTAATCTACATCTGCATATTTCTACTTTAGCTAATGCAATTAAAAGGATTTGAGAATCCCATTAACTCTTCATATTCAAGTCATTCGTAAAGTCATGCGTAACTTTACGCACAGCTTTATGAAACACCCCCTGGTCTATGTTATTGTATACACTGTATTCATATACATGTGTAGTCACACTTTGCTAGTCACCACTGTGTTGATGATGATTATGATGATAATGATGATGGTGATGGTAATGATGATGGTGATGACGATAACGATAATGTACATGAATTTAAATCCAATTCTCTTCCATTCCCCCCCCCCCCCCCCTGCAGTTGATGAAATCCGTGACATCGAGGGAAAGATCCCAGGTTTGAGGGACAGGCTCAGAATGCAGCACCGTCTCATGGACAACATGACCCTCTCCATGACCTATGACCTCGCCGAGATCCAGAAAAAGATTGCCGAAGCACGTTCACTGGCTAACGGAGTAAGGGATCATGTCCATCTAAATAAAAAAGTTTTTAAAAAGAAGAAGAAAAAAAAGATAAAAGAATTGACCCCTCCAAAAATAGATTTCCATTTGAAGGAAATATTTTTGTGTTTAATACCTCTTTTGATAATGCTGTGATTACCAGCATGTGCAATTCGAACTGATATACCTTCCCTCCCCATTTTTGATATCATCTTATCTTATAAATCTCCCTCTCCCCCCCCCCCCCCCCCCCCCCACCCACTACGCTAGCAAGCTATGTCTTAAGATTAATATACAGTTAGCTTTGCTTATCAGTTACAGTAAGCACGGTTTTAACCCTTCACTTGCCTTTGTAGACTACAGGAACAATAAGCAGGCTGGCAAAGTTGACTTTTGTCACACAAAAAGTGTAAATGTATAATATACATTAAACAAGATGGCAGTCCGAGATGAATAAAGACTTAAAGATGTTCATGCGTGGGTATAGTCATTCGTGAAGTAGGCAACTTGGCGATCACTACATAACATTGAGCCAATGGGTATTATGCTCCTGTGAGTACGTCCATGTGCTGCCCTCTATATACCCACGCTTGAGCAACTTTAAGCAGAGATGTTGCCAAATGTGGATGATGATATAGCCTCTGCTCAGTACCTAGTACATATTTATACTGCTACGGTCAAGAAAGCATGGTCATCATCAGATTTGAAAATTTGGTGTCCAGGAGAATGATGAGAATATAATAATATATAATACTCTTTTTGGAAGAATGATGATGCACTATACACAAGCTTTTCAAATCTGTTTTCCAGATATCAGTTTTCTACAAGACACAATTCCTCTAAAAACAGATTAAAATTACATTTCTTGATATAAATTATCGAAAGGTTTCCTTGAAACCTCTTAGTGCTAAGCTTTGCATGTAGAATGTTTATATTTTTGAAGCGAGAAGTTTGAATGGGCAGGCAGTTATGTAGTTCTTTGCATTTTGTACCTTTACAGCAAATTTAGGCTTCTCAGCGGTAACATACAATTGTTGTTTTACTCAGTTATCCAATTTGAATTAGGTCATCAATATTTGGTTGAGATTATAATGCAGTATGTATTGATGTTGCAGATAATTAAGTTTAATTTATGCAGCTGTTGATAGTATTCTTGGAAGTTTTGTAAATGAATGCTTTTTTTTTCTTTACCGGACCAAAATGTTATTTTCAATCCAAAACACAGAATGTCATGCCATTGAACTCCAAACAGTGAGTAGCAGGAAATAAAGACATGGCAGCATAGAAAAATTACAGTGTACTTTTAACACAAAAAATTATACAACATTGGCTTTTTGGTTTTATAAATAGACCTATTAAAAACAACGACCATTATGATCAACATTAGATAAATGGAGGCCCTGTGTAGAGGAGAGTCACCATCTTTGCATGTTAAGAACCCACTGCACTATACGTATAAGAGTAGGGGGAAACCCCGGTGAAATGGTTTACCTGCACACCCCCAATCAGTTATACCGGGAGGAGAGACACGAGGGTAACAGTGAATCAGTTCGCTTTTTGCCTCCCAGGCACAGGTGGCGCCAAATACTTAATATTGATAATAAAAACAATATAATATATTGAGATGACATAATCACCCTTTAATTTACAGTACCTACCGTCAGATATCCACTAGAGGAAAAAAATAGCAAAAAAGCTTTTCTTTATCGTAGGCCAGCAGAAGTATATAAGGCCATAAAGTTCAACAGTTTGTTATTTTAGAAATATTTACTTTGCTGATCAAACAGCTGACGCGAAATGTAGGGCTTTCAGCTAGAAAAGCATTTAGTACAACTTTCGGAGAGAGACTAAAAAGAAAAATATATGCCTTTTTTCTCCCCACACTTTTAATGGCCTCTCCAAATTCATGACAAATGAAATAAAAGTGGTAATATGGACATGGTCCCAATTTTCATTTAAAAAATAGCTCTGCAAGCAAAAAAAAAAGATAAAAGTGCCTTTTCTTTAGTGTGAGTTAGATTTTCTTCATTCCATTTTGTATCATAACGCATTCTGCCTGCTCATATTTTTTTCTGTCATGATAACAACGCGAGGGTTAAATGTTTACTTCTGTATCCGTAGCAACTATCAGTAGAGTGTACTTGTGGAAAAGTCAAGCATGAGTTGATGTTTTAGAGGGTGAAAGGATTTTGTTTTGTATTTGAAGCAGTGCCCTGTCAGTAGTATAGTAATTTAGAAGGGAAATAGGCAAAATGAATAGTCAGTGAGGCGAGTTAGGAAAATCCACCAGTTGTAATTCTAGAAATTACATGTAGTTCAACTTATGCAGTAAGATTATAAGGAACTATTGGACTTTCATGTACCGTATGACAAGTTTGAAAGTTGATTTGAAGCAAATAATTATATATTTTATATAGATGGCGAAAATTCAGTATTTTCGCCAGTGCAAAAAAAATAGTTATAAGGGGACCGAATGATTACATTTTTGGTTAGATTGTTGGAATTAAAAACGCAGAAGACTGTAAAGACTGAAAACTATTTGTTTTTGCTAACAGTACATGTAACATATATTTAGAAAGAGAGAACTATTAGAAATGACAACTAGAGGGAGAGCTTGTAAATTCTATATTATTATACATTAGTTTTTTTCATACTAGTGGAGGAAATGCCTTGCTTCTGTTGATGGTAGATTTGTTTTCAGATTATGATTTTTTTTTTTTTGTACCTTTTCTTTTCATTCATGCTTTTTTTCAATGTATATTTCTTTTGTGTTTTCCATATTTTTTGAGATTGTGTCACTTGTGGCATGGCAGTTATTCATGAAATGTTTATCAGCTGTTTCGACTTTAGTTTGATACTCGATGGACGAAGAAATTATCTACAAAGTATTTATGTTCATGTGTTGTAGCAATTACTGTACACTGAAGTCAAACAAAACACCCAAACTACTTATAGACAATCAATTAATTATTGTTCTTCAGAACAACTTTGTCAATGTGCAGTCCCTTCCAGATCATAGGATAGATAGGATAGATAACAAGTAAACTGCCATTTTGGGATATTAGTTGGGGTCACTGGTTTTCAACAGAATGCAGATCTATTTGTGTTCATAAAAACACAGATTGGCGGTACATTTATGAATATCTCTTGTATATATATATATATATATATATACAGGTTATTTACTTCTTTTTCTCTGCCATGCACTTAGTGGTATGTACAGTGTATGTGTAAATGAATATTCTTTCAAGATCTTGAAAATACCGGTAGGGATTTTGAAATATTAGCCGTTAAAGGTTGACATATGTTTGTTCAGCTTTGATGTTCACATGCATCTATCATCATTTTGTTTGCAGTTTTCACCATTGTCTAACTTAAAATGAACGGAGCACTCACAAACGATGCACAAAGATTATCTCACAATCCAATCTCACATTGCCTGCTTTTGAACAATGCCTGCTCAAGCACACAATCATCTCACCTCTCGCAAACACAACTGCTATTAAACCTGTTCATGCATCGTTACTTTACCCCCACAGATCAAGGTCGCAGCCAAGTTTGGTCCAGACAGCTATGTGGAGCTCAAGGCCCCCGCAGAGGTGTCTGAATCTACCCCCATCTCATCTTTCTCTTTCTACTTCACAACCCAAGCCAACGATGGACTCCTCTACTACGTCGGTGGCCCTGCAGCAGGGGTATGAACTCATCTTATTTTTTTTTTATTGACAAATTACATATGGAAGGAATGATTTTTCCTTGAAAAACACGAACAATTTGCTGAAAAATCATATAGATATCATGGAAAGGTGTTATATCTACATAGTAGCTGTGCAATGAATTGATCTAATCGAGGGGTCAGTGACGCAAAGACTGAGCACTTGGGCCTTACGGAGTTAAGTCTATGTTTCACTAGCCATTGACTTGAATGGTGTTAAGTCTTTGTGTTTCCTGGAAAGCCCACATTTTTCTGAACATTTTTACAAAATATTGACTTACGTCTTTGTGTCACTGAGCTTTCGTAATTATAATATAATTATTATTGTTAAAACATCTTCCCTATTTTGACGCCCGAACAGGATGATTATCTTGCCCTCACCCTGGAGAACAGGAACCTTGTCTTCCGATACAACCTCGGTGATGATGACGCCATGGCAACAGTAGCTCAGGACGTCACTGACGGACTGTGGCGATACGTCCTAGTAGAGAGGTATGTTAATTTACATATGCTTTTTAGTGGATCAGCCCCCGGCCCCCCAACTAAGAGGTCGGAATGATCGCATGCGTGTTGCCAAAATGTCCGGTAAAGGGGTACTTTTCGTGCGACAAAGTCCGGCCCGAGAATTGTAAAAAAAAGGGGTGTATTTGACTTTTCACCCGGAGATTTCTTTAAAAAGGGGGTGTTTTTCTTTTTTTCTCTCATCTTTTTGGACTCCTGAGAAATTATTCTGAATTTAGGGGGGTACATTGAGCATTTTTCCGTATTTAGGGGGGTCTCCAAGGCAGGAAAAGCCCGCGAAAGGGGGGTTCGGAAATGTTGGCAGTCCTCAGATAGGGGGTGCTTTCAAAAAGAGGGTACAAGCATATGCGTACCCTAAATAACACTGAGTGGGGGGGCCGGGGGATCCCCCCATTTCCTCAGAAATTAAGAATTCCTTGTAATAATTTTATTTTGTGCAAAGTGTATTTGTAGAGAGGTATATGACATGCACAGGGCGTATCCAGATTCTGTAACGGGGAAGGGGGCACAATTCTATTAAATTTCTGATGAGAGAGGGAAAAAAGGTTATCTCATATTCAATCTCCGACAAGTAAGCACGTAAGCAAAAACAAACTTATTTTCAGGCACCTTTTTGGGGTAAAATTCTGAAGGGGGAAATAAAAACAGAATGGGAGGGGGGTGGGCACATTTTATTGTACTTGTGGAATGCGACATTAGGTCTTAAGGAAGGGGGGGGGGAGGCATGCGTCACTTGTTCTACCCCTCTCCCATATGGTAACGTGTTCCTGACAGTGTCTTCCAGATTTAAAAAAAGGACAAAAAATGGGCTCTACATGTGCTCTAAGGTTGTACAGTTATCTCAGTTATTTTCACCAATTGTTCATGATGATGACCGTTTTAAAGCCCCACCGCACTAGTTTGGCCAGGAGAGATTAGACCTCCCTGCATGGTCACTGACAGGTGGATATCTCATCAATTTAGCTCTCAATTAACATAATAAAAAGAGGATCATGAGGGACCAACAGGCACCAATTAGGCATTGTTTGCTATATAGAGGGTGCAAGTAGCTATAAGTAGTGCAGTGGGGCTTCAAGATGATTTCAAAGTGATACATGGAGATGAAACAAGTGTCTTGAATTATGAATCTTCAGGTATGGTCGCTATGCCAAGGTCACGGTTACCACAGAGAGCACCGGCGACCAGGACGGAGAGTCGTCAACCACCGGAGTCTTTAACCTCCTAGATCTCCAACCAGAGTCCATCATGTACATTGGAGGTGCTCCACAAAGTGCTGATGTAAGTGAATGATGATGATGGGGGCCGGGGATGGGGGTGGTGGTGGTGGTGGTGATGATGATGGTGGTGGTGGTGATGAAGATGATGATGGTAATAGAGGTGATAGAGGGATGTTTGATGATGGTGTTGTTGACGATGACAGCAATGATGTTGATGATGGTGATGATGACAACGATGTTATGCATGGTGTTCTTGTGGATCACATTTTGTCTCCCACCTTTTTTAATATTTTTTATGTTTGATGAATCATGTGGCAATTTTATGGAGATGATATTCTTAATTGTGAATAACCCCAACCGGTATCGATGATTATGGCTTTTTGTTGATGTTGTGTGCATGTACAACAGTATAGGCCTCAATAAGAACTCGACAGCACACTTGCCTTGGGGTCCGAGAGAGTATTAAAGTGTCGGTAGTTTATAATGATACACTTTCCATACAGAGTAGTACATTGTTTTGATGTCATTGGGGGGGGGGGGGTGGGGGGTGCGTGCATTGCTCAAGACCCATCGGTTGTACCAGTGAGCACTCTCTTGGTGATTGACAACACAATTAGCCTTTGAGAACCTAGGGTTATGTGCCTTCAATGATTAATCACTGTTTTTTCTTCTCAACCAAACAGTTACCAGGAGTGATCAGCAACCGCGACTTCATCGGCGGGGTGGACGAATTCCAGTTTGGCGAGACGCCCATCGGAGTCTGGAACTTTGTCAATGCTAGCTCTGTTAACGAGGGAATCATGAGGTTTGTCAGTCATCAAACATTGTTTAACTGATTTATAAATTCAAAGCAATGAACTTAAACAATTTATGAGCTTTTTATTTATATTCTATAATTTATAATAAAAATTTGTGAGCTCTCTGATGCATTTTATGTCAATGTTAAAGGTTATCATTATAGAAATGTCCCCTGACAATGACTTCTTTTCAAATGCCCTGATATTCAAAACATGTTGAGAGCTTAGCTTAAGGTAGTCACCCGAAGAATCTAAAGTGTTTTGAATTGATGCAAAATACATATCATTGCGAAGGGGAAGCCTTCCTGATCAAATATGCTTCCCTCTTCAAAATATGTTTTGCCTTCAGCGATCTTCCGTAGAGTGTCAAGATTTGTGACCTCACACGCGAGACACAGCTACATGTAGCCACATAGCATTTTATGGCTTTCCATGATATCAATTGATTTTTCAGCGTTTTATTCGTGTTTTTCAAGAGAAAATCTTTCCATTCATATGTAATTTGTCCATAATTATCAGTTGTCGTGAATTTTCTTCGGGTGACTACTTTAAGAGTTTGAACCAGACTTTCAGGCTACATATACTTGGTCTCACTTTCCTATTTCTGTGTGCAGTGCTGTTCCGTATTATTATATTTCAGCAATATTTGATCAATTTTTTATTAGGATACAGTGAAGCCAAAAAGTGACATTGGAAGATAACCAAATACATTTGTTCCTTCCTTTCTTTCTTCAGGAATGTGACGGACCTGGCGGTGACGACCGATCCCGACGATCCTAACTCTGCCGTCATGTTCGACGGGTCGGGTTATGCCATTGTTCAACGCGGCACCAAAGAGATGTCGGTCGGTAACCGCATCCAACTTCAACTCAAGACTCTCTCTCCCAACGGTCTCCTCCTCTTTGCAGGAAATGAGGTATGTTCTCAGTTTTTTAAAATCATTTTATGCCGTCCGTCTTCCTCTTCTGTCGCTGTTCCTCCATCTCTTTCTCTCTGTTCATATAATATTAGAAAATGAAATGTATGACGAGATGAGCCAGTTAAATAGTATTAAGAGGGTCTTTTTAGGAAGATAACTTTTTATCTTATTAAGTATACTATTGCTCCTAGATGGCGCTCTTCAATCTGCTCGGTTGAACTGGATTTATAGATTATTTGCGTTTTCTCCCGGGGAAAAGGAGGCAGATTATCTTGAAGAAGAAGAAGAAGAAGAAAGTTGATTCTTAGGTACTCATCCACTCCCACATCCTTTTGTTTCTTTTCTTCGTTCAATGATTTACAATACTTTCCCCATCTTGTGTTGCTTTACAGACACCATAGGGAAAATACTTTCTTCATTGAGATGCACGGAGGTCGCATCTACTACGAGTATGACCTGGATCAAATACTGAATACATGTTTATTTTCTTATCTTTTCTTATCTTTGCTATAAACAACTTTCCCCATTTCGTTTTGCTTTACAAACACCATAGGGCAATACTTTCTTCATCGAGATGCGCGGAGGACGCATCTACTACGAGTATGACCTTGGTTCCGGACCCGTCTCCAAGATATCTAAGAATATTTACAACAACAACAAGTGGACCACCATTACCATCTTCCGTGTTGGCAAGGCAACCCAACTCTTCACCATTACTCAGGGACCCATGTGAGTATTAATTTGAACTTTGTTTTTAGAAAATTCAATGTAAAATATCTACCAAACTGCGAATATAATGTTACTCATATACAGTAGGCTTATGGGTGCACCATGTGAGAGAGAAAAAGGAATGTTGGTAATCTTTACATACACACAATCAAGAAAGAAATATTACCGACAGTCCTTTTCAAGACTCCCCAATCCCTCCCCCCTCTCTCACATGGTGCAACCGTATACCTTCTGTATATCTACACACCGATACTTATAAGCAGCATCTAATGTTACTCATTGAAGCTCTTTTTACCAATCGTGTGAAAGAATATGTTGAGACTAATATGTGATGATACAAATTTTTGCCGGGAAAATGCCTAGTAATTTATATATTTTGGAAATTATTATATCTATCCGGACTGGATAGATATCGCGTAGTCCCATATACATCTTTCTGTGTACAGTGCCTGTAACTTTACCAAGACTGGGCCAAATTTCTTAACATTTTGATGATTCCAGAACCTTGCAGTACACACCAATACTTATATGCTAGAAGATCAACCTTTTCTGATCTTTTCTGAACATTTCTTTCACAATTCAATGGCACGACCAGAACTGGTCTATACCTTTAAACAACAAATCATAACAAGCAGACAGTGATTAACAAATTTCCTATGTTATGTGTTTGTCATAGTTCGGAGGACTTTGCCCAATTCTCCTCACCTGGGGCAGAGACTGAGCTTGAGACAAACAATCTAATCTACATTGGTGGATTAGTGGGCGTTCCAGATGACCAGTTCACGTAAGTAGAAGGAGTCCTTTGGAATCTGATTGATGAGGAAAAATGATGATGATGATGATTAGGAAGAGGAGGAGGACAGTAACAATGATGATGAAGTTGATGATTAGAAAGAATGATGAGAATGAATGATGAAGATGATGATGATGATGATGAAGATTATGGTGTTGATGATGATGATGATGGTAGTGATGATGATGATGATGATGATGATGATGATGATGTTGATGGTGGTGATGATGATGTTGACTATGATGAAGATTATGGTGTTTATGATGATGATGATGATGATGGTAGTGATGATGATGATGATGATGATGGTGATGTAGATGATGATGATGATGGTAGTGATGATGATGATGATGGTAGTGATGATGATAATGATGATGATGATGATGATGTTGGTGGTGTGTATGATGATGATGATGATGATGGTGATGTTGATGATGATGATGATGATGATGATGATGATGATGATGAGAATGATGATGATGATGATGATGATGATGATGATGATGATGATGAATAGGATGATTAGGAGGAGGAGGACATTGACTATGATGATGAAGATAAAAGTGATGATGAGAAAGAATAATGATGATCATCATGATTATCATTAGGATGATGACAATGAGGAGGAGAAGGAGCAGGAAGATGATTATGAAAAGGAGGAGGAGGAGAAAGATGATGCTGGTTCTGACGATGACAAATTGATGTCGAGAATGAAAACGATGATGATGAGGTTAATAAAGTTAGTTTGTGCTGTTAAAGATGACCTGACCCAATGATACAAGTATGCATCGTCATTCTTCAAGTAGGAATATAGTAATTAAACCCATCTCCTCCCTACTATTCTCTTTCAGACGTGTCACCCGAGAGAGTTTCCGTGGCTGCATGGCCAACCTTGTCATCAGCTCTCAGAACGTTGATCTGACCGCTGCAGATGTCCAGACGGCTGGATTCTTCCCAGCATGCATCCGCCAGGTAAGTCCAAAGTCCAGCAGGAATTGATGTTAGCATTGAGCAATTTTGACCAGGTAATGTGGAAGAGAGTTCTGGTAAAAACACAAAATAACTCAATTTTCAGGCCTTTTCAAGGCTTGTAATGTACAGAATGTACCGGGCTCCAACATGTTGAGTATCTTTATAGGTCAGTGCTGTAAAGACAACTGGGGGTGTATCATAAAGCTGGCTCTGTTTACCAAAAGTTTACCAAAAAGGTTGTACGAATGACTTAAATATGAAAAGCCAAATGGGATACTCAATCATTTTTAACTGCATCAACTAAAGTTGAACTGTGCAGATGTAAGGTATATTTGTTGCCATAATTTAATTGAGGTTATTTGAAAAATAGTCACACTTTGTTAAAACATCAGGAAAAACTTTGGGCATCCTATCTGGCACTTCATATTCAAGTCGTTCGTAAAGTCATGCGTAACTTTACAAACAGCGTTATGAAACACCCCCCTGGTATCCCTGTGTGTTGTTGTTTTTATTGTAATTTGTGTCTTTGACTTTGCAGGACATCCGTGTGGCCACCTACCCCGGCCCCAGCGGGGGTTACACCGAGCTGGCCATGCTCGATGATTTGGACCTAATGGACGATGGGGACTTCATCCTGCGCTTCCGCACCGAGCAGCCCAATGGCCTGATGCTCTACACCGCCGATGACACCCAGGTAAGCCAGGAGAAGGTCAAATCATTTTTTTTTAATTACAGTGAAACCTGTCTATAAAGACCACCCAAAGGATACAAGATAAGTGATATTTAAAGGCAGGTGGTCTTGATGTACAGGTTCCTGTAGTACATGTTTCAATGAGAAACCATTTTTAAGGGAAACAAAAAAAATGTGGTCTTTGTAGATGGGTAGTCTTTGTAGACAGGTGGTCACTAAAGCAGGTTTGACTGTATGTATATTGGTGTCATCTTCAGCAGCCTCCGTTTATGGGCACCACAGCAGACAACACAGTTAGGAATTTGTTTTCTTTTAATCCTTTTGAATTTCTCGGTGAGTATGCAAGAGACCCCAAGTTGTTTTGAAATTTGTGCACACTAATCTCTGGCAATAGAGCTATACATGTACATAATTGTTAAAGAGAAGGTTGAGTTCTGGGAAGAGGTAAAAAATTATTTGTGAGCATTATCATTGTTATCATGCAAGGGTGGAAGAACATCAGATTAAACATGTTCCCTGAAAAGCATGGCTCTTTAAATGCCTTCATATTCTCAATATGACATGAAACATCATAAAAATCCAGGGTTTTTTCGCCAAATTTCTTATCATTTTGATGATTCCAGAACCTTGCAATACACACGAATACTTATATACTAGATGATCAACCTTTTCTGATAGATTCCACACCGTTTCTTTCACAATGGAATCACATGACCAGAACTCAACTTTATCTTTAACATTGCTTATAATCCCTGACATGACCAAGGGCAGATCCCAGATTTGGGGGGAGGGGGGGGGGGGTTCCTGGAACGAGATTTAAGGAATCCTTCACTCCATGAGTGTGGGGGGGGGGGGGGGGGGGGGAAGGGGGGAGTTGTTGGATGAAAAATGAAAAATTCCTAGCTTGTTTTTCGCCTCCTTTATTTCTCATTTTCTCCCTGTTCCTTTTCTTTACCCCAATTATCTAGGGGAGCCCCCCCCCCTCCCCCTCCCCACACGCATGTGCCATAGACATACACTTTCTATTCATAGCATACAAGGAAAATGATCTTATCAAAATGTTTTTTCTTAACTCTCAGGATTCATCTCTTGCAATCATGATGAAAGACGGAGCCGTCCTTGTAGTTGCTCATAGGGTCGAGACCGCAGAGCTTCTCACCCCCGAGGATACCTACAATGATGGAATGTGGCACACCATTAACGTGCGTCGCCCCGCAAGAAGAGCTAATGCAAGGTGAGTACCACCCAACGTATATCACATGCTTTCTAGTTTGACCGCTTTTAGGCTGCTGACTTTGAATTGTATACGAAATAAGACTCGTACAGTCAAACCTCATTTAGCGACCACATGTATAGAAAGACCACTTGCACTTTATTTCCATTGATTAGTGTTAACGCTGTTATTTATGCGTGATTAATTTATTTGAGCTGAGCGACCTCAAAACATATTCGCTGGTTCTTAAATTTGTGTTGTACGCAATTCAGCCTGTTCAAAACACGCATAAGATGTCATGCTGATATTTTCCTCGAGTTCTAAAACCTGCGCATGTCGATCTTAGCGCAAAATCTGTGAAAGTTAATGTACCTTTTATATTTCTACTTTTACAGTAGTGTATTTTGTGAAAATTTTATGAAAATAACCTACAGTTAAACTGTGAAACAAGTTTTTCGAAAATTTTCCCATTGAAATTCATGTATCAAAATGAACCAGGGTTTCTGTAGGATGTCAGCAGATTTTTAAGGTTTGGTGACACAAAGACGTAACTCCATATTTAGCCAAAATGAGTATTTGATATCAACATGTCAGAAAAATGTGGGCTTTCCAAGAAACACAAAGACTTAAATCCACCCAACACATTGACGTCAATGGCTAGTGAAACATAGACTTAACTCCTTAAGGCCATACATGTAAACCCCATAAACCACTTTTTCTCCAAATGGAGTTACGTCTTTGTGTCACTGACCCCTCAATTTGTACTTATTTTGCCTCTCCCTTAAGTGGTCTTTATATACAAGTTTGACTGTACATGTCTCATCAGCTCGGAGCCAAAAGGGAGTTACTATAACTCATATCTTTTAACACAGAGTTAATGCCCTTCTGGCTCTTAATCAGATAGATGATGAGTTGCTACTGTAGTTCAAACAACTTTATTGCAGTACTAGAATAGTAATGCTTGCCATTACGGTCTATACCATTCATTTAGTAGCGTAGTTGTCAGCTAAAATAACATCTTATGCAGAAGACTAAATGCAATACATTTTATAGCAATTTGAAGAAATAGTGCATTTTTACAAATGCAAATTTATGTTCACTAAACATGTGGCCAGTAGCGGTTTGAAATTAGTGGAGCTTTAAGCAATAGATGAAAATCATATTTAGTTTATGAGATGTGTTCTACTATTTAAAGGAATTTGTCGTAAATCTCTGTGGCATCACTTACATCTACGTGTATCTGCATTTGTCAATACATATATATGATTGAGCATGACATTGTTCCTCCGCAGAATAGTACGTTTGAGGAGCTCACTTAAAAAATGAGAACATCGCTATTTAATGCAGTAGAATTCAGAATTCAAATTAATGAAACTATGTGTATATCCACGGCAATTATATTCATTGTGCTTTTAGTAGTTAGTGTCTATTTATCTTGATCATATAAAGACCTAAAAAATGCCTAATCTATTACGCTTGTTCCTAAATTGTGTAGTAATGGCCTCCCTTGCTTCCAATCTTCAATTCAGAAAGTGACTGATGATGGTGATATTTCGGACAATATCTTTTTAAAAAGGGGCTTATTTTTGTGAAGTTTTATTTCAGGCGTTGAAACTTTCGATTGTTGAAAATTGATATTGCAGGGCGATTATGTTAATCGCTGTGTTTACATTTGATTTTACTGGGCTTTTCTTGTGAATATGTGTATTAAACCTGTGAATTTGTGCATAATTGTGGCAAATTTTCATCCCATCAACACCTTCCGCACATTTTTTTTGTTCTTATTTATATTTGAAGAAGAAAAAGACACTTACAAAAGTTAAAAGTCATTATTTGAGATTTTTGTTTTTTCACAGACCCGTTTTTAACTATTTTCATGATCTTATGAAAAGAACTATATGTTGAGTTTGTTTCTTTTTTTAACAGCAGTTAGAAATTAGCTGCAGTGTTTTTTTTAATAAGGACCTTTATTTAATTTTGCTTTTATAATGGAAGAGACTCGTGTTCTCTATCCCTCTTTAAAGCTTTCATCCTCCCCTTCGCTCCCCTTCTCCCTTCCTTCATCTTTCCTTTTAAAGGCTTCTCCCTCTGATTAAGCTTAATTAAATACTATCTCATCCCTCATTCCCTCAATTTAAAATTTAGGAGAAACTCGTGCAGATGATTTCATGGTGGAACTGTTTGAACAACAAAACTTAGTGTTTCCTTCACAATTACAAAACAGTTTAATATTATTATGTACATTTACTTTTTCAGTAGAAGATACAAATACACTTAAAGGGATTGGGTATCTTTGTCTCAGATTCTAAACAAAATCCTGGATTTAGCGCATGCTGCAATCATAATTATAAACATTTAGGTCAGTCAGGAATCCCATGACTTTTACGAGCTAATCGCCTGTCTGATTATCAAGATATTTACGATTGGAATTCGAAATTTCAAAAAATGTTTTTCCAACGGTTTTTATAACACTACAGTCTATAAGGGAAAATGAGTATGGTAAAATTGGTCACTCAAAGATATTCACTTTTTTGAGGCACTTCATGATCATTTTGAAGCGCAATTTTTTAGGGCCTCCATATTACACTATATCACAGACACTGATAACACGTAGGGCCATGCATCTTAGATTTGTAAAACTGGAAACATTGTTACACAATGCCCTAAATACTGCTTTTAAAAGAAGGATGATTGAAAATGTTTTTGATACTTCATAGAAATCTCAGTCCTATGGAAAGTCTGCCAAACCATAATACTAGTTGTAACCTTTGACCCAATCACTAATGCTAAAATTTGAATCGTCTTCATTTCAAACAAAATCAGACAAAATCTCAAAGAAAGTTGCTTCATAATTTATGCTACCATTGACCTGCAAAACCTCTCCCCGCTTAACGTTCAATGATTATATATATATATATATCTCCCAATCTTTTTTCCTCGCTGCAATTTCAATCCTTTATTTTAACCTATTAGCCCTGGTTTTGATGAGTAAGTAGTCAAATATTATTTCTTAGAATTTTTTATATTACTCGTTTTAGTTTTAGTTTTAGCTTGTTTAATTTATAGCTTTCTTTAACCCTGCATGCCAATAACTTCACATGCACCTTTGTATGTGTGATTATTTTTTAAATTCACATAATACCCAATTATTCACTTTCTAACAGCAGCTTTTTTGTCTTCTGTTTATGATTTTGTCTTAATTTTTCTTTCCCAATTTGCAACCTCTGTTTTTGTCAGACCTTTTTACCCTTTTTTCCTCTTGATTTGCACTTATAATAAATCTTATTATTAATCTATTAATCTTAGAATACTTTGCTTTGTACATGTAACTCTTTTAATCCTGTAATCTTTTATTTTGCTATGTGACGTTGAACAAAACTCACTTGCCCAGGACAGCTGAATTATGTTGATAGGGGAGCAAATAAACAACACAATTGCTCATTAAAGCAAGCAGTGTTTTGAGCTTTACATGTATGTACATGTATCATGCATCTATTTCAATTCTCGCTATCAAGAATTGTTGTTTTTCCTTTGTAAAGACTTTGGGAAAGTGCAATTTATATTTGGCTAAGGGTTTTTGAAGGCCAAGTCGCCCAATTAGGTTTTCCATTTGAGGCATCCATCATCTGTGTAATGACTGCATTGCTGTGAGCAATTGATTTCAAGTAGATTCACAGCCTTATAAATCTCATATATTATTGAATTATTCCACGAAAGTTATATATCGGTAAGAGTTATATGTGAATATATTTACTGAATGTTAATGTGTACTGTATACTCCATGCATGCACATGTATCATACAGTTTATATTAAAGTAAATACTGTTTGCAATGCACTGTCTTAGGATGAAGTATACTTGTTTTAAGAGCATTTTATCCATTGTGTGTGCCTGCATGACTGTTTACAGCACTTGTGTGAAATATATTATTCATCAGCAAACTATATACAGTACTTTGTGTATTCATTGTTAGCATAAGTAAATTATTCAAGCATGTTTTAGTTACCAGCAATATATTGAAATTTGAAGTTTATTTGTTCCACATTTTGAAATAATTATAATGGATGGAAAATATGTACGAACTTTCGAAATATATAGATATGACAGGTAAGGTAATACAATGTAAAATTTGGGGAGCCTAAATAAAAAGCATAGCTTGTATGTGAATAGGGTCCCGTACTGAGTAACATAATATAGTACCTGGTAGGTCTGAATTAAAAAGATATTGAAAGATTATTGAAAGATATTGAAATATTATAGAGAAGTTCAGAAGAAAGTAATTTGTTACCTGTATTCACTTTAAATGTCAGCTTACTATAGTTTGATGAAATTGACCTGGTTGTTAATGTGTAACTTGAAAGCCAGGTGTAGTGTAAGGCAAAATTAGTTTGAATTTCTGTCCTCATTGAAATAAATTCATTCTACTTTTGAATCAACCCATACCCATATGAATTCCTTCAATGAATCTTGTACAAAATGATTTTGTTTACTTGATTTCTTCTAATGTTATATTAAAATCAAATAAGAACGAGTAATGACATTGTAAGTTCATAAAGTTCAGTGGGGTTATCGAGAGGGACATAGTAATTTACCAATTTGTAAAGCCAGGCTATAGTATAGATACAACTAAATTATAGATACCCTTTGTAAATTTGATGTTTTTTGTATTTTTTGTAGCTCAAGAATAAAAGGAGGACTGATTGAATAAGGGCCTTTGTAGAATACTCTTAGATCTGAGCTTTAATATGTTACATTGTAAAGAAACATAAATCAGGACATGTCAATTTTTCACAAAAGTAGAGAAGTCGCCCGCTTCTCACTTTATCCATTTCTAAAGATATGCAACAAGCTCTCTGCAAAGATCTTGCTCAGTGTTTCCCCCTTTTTAGCCACATTTTTTTTTAAATGTTGCTTTTCCAGCAATTTGTACCTTTCAATCTGATGTTATCTGTTCTTATTTGAATTTTTTGTCCATATCCTTTTGATCGATTCATTAGGCTGCACTTTAAAAAGTAGTACCCCATCCTCTCCCATCAGCTGGGTAAGCCTGTATTCTTACTCCAATTCTTGAATATTCATATTTTTAGACTCTCCCTGTCGGTCGATGATAACGAAGCAGTCGTGGAAGCCTTTGCCAGCCGCAACATGAAGACAGGTGGCATGCTGTTTGTTGGTGGTGTTCCTGAGGGATACGACTTGGGACCTATCACAGTCCCAGCAGCAGCCAGTGAGCCATTCATTGGATGCCTGGCAGATATATCCAGCAAACATAGGTAAGTTATGTCCATGTTTACAACAACATTTGCTGGATTACACATACATTTAGACAACTTTAAATACATTCTTATTGAAATTTGGGCAAAGCAAATACTAAGCAGAGAAAACAATTGTCATATGGACATTTCTCCACAGAATCCATGTTTTACAACAATTTTATATCTATGCTAGAATTATTGTAGATGGAATACACTTTGCTTGCAGATTCTGTGATATAACACATTTGTAGATGCTTTTTCTCAGAGGATTTTACATATAGGGCTCTTGCATACAGATTGTAAAAAGTTCAATCAAGATCCCCTTCCAAAAGAGTTGGTGTGGAGCCCTGTATATAAATATGTATATATTTCATTACTAATCTTGTTTTTGTTTCATTTATTTGACCCAAATTAAGAATCAGTCATTTCTCTCTGTTTGAAAATGAGGTGAAGGAGATTTCACTCATGTTTATGATTTTCATATCACAATCTACTGATGTTCTTGGGAGTAGTATATATGTAAGTAGGTGGTTTATAGCCAATATTCATGCATCTTGGATATATCTGTACCTTATAATAACAGGAAAATCACCTTTGCCAACCGTATGCGTGACTTCAACGCTTTCTACGGATTCTGTGACCTGTCGCTGTCAAGCAACGCCACGGAAGGGGAGGTCACACTCACTTCCCCAGCCCCCACTTCGGCCGCGGGCCCGTCGACGACTCCATCCATGCGCAACGACGGACCTTGCGTCCTGTCGTCCAACCCAGAAGACGCTCCTGAAGACCCGACTAACGAGGGCGCTGTTCAGTTTGGTGTCCTGTCCGACAGCCGCGTGGAGTTCCCTCCGCTTAAGTCATCTGAATACAGTAATGGGTGAGTCATGTTAACAACCCCCTCCATGTACATGTACTCACTTATGGCAATAACTAGGTTCGTTCACATATGCAGCAATAAACTTCCATGGTTTGTGAATTAATAATGGATGTCAGCATGAAGAGCAGTCTAGGATGTGGATGAATCTTTAATCCACCAATCAAGATTTTAAAAGGGTTGATTTCCTCAAAAATTAAGAATTTCTTGTAATGATTTATTTTAATAATTTATTTATGTTTACAGAGCATTTGTATACTTATCAAGATAAAAAAATGAATACAGTATGTACATATATTTTTTTCATAATTTCTGTTGGTAATGATATGAATACGAATTGAAGAAGAAAAAAATAGCTTTATCATAAGTGACTGATGCTGAAATACTTGTCAATTTTTGATGTAGATGGACATTTCTGATATTGCTCTTTTAACTTCATTCAAGGAAATGACAGAATATCTAAACCTTGTCATATTACCCAATGATAATACAATATTATTTATGAATCTAATGTAATTATGTTGGTACACATCAGTTGACAGTGCTTGTGGTTATTGCGCTAGTGTTCTTCAAATGTTTTGTATTGGACCCATCATCCTTGACAAATGTTTTGTTTCCATTGAAAATGATGTATTTTGCAACATTTTATTAGATGAACTATAATTTCCATTCAACTTATACCTTTCAGGTATGACCTTTCAGTTGCCGTGCGAACCGGTGCCCGCAATGGAATCATCTACTATGCAGCAGACGGTTCTCAGATTGATCTCTTGGCGCTGTTCTTGTATGAGGGTCGTCCCGTCATGGTCTTTAATCTTGGATCAGGGAATCTAAGACTGGAGCCCCTAGATGGCCGCACAATCAACGATGCCCAATGGCATACGGTAAGAAATCGCTGCCCTTTAGAATTCTTGATCAGTTTTATCTGTCCGTAGAGTAATGATTTTCGACTCGGATGATCATTTTTAAATTTTGGATCAGGGTATTTTAAGACTGGAGACCCATGGCTGCACAGTCAACGATGCCTAGTGGGATACGATGAACAGTCGATTCCCTCTCTGAACATTTATGAATTCTGGGTCAGTTTTATCAGATGTAAGATTTTCCAATCGTTTCCAGATGGGTTCTTTCACAATGAAATCATATATGACCAGGTAGGTGTTTCACAAAGATCCTAATTTGGAAAGCCGTTAACATCTTTGAAAATATTTTGTAAAAGTTATTTTAAAATGCATAAAATGTGGAATCAAATCATTCATACTTTCTATTATCAAGGAGATTTCATGTTCAAAAAACTTGAATTTTCACTTTTGAATATATTTTATTTTAAGGCTACAAATTGCTCTCCACAATTTTTAAGTCCAACTTTAGATCTTTGTGAAACACCCCCCATTACTCTACTTTATCATTCACCGTGGTATACTTTTGTTTAAAAATATTTGTGCTACAGATCAGAACATTCCGAGACAAGACGAGTGGTGAGCTGTACATCGACGGGGAGCTGGTCAATAGCGGCATGAGCACCCCCGGAGCTCGTCTTCTCAAGACTACAACCAACTTCTTCTGGGGCGGACTGAGCAAGGATCTTACCGTCGCCAACAATGACGTTAATGTAAGTCAATAAGCCAGTTCATAGTTCCAGTCTCAGTATGAGCAGATTAAGGTCACTGCAGACCAAATTGTGAAAAACAAGGAGACAAAATACTGGATGCATGCTCACAAAAGTTTTTGTTGTCAAAATTGTCAAAAAGATACAAGCTGCCATATGCTCTTCTTAACTGTTTATCTGTTTTGGACTTTAAGTACTTTATTACATACATACATGTATATGGACTTTTACAGCCTTTACACAAAAATTGATATTTTATCTTTCATGACAACATCCAAATTCAAAGAATACAATGAAAGATATTTTTTAAAGATAGTAAAGATGATGACATGAAAAAACACAAAAAAAAGAAACTTAAAAATAAAAGGATCATCAAAAATTTACAAAAATTGATTGATTGATGATCCTACATTAAATTCAAAGTAACGTAAATAAGGGTATAATGGCAATTACAAACAAATATAAAAATGGTGGTTAATTAGATTCAAAACTTCAGTGAGGTGTTGAATTATGCTTGAAACTGTTTCAATTGTCTATTTCAGGAAGCTAGCCAGATCGGGCTGCTGGGATGTATGAAAGATCTGACGAACAACGGAGTTGAGTTCGGGGTACGTGCTAACGAGTACGAGATCCAGGCTTGCTCTCAGATCATCGAACCTGGTGTTTACTTCGGTCCTGGCAAGGGATACGTCATCCCTGGTAAGTTATCCGATATGTCGTACAGAGCTGCCAACCATTACGTTTTTCCTGGAATTATTCCGTCTTTTCCTCAAAATTACGGTAGTACGTTTTTATGCCCCTGCTACAAAGTACCCGGAGGCATTATTTCTTCATAAAATTCTTTTTATTTTAATTATACTTTTATTTTGTTGTTGCCAATTGCCCTAAAATTAAGGTTAAAACATGTTTGAAGAGAAAAATATTCTCTAAAAGCATGAAATGCCAATAATACCCCCAAAACAATACTCCTATACTAGATGATCAACCTTTTCTGATTGATTCCACAACGTTTCTTTCACAATAAATCGCATGACCAGAACTCAGCATTTATCTTTAACTCACCAACCTTTTATTTCAACCCCTTTCAGACGAAACGTTCATGGTCAACCAGAGGCTGGAGGTCCGCATGTCGATCAAACCTCGGGTCAAATCAGGGGTCATCTTCTCCGTGGCTAAACCCGGGATGGACTTCGCTTCCTTTGAGCTAATCGACGGCCAGGTAAGAGTGAATCGGTCACATGACACTCATTCTGGGTCCCATCTTACAAAGAGTTGATCTTAGGCGCAACTTATTTGCGATTAGTACTCAATCGTGCTACTTGCGCCCTCTATATAGCAAATAATGCCTAATCGGTGCCTGTTGGTCCCCCATGATCCTCTTTTTCATATGTTTAATAATTGAGAGCTGATTTGATGAGATAACCACCTGTCAGTGACCTTGCAGGGAGGTCTAATCCCCCTGGCCAAACCAGTGCAGACGGGCTTTAAAGGAAGATGAGTTTTTAAATCTTTCAATTTGCAACACTGAATTGCTTTCCTGTACAACTTGGCATTTCTTTCAATCTTTAACATTGTTCCTGTCTTCCGGTTTGTTTATGCTTCAGGTCAGGGCTGTTTATTAAGAAAAAATAATGATAGACTACCAAGACGTAGCCTGGGTTTAGTCCCTTAAAGAATCACAGTTAATTTCATCCCCCCAGAATCAATTGTATATCAATAATAATTATAATAAATAGTAACTACCGTAACAATCAATGTCATGCTACAGATGGATACAGTGCATGGTAAGATACAATTTCTTGCTGCAAGATTCAAGATACAATAGATTTTTTGGGGATTAATTGTTATTACATTTTTATGTTACAAGGCCCAGGTATGTTCCTTTCTCTAAAATATTTGAAAGAAATGCCATGGGTAAGACGCCAAAGATGGGTATAACATGGGCTGTCTCAAGAACTTTTTTAAGTTGGAAATAGGGAAAAAACTCCAGTCCTGAAATTGATTTTTTTTTTATTTATTTTTTTTTAATTTGAATTTTCTTCTACAGCTCTTCTTTAGAGTAGAGAATGGTGCCGGCAAGTTTGAGGCTACATACATGCCTCCAGAGGGCAGCGCATTCCTGTGCGACGGCAACTGGCATGATCTTCTAGGTAAATATCAAGATGTACATCAAAATCATCCAGGAAACACAGACTTAACTCCACCCAACACCCCATTGAATTCAATGACCCGTGAAACATAGACTTAACTCCTGAGGCCCAATTGCTCAGTGAGACATAAACCACTTTTTCTCAAAATGGCCAAAATGGAGTTACGTCTTTGTGTCACTGACCCCTCGACATGTACATGGTGGTATATTTCATTCTCTTGTACTACCCCGTCTTTCTTTCTTTCTCTCCCTCTCTTTCTCTCTCTCTCTGAAAATGAAAATAACAAGAAACATGCATTCAAAAGAATAATTAACCGGACTGGTCGTTAAAAATACCATTTAATAGTATGCCATATGTAGAATAAAAATAAAAAATACATTACAAAGAATAATACATGTATACGTAGTCCTGAACATAATTTTCTCACAAATATACTCCAAAAGCTACAGACAGAATGCTTTTATTGTGAAGGGGGAACATTTTGTTAATTCTCTGCTGTATAGCTTATTGATGTATTCATTTAAAAATGTACAGTAGAAAAGTACAAGTTGAAGATGAGATAAGGAATAATAATTTAGGGAACTGATGAGATTTAAAAAGGGCATGTAATGTTATCAATATGAACATAATTGGAGATAGAAATGCATCAGTTTAGAAAGATATTTGACAGTCGGGTGGAAACAAAAAACAATTACCATCAAAGTTATTCACGGAAAGTGAACCTTAAGTGACTGGGTAACTTTGCCTCAGATTCTGAAACAAAATCCTCATGCTCCAATTATAATTATAAAACTTTAGGTCAGTCAGGAATCCCATGACTTTTACAAGCCAATCGCCTATCTGATTATCAAGATAATTATGATTGGAAATCGAAATTTCATTTTTTTTTTCCCCTAACGTTTTTATAACACCACAGTCTATTGGGGAAAATGAGTATGGTAAAACCGGTCACTCAAAGGTTTTTATTTTTTTGAGGCACTTCATGATCATTTTGAAGCGCAAATTTTAGGGCTTCAATATTACACCATATCACAGACACTGATAACACATAGAGCCGTGCATCTCAGATCTAACATTGTTAAATGATGCCTTTAATGAAACTAATTGTACTATCCCATCTCTCTTTCCCTCTCTCCTTATCCACAGTGAACAAAGAGGGCTCTGTCATCCGAATCACCGTCGACGGAGACGAAGGTGACCAGGTGACGGGACCAAGTGGAGCCACGGCCGCCAACACCAACGATCCTCTCTACTTTGGTGGAATCCCAGGTAAATATCACTTTAACACTTATCCTGCCATAATGAATACAGCCCAGTGCCACAGGGCTAATCCCCGTTGTGCCAAGCCACAAATCCCCCTGTGCCAAGTTTATTTTGAGATAATCTGATGGTGCGATCAATAGCGCGTGCGAAGCACTCAGCACAGTACAATGAGCATAAACAAAAACTGCTATTATGAATGCGAGCATGCATGCATAAAGCAGCTAAGCTGTGGCTCGCTCGCGTGAATTAAGCAGCCAATCGATAGCGTGCACACGTGTACAAAGCACTATAACAGTAGCGTGTAAGCGGCCTTATGGCAGGATACGAGTTAAGCGGGACTGCACTACTTATAGCTACTTGAGCTCTCTATATAGCAAACTAAGCATAAGCGGTGACCATTGGTCCCCCATGGTCCCCCTTTTTCTTATGTTAATTGAGAGCTGATTTGATGAGATAACCACCTGTCAATGACCATGCAGGGAGGTCTAATCCCTCCTGGCCACTCTAGTGCAGATAGGCTTTAAAGGGCGTTGCTGGGACTTCCACTGTGAAAATCCCAAAGCTTGTAAAAGGGCCAAAATGTTGTAAACAAATCATAATTGAAAACTTTCATAAAAGCTTGGTGGCAAAAATAATCATTGTTAGTATTTGCAACTGGCAGTGTTTTATTCACCCCATTTGTTGTGTACAAAATGAGGACTTCAATTTTCACTCATAGAGAGAAAGCCACAGAGTCTTTTGATCTTGGACCCGTTTCACAAAGCCTTTTTTCAATGACAAATGACTAAAATCAGTGACAAATCTGCTGATAGCCAATCAGAAGCAAGGATTTCCGTAGCTTATAACAACAACTGTCATTTGTCACTAATGACAAGTTTTGTGAAACACCCCCCCCCCCCCCCCCCCCCAGTTCTTGAGGGCGTGCAAATCCCTGATGGGGGTTGTAAACCAACTTCTTGCATTTTTAACCCATTTACAATAACCGAATTAGCTCAATATCTATCGATTAAAATTGGATCCAGTCTAGAAAGAGAAGTAAAAAAAAAAATTGCCCACGCTATGTCTACTTTTTTTCCATTATTGTATTGTGTGTGAAGCCAGGAATTTTGAAAAGGAATAAGATTTACAATCCTTGAAATTAATTGGCACAAATTGAGAGATTCAGTATCAGTGTGTTTCATAAAAATTGGCAATTTTTAAAACTTTTTCCATAGTAATTGTCAATAAATATACTTTGCAGATACATGACTTCTTATTAGAACAAAATATGGCCTTTGAAGTTGAAATTAAAACTTTGAAATACAAATATTTTTTAAAGGGGTTATTAGTGTTATGTAACACAAGCAAAGTTCTTCAATATGACATTTGGAAATCATTGTTTTCTTTACCTTTTTCAAGAGATCCTCAGTAAATTTGATTACAAAGTCTCTTGAAAAATCTTGATTTCAATCTTGTCCATAGTGAATTGAAATGTGGAAAACATCACAATGATGTCATCCAAAAATGAATTATATTTCTATAGCGCATTATACAAAATATGTCTCTATGTGCTTTATATTGTATAATGTAAAAGCTTAATTAATTATCCACTTTTGAAAATGCCCTTGAGTTTATTTTTGACATTCTTCACTTCTTTTTTCCTCCTGCAGATGGCGAGGAAGGCAACCATCCTGGTATCGAGCGCAACGCTCACTACGTCGGCTGCATGCGTGACATCATGGTCAATGATGACCTCATCAACATGGCCGACGGTATCTTCGAAGGCGACGTTGATACACGCTCCTGCGCTGCCAACTGAGTGCTCCGACGATGACAATCTAGCCCCAAATGCACATGCGCATTTGTTACTCCTAAACTACATACCAAAATTCATCTTTACATTTGATAGTAGTTCAATCGATGTTCCCCTCCGTTCTCTCATGAATTTTTTAATGCTGAATTTTTATCAAATTTTTATCAAATTTTTAAAGTGAAGAATACTCAATTTTAATACAAAGACCATTGTGCGTTTTTAATGATTGTGAATGAATTAATAGGATATTGTCTTTTAGGAGCGAGAAGGGTTTTAACTATGTGTATGGGTTTACACCCTTCTGACTATAAACAGACGATGTACATGTTTCATTGTTCAGAAGCTAAGGAAAGCAAGAAATGGTGCTCACTCTGTATTTTAAGACAGTGTTTCATTTGCTGAAAGTACTTTGCAAATCGTACATGACTTGTGAACATATTGATGTAAATCTCTCGTGCAAGAAAATGTCAAAGTTGAATCTCAAGACAACTCAAAATTTTCAGAGAAAGAAAAGAGACAAGCAGAGAGATAGCGTATAAAGAAGAAATACATTTTCTACTTACTCGTATCAAGGTGCTAAGACTTACATATACTGAGTGCTGAATTTGCTATCATAAAATGTGACGTTATATTTATTGTACCTCTGTGTAAAAGTGAAAAGGTAGATTGCTGTTTAGCAAACCTACCATGGTGCTCCTTTTGTATACTATGCAATTTTTATACTCATTATCACTCACTGCCTTTAAATGGTGATGTAAAGAAAAAAAATCATGTCTTGTAATTTTAAAAAGTAAGGTATAAAAAAAATAACCTTTTACAGCTATAATTCCCTTGAAAATGAACTTTTTATATGATATGAGCTTTTATAAGAAATGTTCCTGTGGATAATAATCATGTGGCAAGACTCGGTACTTACGAGTTTGGTAAATGGTATGTATTTTTTGAGTATATAAAGGACTTCGGAATGTTAATCTTTTATATCTTCTTCAGGAATTTTCCCACTGGCTGGGTAGATTTCTATACCAAGGACTCAGTAGATAACTTTTAAAATTATTTTTAGTAATTTTCACCGGGACAACAAAACTACTGCCATAATGTATTTGGTAAGGTATTTTATTTACTATTTTATTATTACAAAAGTGAGGCAAAATGGTGCTATGTTAGGATGAAGAGTTACAAGGGTGACTCATCTTTGCCTTGGCTTTTGTTACAGAATATGACACTTGTGGCATGTCTTTGTAAGCTCAGTCTTAAACGTAATTTCCCTATGACAATATCTATGGTCCTGAGAGCCAGAAGGTCGCTATCTCAAATACTTTGATATAGAATTAGGGCCCTTTTGTCTCTTAACAGACGATATGCTGAAATGCCATGATATTAGGTAACAAATCCAAGACTTGCAAGTGAATTGGCCATCCCCTGAAGGAAATAAAGGGTGTGAAACAGAAGATCTGTCACACTTACATGGACTATTTAACTATCTCCCTACTCACCCATCAAAGAGCTTGCTAAAAGACATGCCACTCAGGTCTTATTCTCACTTTTAGAAACCCATACTAATCCCTTTTTTACTTTTTTGTGGTATTATATTTATTCGGTACAAAGGAAAGGAAATCTTTCTTTTTTTATAATTGAGCTTTTTTAGAATTTTATTTTGAACAACTGCCTAAAATGAAAAAAAATACTAACCAGGGATCTGCTTCACAACTCACTAAAATCTCTTTACCCTCTCCAGTTTTGACAGAATTTTTACAGAATTATATTTCATTGTTATTCAGTGTTTTTCACTATTTTAGTTCTCCATAAACAGTTTGTAAGGTAGAACTTTGTATTAAGATAACCCGTTAATGTGGCCTTGTAGGCTGCATTCATACATGAAACTCGTCAAGCAGTATGACTTTTTATCTCATGACGATTAAATATAAATGCGATCCCAATTTCTGTGTGAAATTGTATGATTTTGTTCATTATGATGATGATGTTGATGATGATGGTGGTGGTGGTGGTGGTGGTGGTAATGATCATGATAGTGGTGGTGATGATAATGATCATGATGACTGATAATGATGATGATGACGGTGATGATGATGGTGGTGATGATGATGATGATGGTGGTGGTGGTCGTGGTGATGATGATGATGATGTTGATGACAGTGATGATGATGATGGTGGCGACAGTGATGATGATGATGATGATGATGATGATGGTGGTGGTGGTCGTGGTGATGATGATGATGATGATGTTGATGACAGTGATGATGATGATGATGGTGGTGGTGGTCATGATGATGATGTTGATGACAGTGATGATGATGATGATGATGCTGATGACAGTGATGATGGTGGTGACAGTAATGATGATAATGGTGGTGTTGATGTTAACCGTGGTCAGAGATTTCAAAGAGTAGTGATTCTTAAAATGTTAAAATCACATTTTTAATTTTGCTTGTCGGCATCTATTGAGATTTGTTCTACACCACCCTCCTCCACACCCTTCCCCACCTTCCTCCCCACCCCCTCCCCACCCTCCCCCCACCCCTCCCCCACCCTCCTCCCCACCCCCTCCCCACCCTCCTCAGTCAAGAAATCCCATTCCCTGCCCGGATTAAAAATGCCCCTGCGACGCTCATTGGATGTGAGAGTGCTGGATCAGTAAAGCCGCTCCTCGGTTTTGGTGATATCCTGATCACATACCAGCTTGAGTCTCTCCTTGGTACCCAATGACGTCATAGCTGATCCATAAGGGCTAGGGGCTCCCACAACTATAGCACGACCACAACAAGAAAGGGGGAAAAAACATAAACCAACAAATAAATAAATACAATAAGAACACAAAACAAATCCTGTTCAAGCTGACTTAATTTGTATCTGTTATTCTTGTATATTGTCGTATGTTGGAAGCTTTGCGAATAAAAATCAATCAATCAATCAATCAAGGATACAAAGCGAGGATTTATGTAAAGTTATTGTTATATTCATTTGTTTTATCTGTAATTTTTTCCTTTAAATTCTTGCAAATATCGAATTTTCCGTACATATTCTTCTTAAAATATATGTTGGTCGATGTTAGGCCTACAATATGACAATTTAACAAAGAATGTCAGGATTTTAAGGGTTTATATAAATTCAATAAAACCATAAATACATCGTGAACTTCCAACACTATTCTAGATCCGTAAAGTTTTCTTACGCTCTTCGCCGCATGTCCAGGCGTTGTGTGTCTCGTTGACATTACAGTCCGTCCACACGTTGACACCTGTGCTGAGTTCATACAGCCCGTTACCTGCAGATGTCTTGAGAAGTTTTGTCCACCATGGCTGTGGATGGTCCAGGAAATAGAATCGCGTGCGCATCATGGTTTCTAGCGTGTTTTGTAATTTAATGAATTAAAGAGATAAAACATAAAGGCATTGTTACGAAAATGGAATTATAATGTAAACTATAGAGAATTGGAAACGTCCTACAAGGTCACGTTATCATGGTAATAACACTTGTTTTCAGGAGCTTTTATATAATTTTTAATTGTGTGTCTGTAAAGCCCGGGGAGGGGGGGGGGGGGATGAGTCGTAGCTTATACGAACTGAACATACAAATACAATTAAGCTATTTATCATTTGATAAACGAACATTAATACAACATAATTCAATATTAACAATTTCATTTTTTGTATGCATGTGACTAAAATATAGCACAATTACATAGGCTTAATATGAACATTTACCGCACTTCAGTTATTCATGACTAAAAAACTAGAAACAAAATTGCCTTTTTTTCGATCAGAATACGAGTGTCAGTAAATACTCTTTAAATTTTGATTTTCATATTTCTCAACATATTATCATACAGAATTGTAGTTATAAGTTTTTCCTTTATCAAAAGACACCGTCTACCCATAAACACTCCCCTCCCTTCCCTCTCGATGTGTATTACTTTTCTAAACTTTAATTGATGGATTTGTTTTTTAAAGACGTTTATTCTTTACCTCCTTCATCGAAGATAGATGTACACTGCCCAGTACGGTTGGCGAGCAGCAGGAGATTGTGCAAGTTATGATAAGCCCAGGGAGACCAACCAGCCGGACATAAACCTTTTTTTTAAATGAGGAGAAAAAGAAGAAGAAGAGGAAGAAGAGATGAGAAAGGAGAAGAAGGAGAAGAAGAAGAAGAAGAAGAAGAAGAAGAAGAAGAAGAAGAAGAAGAAGAAGAAGAAGAAGAGGAGGAGGAGGAGGAGGAGGATGGGGAGGAGGAGGAGGAGAAGAAGAAGAAGAAGAAGAAGAAGAAGAAGAAGAAGAAGAAGAAGAAGAAGAAGAAGAAGAAGAAGAAGTAGAAGAAGAAGAAGTAGAAGAAGAAGAAGAAGAAGAAGAAGAAGAAGAAGAAGAAACCGAGGAAGAATAAAAAGAAGAAGAAGAAGAAGAAGAGAGAAACAGACAGAGACAGAGAGAGGGAGATAAGAACTTTATAATTTCAGAATAATTATGTCGAGTTAATCATCATCATCATCTATATCACCCGACGTTTAGAAGTATAAACATTTATACTTTCGTGTCAGCATGAGAATATGCATGCCAGCAATTCTACATCTTAATTCTTATATCTTTAACAAATATCACTGCGTGTCTGTATGTGCGAGAGAGACGATGCCGTCGAAGAAAACAAGAGGGAGAGGGGTTTATATAATTTCATCGCGAGAGAGAGAGAGAGAGAGAGAAGGAAGGGCGATATATAATTTATCGAGAGAGAGAGAGAGAGAGAGAGAGATAACGAGAAAAGGGAGAGGAAAAGGGAGGGAAAGGGAGAGAGTGTGTGCGGTGTGTGTGTGTGTGTGCGTGTGTGAGAGAGGAGGGGTGTGGGGGTGGAGAGAGAGAGAGAGAGAGAGAGAGGGAGAGAGAGAGAGATATCGAGAGGGGTATATTTATATAATATTGACTGGCCTTGAGGGGTATATCAGATATATTGACCAAGCTCAGATCATATTGCCCCGAGTCGAAAGACGAGGGCAATATGGTCTTAGCGCGGTCAATATTTCTGATATCCCCCGAAAGTAAAGCCAGTCAATATTTTTATTGTTATCCAAATCAGACATCTAGAGCAAATACAGAAATCCACCATGACAATCTCAAGAACTGAACAAACTTTGTCAAACCAGCACTGTGCATCCAGTGCTTGACAAAATTTTCGATACACTGCAAACAGTGTGCATTTGGTGTGATTATTACGTCACAATAGAGTGCGCGCAAAGTGCGCATGCAGGTTCTCGTACGCATAATAGATGCGCAATGAAAATGACAAAATACGGCGCGGAGACCGTGGAAAATATAAAATACCAAGGTATATTTTCACTCGTCTCTACACGCAAAGTCAATACGCGCAGGGAGACCAAGGAAAATACAAAGAATATACCCCTCCGTTCCCACTGCTAGTGAAAACTAGGGCAATACGGTTTTGTAAATGACCAGCTCAGATGTCTGATAAGGGTAATAATATATTTTTACGCGTAAATAATTGTCACTTATATTAGAGCGCAGGTAATTTTTCTTATCATCTTCCCCCTCACTGAATTTATGACTAATAGCATATTCCCTCAAACACAATGGCATCTTTAATTAAATTTCATCTTAATTATGTAATAAACTCACTGATATGACATTGCTTGCCGGTGTAACCGTGTTTACACTTGCACTTGTAGGAGGGTTCAACTGCACCATCACCGGACCCCTCAATAATTTCACCAATGGTTTCTACACACCTGCCGCGTTCACACGGATTACTCGCGCACGGAGGTAGCACTTCATCTTGTTTAGATATTACAAAATAAACACACAATGAATTAACAGAGTTATACAACGCGGTTAAAAGAAAATTATAGTATAACAAAAGACATACAATGGCAAATCGTGAAATGATTTTTTCTTCTTCTTCTCTTCTCTGCTTTAATTTTCTCTACTTAGTTTCCTCTCTCGTTTCCGTATATAATTGTACTTATTAAAAATGTATGAAATTACAATTATGTGGCTTAATTTTTGTTATGCTTTAACAGGGTTTATTTAAACAACTTCCATTTCACTTGCGATTTTGTTTTATCAACTTTTATATATTTTGTTCCCGATGTTTAATGAAAGAAAGAATGAAATAACCGATATAAAATAAACCAGTGCGATACATAACACCACCATGTGTGCCGATATAATACAATCAAATAGTAACGAAGTAACGATAATAAATGAATAAATAAGACAAATAAATAAATAGAAAGCGCAAACAGTAATCAACTTTTTTTAAACCTTCCCCTGCACCCTTTTAGATTAGAAAATTCATACAATCATGATAGAGAGGAACAGGTCGATTTTAATGGGGGAAAAACTGAACAGCAGACCAAGGATTGATAGGGCACTGTATTTATTTTCATATCATATTGAAATGGCACAAACAGATCTTAATGGCACCGAATTTGATGAAAGACAAACAAATAAAAGAGTACTGAATTTAATTTAAAATCCTTAAACCGATCCTTCATTTTTTCGACTTACCAACCAAGTGAGTTATATATAAATATACAAAAGAACTTGAACATTCAACTGAACTACATAACCTAGGGAAATCATGTATCAACTTCCTTCATCCTTCATGATGACAATGGATACTTTAGTTATTTATTTATTTATTTCTTCTTTTTTGCTCGAATAATTTAAATCAATTCTTTGCAATCACGTAGGATAGGGTAGATGAAATATGATATTGTCGAACGATTGCAAACGAATTGATTTAATATCTGACGGGGACAATAGAGGCATATCATCCTGAGCATTGATACTATACTCTGTTGCTTAGCAACAAGAGAATCAACATCCGTAGGGCTACTGTCTTTTTTCTCTGTTACATGGAAATCAAAAGCTTTCAGGCCGCATAACACAATAGGGATTTCAAAATGAAAATCAAT